AAGAATTTCAATGATTAATATGATGAATATTGCAAGATATTTTATAGAATTTTACCAGATAATAATGAAGAAGTAGTTAATAGACCTGAATTTGAAAATTACAATGAATTTTGGACTGCACTATTTAAAGAAAATAGTAACAAAAATATTCCAGCAATACCAATGATCTATATCAATAGTTAATCACAAATAAATAATTAAAAGGATTACTTTGAAGAAATAGGCAAAAGTTTAACAAAAGAATAATCTAAATAGCAACAATAATAGAAATCACCAGAATAATAGAAATTGGAACTACAATATATTTTGATTTCTAAATTAATTCAATTAAATATATCTCAATATGGATATATTAGATCTAAATATTGGGATAAATCAATTGAATTAATTAAAAAGTAAATATTTAAATAAAGTGAAATTGAAGTATTAGAAAGTGATTAATCATCTGAATAATTACAATAAATCATGATATAATTAATGTAGTATTATGCTGGTTAATATACTGTTTCTTAAAATGAAACTATTAATAAAGAAAAACAATAATAACAAAATTAACCTAAAGAAACAAGTTTGTAACTCTTATAAGGAATATTGGGGGCTGGTTAAAAATACAGAATTCAACCTAAATTCAGAGGAGTAAAATCAAATTTACCAATAAATTTAAATCATTTAATTGATATTTTATTAGGATTAAATTTAAACGAAACAGAAAGAAAAGAATTAAAACCCTTAGTTGATTTATTTTATAATCCTAAAGTTATGGATACTGATTTTATTACTAAAACATGGGGAAATGATTAATAAATAATGGATGCAGTAATGTTAATGTTGGTTAGAGTTGAATTAGAAAATTCAAAAGCTTCTGGTAAATTTTCAGAATTAGCAAAAAAAGTTCCTGTTAGTTATTTGTATTACTCATTAGGAGATTAATATGAAAATTTAAATTAAGAAATTTTAGATAAATATTAAAAGAATAGTGAGAAATTAAATTTAGGTATTGATGAATTAATATAAAATTGTAATGAAATTCAACCTTTAATAAAATAACCATTAAAATTAATGATTAGATGTTTCTTAGGTGATGTTGAAGCATGGTATTCATTAATAGCATTCAGTAGAGAATAAAAACGTGTAGAGACTGATTTACTTTCTGAAAGTATGACTAGAACTTTTATTATTGAATTACTTTTATAATTTAAAAACTTTGGATTTAGAAGTCCTTAAATCAAAAAATAAATAATCTAATCTTAAACATTCTAATAATTATTGAAATCTTAGATGAATATTAATTTAATAAAGATTCTTGAAACAGCAATTATGAATACATTTTTGAAATAAAACTAAATAATTCCTTAACTTAGTTTACAAAAAATTATTCAATATTTAAATTTTGTATTTGAAGGTAAAACAGAAGTATTAACAGACAGTGAAAATAGTGGATTCATTGAAATTCTTATTAAAGTTTTTAAAATTGATAAATAATAATAATCATAATTGGTTTATGTTATCCAATTTATTTTTTAATTATTATTTAAAGGTGATAAATCTAATGCAAACTTTGCATTATTTGAAAGTTAAATTTAAGTGTTATAAGATGATAAGAATTAGAGTGCATGGGAATTTACAAAAGCTATTATTGAAGTAGATCACTCCAAAAATATCAATGTATTAATATCTAAGGCTTATTAAATTCTATAGAGACACAATTTAGAAGGCTTTTAAAAATATCCTAATCTTTTAGTTTCTTTGAGCTCAATTTCTTATTTATCATATTATCCAACTAGCAATATCGATTAAATAGCAATTATGAATGTCTTATTATATCCTATCATATGGTTAGGATCAACAATCTAAGAGATTAAAGAACCAATTACTAAATTCACTGAATTCTCTAAAAATTATATTTAATAAACATCTTCAAAAGACTTTGAATTTCTTTTGAATAATTTTTATGAATTTAGTAATTAAGATAATAGCTCTTAATATACGATTACTGAATAAAGTGTAAACTTTTATTAAAAGGCTCTTTTGGCTTGGTGTTAATAAAATTAAGAAAGTGATTTAAATTCATTTATCAATTTTATTAAGAATGAAGTATTTGACATTAAAGGGCTTCCAGCTCCTCAATAAGTATTAGTTTTAACTTTACTATAATTATTATATAATACTAAAATTCATGAAGATCCAGAATAAAATATGTTAAAATAATTTATAAAGGAAATTACAAAAGTAGAAGCTTTAGAAAAATAAAAAGATGTGATTGAAGCTACTATTATTATGTTTAGTGGATTATCTGATCCAAAAGATATAAAAGGTGATAAATTCTTTAAGGCAATATCCACCTTGTTGTCTAATTATAAAGAAATTGGAGAAATTATCAAAATGATAATTTAATTTTATTAAACTGAAGATATTTCAAAATTAAAAGAATTACCTTAGTAAATTTAAACAGGTTGTTTTAATAATCAAGAATTATATAAAAATAAATTTGATAATGTACCATTAGCATAATTATTCTTAATTGCATCCAATGCTTAAAAAATGATTAAATCAATGGAGGATTAAAAGGAAATAAATGAAAAAGAATTATTAAAAGCTATTAAACCAGTCTTAGAGCCAATGTTTGAAAAAAATTAAGAAAAAGATTTATAAACTTTAATAAAGTGCATTGAAGCTATTATTGCTATTAAATAGAAAAAATTTAATGAAGTTACATCAGAATTCTTTTAGGTTATGAAAATATCTTAATCAAACAGTAAACTATTAATAAGTTTAATGAAAGACTTTTAAGTTGGTTTGGAATCCCCTTAATAATTGATTAAAGAGAAAATGGCTTCATTAATAAATCCAACTACAGTTAGAACTATGCAATATATGAATTCAGTTATGAGTAAATTAAATGATAATAGAGAATTATAATATGAAGATATGTTTAGAGTTTTAGATAAGAATGGTTAAAGATCAGTTAAAGCTATTGATGTAATTGAATTTTTAAGAAGAATTAATATAGAAATTACAGAACATAAATTCAGAGAAGTTTTAGTAGTCATTAAAAAAGATTAAGTAAATATTTAAACTTGTATGATTGATTTCTATGAATTTAAAGAAATCATGTAAGAAATTTCAATTTAAACTATGTTATTAAGTTTAGAATATTTAGGAATATCAAAACCTTTATTAATAAAAGGACTTATTGTTTTAGTATTATACTTAATAATAGTATTGGCATTCATACTAATAGGAGTCTAAGCATTTGCTATTCCAGGTACTTTTGCTGCAATAGTAAATGCTATTTTACCAATGATTGGAGGATTAGGATTGAATAAGTAAGCAGCAGAGGATAAATTGAAATCCTTGAATTTACAAGTAATTTTAGAACTAGTCAAAAAAGCTATTAAGGTTATATAATCTAGGAGAATATGAATTATATATAATAACAATAATATTATTATTAATAATATATGATAATATATTTCAAAGATACAAAATTTATGTATATTTCATACATAATTAATTAAAAGAGATAATAGGTAAACATATATGATGATAAATATTATAATCATTATTATTTTTATTCTTACATTCTTGCATTTTCCATTTCCTTTTTTGTTCTCCTCTTTCTTTTTTATTATTGTTTTTCTTCTGAAGGTTATTTCTTTGTATATTTTCTTTTTTATTTGGATGGTACTTCTGAAACAGGTTGTTATTCTTAAACCATTTTTATTCTTATTATATTATTTTTATTCTTCTTTTTTATTAATGGTTCATCAAAATCTTCTGGGATTAGAGCAATTGATTTTAAATAGGATTCAATTTCTTACGGATCTATATTATGTACATCAAAATCAAATGAAATCCTAATTTACTATATAATTTTACTTTTTTATTATTTCAAAAAACTTAATCCTCTAAGCTTCAATTGATTATTGCTTTTAAATAATAGCTTATTCAAGTTAGTTTGCATATTATTGAAGAGTATCTATTGAATTATTACTACATTGTTGCTCCTCAGATTAAATCATTTTTAATTTTGGAAAATATATATATAAAATTAAAACTCTTATTAATGAAGAACATATTTGTCAATATCATAAAATCTAAAAATTATCATATATATTTAAAAAATTATAGAATTATATAGATATCCTAAATTAAATCCAAAAGAAATGTATTTTTATTTATGTATTTTATAAACTAAAAAGGATCTAGTATTAATCACTTATTTTAACATATAATAATATACTTTAGATTAACTTAATTCTGAATATTATTATAATCTATAAAGTGGTTAAGGATAACAATTGAATAGAGAATTATTAAATTTAATATATATATATAACCAATTGCAATATATATATATATTAAAATCAAATTTAACGAACTAGATAAAAGATATGATATAATTTAAGCAGTTTATAAATCAAGTTATATGTATAGAGTCAAACTTCTTAATAATAGAACTAAGAATATTTAATCTAAAATTTATATAATATAACTAAAATATGAATATGATGCATTTAACTATTATAACTCTAAATTGTCAATTATAAAATTGCTGTTAAATAAAAATACTTTAAATTTATGGATGTATATTGATTTAAATTGTGATACTATACATTATTTATTATCATAATTTGAATTTATAAATGATAAATTCTCTTTATTATTTATAAGTAGTTTAAAATATCAAGTATTATTTTAAAGATAAATAGTTTATAAATCAAAATTTCATTGATTTAGGTTTATAACAGCATCTATTTATAATTTGTAATGAAGAATAAAATTATAGTAAGTAAACAGTTTCAATACTTTTTATATATTAATCATATGAATTTAAATCTAGTAGAAAAAAATCTGAATGAAAGACTACTAAATAAAATATCAATATGAGAATACTGCTTCTAAATTCAAATGTAAATATCGAAGGCCAAAAACTACTTGAATAATATTCAGAAATATTAACATTTCTAAAAATCTAATTGGTGTTTATAAATATTTAATCATAAATCGTCTTTGTAAAGCGTAAAGAATATTTTCTTATCCTTATTAAGTATTTTTAAGACTTACTATTGTTCTTGAATCTCTTATAATACTTTTTATAATAGGGCATCTGGATCACAATCTTCAATTGGGTAAGGAATATATCCTAAATGAATTAGATCGATTCCACTATAATCTTCCTTTAATTTCTATAATATTATAGGGACTAAATTGCTTTTGATGCTCAATTCTATGGAATATTCATGATGGGAATCATTTAAGTAGAAATATAATTAGTTGTCTTTGCTCCTTAAAAGATATTATACACTTTTACTTCTCTAACCTTGATTAGTGATCACATCCATATTAACCTGATGATATTAATTATGGAGACGTACTCAAAATTATCAATAACATCTTACGTAACTAGTTAATTATTTTTGTTTATATATACTTATACGAAAGCATAAGTATCTTCTTCAATAATACATTTTACTTCGTTAACCTGTGAAAATAAACAGGACTAAGTTCTAGTTTGTTATTTTTTCTACTTAAATTATTCACTAATTCTATCAGAATGAACACTATAAAGTTCCTGAAGAATTAAATATTTTTAATAATCAGTCGTTTTCATATAAGTTATTTGCAAATAGTGTAAGGGTAGCTTTCTTCACTATATTAATATTGATCAATTAGTTTATATTTTAGTTAAATATTCGTGGTAAGATGTAAACAATCTTTAATCCTAATAGCATTTTTTAATAGAATTAATAATATAAATGTATTATGCCAAAAACTTCAATTATATTCATAGATTATTATTATTATGATTTATACAAAAGAATGACTACAATAATTTAATGTTGTTGTAACTAAATGACCAATTTATTTACATCTTTAAAATCTTGAAATATAAATAAATTTCCAGTAAAATAATAAGTTATCATTTTTAAATATCATATTTTTAAATAACAATTTAATTTATTTATTTATCTTTAATGTAAGATTTATTTTTTAAATATTGTTGATTACAAAGTAATAAATAATATAAATATTGGATTTCTATTTTTTAAGTTTGAATCTAATTGAATTTTTGTATATATAAATAATGTTATAACACAATAATAGTATATATGATGAAAGTGGAAATTAGAAGATTCTATTTTTTTACCATAATGCATGATATGTAAATAATAAACAAAATTAAGAATGATTTTTTTATAATATTAGATTAAATATATTTTATTTTATAATATTTAATGTCATTTCATTAAGGCTTGGGTGTTAATAAATCTTCCTTATTTTCTGGTTATTTTAAATGATCATTACTTTCTTAAAATTATTTTAAATTTATTAAGTAATCACTAAGTTCTTACTAATAAATATATATATATATATTACTCTAAAATTGTGTGCATTATTTAAATTCTAAAACATTCTAGCAATGTGTAATTCAGTTTATTGCTTACTAACATTAGGGAATGCATTATATAGGGATGTCACAAGATATTAAGATATAAATTCTAAGTTTGAACCAACTTATTCATTAGATAATTTAGTTGTAATTTGTTAATTAGAGGCTACCTAGAATAATATCATTAATATTTGGCTTTAATGTTTAAATCCACTTGCATGTAAATTATCAGTCAAAATTTCCAAAATATCTTTTAACAATCTTAAATGATAAAGTGAATAAAATTGATTTGCAACTACTGCATCACTATTGACTTACTTTAAAAATATTTATAAATAAATACTTATAATATATAGTATAAAACATCCAATCCCAATTCTTATAAATTAGGTACTTAATGTTTGAATGCCCAAACAATACAATCTATCATTAATTTAAATTAATCTTATGGCATATTAAATAATGCCACTAAATGATATTAAACACAAGATCTTAAAAATTCAAAGAAGTTGATTCTATGATCTGGATAAGAATTGAAGTCTTAACTTATTAATCTAATAGTAGCATCAAATAATCCTTTCAAAATTAATGGAACTAAATCTTCAATTGGTGTTAGGAATTTTTCAAGCATATACTATACATATATAATAATATATTTACTTTAAAAGTTAATAATAATTCTGGTTCCTTTTATTCATTTATGGATTAAGAATATTCTTCAAGAAGATTACAAATAGGAATTACTAATGAATTCTTTAATTGATAATTCTTATTCAATAATTCTTAATCATTATGTTAAAAATAAGTTGCATATAATTTTAAGATTTCCTTTTTTACAGCTCTCTATTTCTTAACTGTATACCAACCCATAACTACTATTCCTTATCCAATTACTTATTATTAGATACTCTGACTATAAAAGAGATATATTTAATTATAAGTAGGTAATAGTTAAATTAATGATTAAGTAAATGCATATCCAGTTGGTTAAACTATTTATTATAGGATTCTGAAATATTAGATGAAAAATTATTAGATTTTTTCATCTTTAAAGAGATCTATGTAATTATTAGAAGAAGTATATTGAATCAATTAATCATTTAAATGTTTTACTAAACTATTTACTAATTGTATTCTGATGTTTAAGTCTTCTTCAAATTTTATCATATGACTTAAACTTTCATAATATACTAATTTGTATTAATCTTATAATATTGCAACTTAATCTCTTATGTTTCTTATTAATTCACAAATATATGGTTCTCTTTCTAATTAATCAGATTAACTAAATTTTAATAGAAATAATAATACATTTATTATCTTATTACAAATTCTTTACCACACTTTTAACTTATTGTTAAAAATGTATTACATGCCATCTCTTGTACTCCTGGGAAAGATTCTTTCATAAACTCAAATAACTTTTTAATAACTGTTTTCAAGAAATTCCAATTTGTTCTTAAGAATTTTGGGTATTATCCTACAACATACATTATATTGGCAGCAACAACAGCTTTATTTTCTTTACCTTTTTTAACTTCACAAAGTGAAAGTAAATTTTTAATTGTGTGAATTAAAAATTATTTTTCATCTTATTCTGGTAAACATCCAGATATCGATCCTATTGCCCAACATATGCTATTTAAATTATCAAATGACCATTCAGATCCATCCATCTAAAAATAAATTAATAAATTAATATAAAATGAATAAATAGATATGAGACACTTTATTTTTTGTCTTTATTGAGATCATTTTTAATATCTCAATAAATTACAAGCACGCCATTATTAATGCGTTTTAAGATAGAATAATGTAATTTTACCTATTTATCTAATTTTTAAGTGATTATCTCTTTAGTACTTGTCCAATTAAGTTTTGCTAGATTAATTAAAAGGTCTTTTAATAAATCATATAAAGCATTATTTTCTGTATTTTATAATTCTTCCTTAATTGGCTATCCAGTTTCATCAATACTAATTAAAACTTCTTGTGGTTTAGCCATTTTGCTTACAACAATCTTTCTTAATTCAGCTAAAATCTATTATTAAAAACTCATAAAATTATTACTCTAGGATAACTATTATTTTATAATGAAGGAGGATTCATTTCATTGGAATAAAGATTCAAAATAATTTAATTTCCTTTTGGTAATTAAGTTGGTTATTCTAACAATCTCTTTGTAAAATCAAACCAGAATTCAGCACAAACCTTATAATTTTATTCTAAAGGTAATTAAGAGAATCCTATTAGATATTATAAACTGTAATCAACTAATTAAATAACATTAGGATTTGTTTTTGAAACATTCTCTAACCAATCTAAATGTTAACTAAGAATTCCTGTAAAGAATTATGTTAAAATAGCACAAAAATCATCAAAAAATTATAATTAAGTATTGCTTGTTATTCTTAATCTTTATCTTTCTCCTAAAAATCCAAAATCACAAGGAAAAACTTATCTTAATTTTATTAAAATCTTTTCAAATATAATACCAATCTTTTATTATTAAATGATCATCTTTTATTAATCAGCTAAAAAATAATTATAAAATATATATTACAATCAAGTTTAAGAATTACAATTTCTGTTAAACATCTAATAGATAGATTTCTGAAATGATTATTATCAAATAATTATATTAGAATTTCACATAATTATGTCATAAATATAAATCCAAAAGGTATCCAAGATAAATATGTATAAAGTGTTTCTAATGTTTATTTTATTAATGTTATTTTAATATTTTGTTTTTCTACAAATGTTTAAACCAAAAAGAAACAAAGTTCAAATATCAATTAAAATTCTTTATGAAGATTGCTTTTAAGTTCAACTATTTAATTGGTTGTTAATTAATTTTTAGAATAATCAAATATTTCTTAACTAAAATTTAAAATATTTAAATATTTACCTTAATAATCTAAGCAATTTTAAATTGTTTTCACATAAATTTTAATCTGTTTTACTTAATTCACATATTTCTGGTATAAATGATACCCATGTTGTCTTCCACTCATGTTTTAAAATTTATATTATAATCATGTTTATTTAATTTAATAAAGATTCCTCAATTGAATCATGTTAGTCTTTTGCTCCAAAATGTAATAGTTATTTAAGAATAAAACCTTTAAGACCTTATCTAGATTCTTCACGAATCAAATTCCATTTAGTTTTAATTTGTTCTTCAAGTACTTTCAAAGCTAAAAATTTAGTTTGATTTTATTTGCATAACAAAATGACCTAGTCGGTCATTGTCCAAAAGAATTAATCATTTTATAAATCAACCCATATTTTATTACAGGCAGTGATCTAAATGATATAATTATTAAATAATTACAATTTGAATATTACTAGATCTCATTCCAGAAGTGACAAGATCAAGAGCTACTGCTTTTTAATCATTGAATGGTTAGGAGTGATCAAATAATAATTGACTTGCTTAAACAAGAGTATTATAATCGACTTCAGCCATATTTTAATTATTTTAAGGAAAATCAAAATTAAACAATGATAATTAAATATACTCAAATATAATAGTTTATTAAATCAATTGTTAAATAGTCTAGAAGTGTTAATTTTTTCTACTTTCTATATATAATCATCAACATTATTTTTAGACTTAAGCATACCCATTATTCCAAAACCATTATTACGATCATCGAATGAATGAGAAGTAGCAACTCTATTATGAAATATCTAATTTTTTATTGGTTTTTTAATCCTTTAAATACAATCCATTAATCTTTTAATTGATTCATCTAAAATCTTTTAATTTTCTTATTATATTAGAAGATGTTCATATTATTGTTCTATTTCAAATTATAAGTCTTCACATGCATCTAATCTAAGATGAAGTTCCTTCTTTTATTTAATCAATTAGATCTCTTTTTCTTCAATCTACTTTTATTATTCTTATTTTAAATTTTGCATAACTTATATCTTTTCTATTTCTCTTAATTCTTAATCTTATTATTGTTTGATTTATTTCTAATCTCTAATTTGTTATTTTATTAACTCAATTTATCCTTTTAGAAGTAAGTTCTTATATACAGTTTGACATTCTCTAGAAAGAATCTCCTATAGATTTTACTCAAATCTTTCATTCATTTTTTCTATGAATTAATAATAGTAAAAATGTCTTAAAAAATATATTTATATACAAAATTTATTTAGTTTTTCGATTGCTTAAGAATTTGACATATTAAATGTTTTCCTATATATGAGCAAAAGCAGTTCAGAAATAATAGGAAAGGGAATAAAAAATGGAAGAAGACGATTGATTTAATTTCTAATTTCTTTTTCTTTATTTGATCCTTTCTCATTTAGAAGAAGATGACTTGTGTGACTATCTCTATTTATTGCTAACTGATGATCTGGACCTTGAATTTGTATTAGATCTCTTTTAGCTGGAACTTTTCTTTCTCTTATTATCTCTTCTTGGACTTCTGCTTCTTCTACTGTATCTATTACGCTTCTTAGAGTCTCTCCTTCTCCTAGAGTGAGAAGATGAATAAGAAGAATAAGAACGAGACCTTGAATTTGATCTTCTTGATCTTCTATGTCTGCCCAAATAATAAATCAATTAAATACCGTGATCTTGAATCAGAATATCTTCTTCTTCTTGGTGATGATCTGTTTGGACACTCTCTAGCCCTAAACTCTTTAAATTATTTAACATTACCAATGACCTCCTTTTCCACATTTGAAGCATTAATCATTTTCTTAAGGTCCATTTCTACGTGTCTTACGATTATCGACAACATCAACTTTTAATTTCTATCCATTTATTGATTATCCATTAAGTGCTTTGAGAGCATCTTCAGCTTCTGATTCTGATGAAAATGTCTATTTAAATAGAGGAATATATTATACAACAAAAGAATAAGATCCCTTATAGGCAACATCCTTAATATTGCCATATTTTTTGAATATGTCCTTGATACCTTTCTCATCAGATATTTTATTGCGGCTATAACCAGCAACAAACAATTAATTTGGCACTATCTCACCCATATAATAAGATTTAAATTTTTAATAATCAATCTTAAATTTTACTTAATTCAAAACTCAATTAATATTCAAATACTCATTTATTTATAATAATACCATCAATCATACAATTACATCTACATATTTAGTTTAAATTATGATATTCTTATATATATATATATAATTCATATAAATTTATAAGATATCATAATTTATACTTTATAAAAGACTATAAATTATATTAATTTTTATATACATAATAAAAAATCGAATAATTATTAATGAAAAGCATATTATCTCTTGAAACTAGTCTATCAAATATCAATCATAATGTAAATTAACTTTTAGGAATATCATCTCAATATGATTTTCAAAGAGGTATCCTTGTAAATGTACCTGTTGATTTACCAGAAGTAAAGAAAACTAATAATAAAAAATTGCCTTAATTAATGAGAAGACAATAGTAATTTTAGAAATTTTTTGTGCTTAATACTAAACAATAAATTAAGTCTAGTGAAAGAAGTAAAACAAAAAAATTGATTCCTCATTAACTTATTAAAGTAGAGCATCCTCCTATAGGNTCTCCTAGAGTGAGAAGATGAATAAGAAGAATAAGAACGAGACCTTGAATTTGATCTTCTTGATCTTCTATGTCTGCCCAAATAATAAATCAATTAAATACCGTGATCTTGAATCAGAATATCTTCTTCTTCTTGGTGATGATCTGTTTGGACACTCTCTAGCCCTAAACTCTTTAAATTATTTAACATTACCAATGACCTCCTTTTCCACATTTGAAGCATTAATCATTTTCTTAAGGTCCATTTCTACGTGTCTTACGATTATCGACAACATCAACTTTTAATTTCTATCCATTTATTGATTATCCATTAAGTGCTTTGAGAGCATCTTCAGCTTCTGATTCTGATGAAAATGTCTATTTAAATAGAGGAATATATTATACAACAAAAGAATAAGATCCCTTATAGGCAACATCCTTAATATTGCCATATTTTTTGAATATGTCCTTGATACCTTTCTCATCAGATATTTTATTGCGGCTATAACCAGCAACAAACAATTAATTTGGCACTATCTCACCCATATAATAAGATTTAAATTTTTAATAATCAATCTTAAATTTTACTTAATTCAAAACTCAATTAATATTCAAATACTCATTTATTTATAATAATACCATCAATCATACAATTACATCTACATATTTAGTTTAAATTATGATATTCTTATATATATATATATAATTCATATAAATTTATAAGATATCATAATTTATACTTTATAAAAGACTATAAATTATATTAATTTTTATATACATAATAAAAAATCGAATAATTATTAATGAAAAGCATATTATCTCTTGAAACTAGTCTATCAAATATCAATCATAATGTAAATTAACTTTTAGGAATATCATCTCAATATGATTTTCAAAGAGGTATCCTTGTAAATGTACCTGTTGATTTACCAGAAGTAAAGAAAACTAATAATAAAAAATTGCCTTAATTAATGAGAAGACAATAGTAATTTTAGAAATTTTTTGTGCTTAATACTAAACAATAAATTAAGTCTAGTGAAAGAAGTAAAACAAAAAAATTGATTCCTCATTAACTTATTAAAGTAGAGCATCCTCCTATAGGCTACTATAATGTTAATGAAAGTTCTCTAGTATAAAGGTCTATGGTTGATATGAGTAAATCATCTACTGCTAGAATCCCTATAAAAAAATACAAAAGTAAAAGCATTGATTAAGAATCTCAAATCTCACCACCATAATTAATAGAATAACAAAATTAAATATAAAAGCCTCGAATTACAGAACTATCAAATTGTAAATTATAAAAATGGATAAAAAAGGAATTAGAATAATTAAAAGAAAATAAAAAATTATAATAAACAACTTATAAAGGATTTATGAAAAATGAAAAAGAAAAGAATGATAATTTTCAGAGACTTTTTGAATTAACTTCTCTAAAATTATAAAATTCTTATTAAAAGTATTATTTCTGAAAAATAATATAATAATAATTAATTACCATTTTCATGTAAAAATTCTACTCAAAAAAGACTTTGAATCTCTATCCCATGCCTATTATACTATAGCATGTTCAGCTTCTGTAAATTATAAAACAGTTGCAATAACAGGTATAGTTTTCTATTTTACCTAATAATTAATAGATATAATTAATTACTGAATATTCCTCTGTAAAAAAACGTATGATTATATTCTTAATATATTAAATATTTGCATTCTTTTAATTCTCTTAACATAATAGATCAATTTTAATATTCTTTTCTCTCAATTCCTTAGTAATTTAATCAATAGTATTTTCTAATAATTAGATTTACTATCTACCATTTTCAAAATGTTAGATTTCTGTTTTAAAATATATAAAAAATACTTTGTTCTCTTTCCATTTTTCTTTCTTCTTCAATTTCAAGTAATCTTTATTTATGCTCTTTTGCTTATTATTCTATCAAATTATTTTATTCTTATTATTATTAGATCAATTCATAAATAGTTTAATTCAAAGTAATTAAATGTTATTTAAGAGAATGTAATTATGGACTACAAGACTTAATTTATATATTAATTTACTTTCAATAACTATAACAATAGCAATTTAATTTTTGCTTCACAATCTATACTTTAATCAACTAAAGTTAAAGTAGTTTCTCTTATTTATTCTGATTAATTAATTAATTCATTAATATTTAGTGTGATATCCTATTTATATTTGTCAAATTCGTTTTATAAATCATTATATAATGTAAGTATTTCTTATTTTTTCTTTTCACTTTAATAACATTCTTACTATAATATTTTCATTCTCTAATCATATTATTATGCCACAACAAGAATATCATCTTTAGATTTAGAATAATCTAATAATTTAATATCTTCATGTAATTATGAATTTAGTTGTTTATTAAATTCACTTTCTCTTACCCATTCAATTCCATTATTTTTAATACATATCCATTCAATTTCTTCTACTTTTACTTTGGCTAAAACTCTTTCACACATAATCTTCTTTTCATCTCCTAAATATTTATTTACTATTTATTCTAGATTCTCATTCTTTTATTTTTCATCTTATAATTATTGATTTCTTTCAGCTAAATCTGCTCTTAATTTATCGATAGTTACTTTAGCTTTAATTATTAATTATTTTTGTTATTCAATTTTTTCTTCCATTAATAAATTATGTAATTAACAAATAAAATTGTTATTGGAGTAATTATTGCTTCATTTCTATAATGGTATAATTATTCCTTTTTCATTGGCTTTATAATTGGATGTTCTACAATACTTTGTATTGAATATAACTACATAATGGATTATTTAAAACAATAACATAAGAATTATGAGGTGAGCATTACAAGCTGTAAAATTTTAATATAAATTTAAAGTAAAATAACACGTGGATGAATATTTACATCCTATTAAATTGAAGAGAAAGCATTACATAAATAAGTTCAATTCAGAATTACAAATTGAAAACCCATAGCCTAAATAAGAAGATAAATAATCTATACAACAAATTTCTGTATAAAAATTATAGAGAAAAAAATACTTAAAAAAATTAGATATTTATCTTGAGTTTTTTGAAGGAATCAAAGTAATAATCAAAATAAATGTAGGAATCTGAACAATAATTTGGTCAATAATTAAATGATTTAGATAGTAAATTAATTTCTGAAAATGAAATTACAATTATTGATAAATATACTGAAGATGGAAACGATATTATATAATAATTAACAGGAATTTAATTGAGTTCTAAATTGTTCTTGTACTTACCATTTTGGAAAGACTATAAAAAAGTATTAAAATAAATTAGTCAATGTCATACTGAAGTTGCCTAAGACATGGGCAAAGTGAGTTTTCAATTATATTAGCTCAAAAAAGGATTCCTTAAAGATGTTGAAGATATTAGAAAATAAAGAAAAAAATTAAAACATTTAACTGTTGAAATTTATTAACATTACTAAAAGATTCTAAATGAATTCATTTAAAATGAAAAAGATTTATAAATTTTTACATAAGCTCATTCAGAAATGCTCAAGAAAAAGGATGATCCTACTCAAATCATTAAAAGTGAAATGAAAGTTAAATTATAAATGCAATAATAAGATAATATAAGATTGAAATTAACAGATGCCAGAGATAGAATTAAAGAAAATTAAATAGAAATCAATGAATTTAATTAAAAAATGCAATAATTTTAACTTAATTATGAAGAATAAAGGGTTATATTTGTAAAATAAGGTTTCCAAGCATTCTTAATAACATCTGAAAATTATGCCAGTTAATTTTAAACTTATATCTCCACATTAATAGTAATTATTGATGAAGATTATTGTAATCATAATTCATTAATTTATTAGATTAAATATATCCTTCAAGATAACATAGGAGTCCATAATCACCTCAAAAGTAATTCTTAGAAAATTAATAACAAAGTTAAATACTTGAACTTGATATAAATGAATAAATTAAAGAAATTTAAAGGTAAACCACATATTAACTCTAATAATGGTAAATAGTGTAAAAGTATAATGAAGAATTGGAATATTTTTTTAGAGATACAATTTAAATCTTAAATCAAAAGTCTGTTGATAAAGATTTTTCACTTGTAAAATAGTAAGTAGAATAAGAAAAATAAGAAGTATCTGATGTTTTTAACATTCTCTATTCTAGTTTAATTAGTGTTATCTAAATAATTAAAGATTCAAATAAATAGCTAGTTGATTAGATTGAAAGAAAGAGATAGGATATAGCTAAATGTAGATTAGATATGTCTATTGGAAAGGAACTTGAAATTTGTGCATTAAGAGAATTAAAAAAATTGTAAAGTCTTAGTACTGATGAGAAAGCCCTTGAATAATATTAAAATGATTAAGTTGATAAATCTAAAACAAAAAAAGCAGCTTAACATTTTCTAAATGAAATGAAATAAAATATTTAAGATGTAAAATCCTTAAATTTTGGTAAATTTTATGCAACAATTGGATAAACTGTATCAAAAGTATAAAAGATGAGTAATTTAAAAGAAGATGATCTAAGAGAATAGTAGATTAAATTAATGGAAGATAAAAAAGCATTAATATAATTATAAGGATTTACTTTAAAAAAAATGGAGGATTTTCTTAATAAACATAGTAAATTAGTAGCAAAAATGAAAAAAACATTAATTGAAGATTTAGGTAGATTTGCTATTTCAATTTTCACTCATCTAAGAATGATAGTTGATGAAAGTAATATATATAATTTAAAATAGCAACTGAAAATATATAGATAATGTAATAAAGAGAAAATTTAGAAAATTAAATTGAGTAATAAGTTATTTAAAATGAAAAAGAGGATCCCACTTATCAAAATGAAGAAATTGTAGAGGATCTACATGTGAGTACAACATCATTATTACTTTAAAAACTATTAAAAGTTTTAGTAAATGATTGGAAGGAAAGTGAATATTTTAAAGGGAAAATAAAAAAAATGTTACATAAAGCATTCAATAAGAAAAGAGTGAATATGCTATCAGAGATTACAGTAACTGATTTAAAGATTGCTGGAGATCCACCATCCTTATCTGAAATTAAAGCATTAAGATAAGATGTTAATGAAGTATGGTTTTTTAATATATCATAGTTTTTGTGTGATTTGGATTTATCTTTTAGAGGAAAAATTTAAATAGTTTTAAATACAAATATCATTATAAATTGGCCTAAAGAATATTAAGTACCTGTTGAAATTAAAATTACTATCTCTACTTTTACAAGTAGAATTAGATTATGTTTTGTACCTACTTATCTTGGAAAGAGTTGGTATAATTATTTATAATATAAAATTAAGGCTTTCTATGATAGGATAACCTGTAATAAATTTAGATATTGAACCAACTTTCTTGTAGAAATATAATATTGCCAAAATCTAATAAATTGCTGATTTAATAAGAGAATTTTTAATAGGAAAAGTAAAGTTAATGACTTACCCCAATAAATTATCAATAAAAATACCTTTAAGTAAGAAATGAATACTGATATTATTTTTATAAATTATATAAATTCTAAAGAGATTCAAATGAAAAAGCATTATTTTTTTTATTTTTTTATTTCTAAAGCTTTATTTTTATGAAATCAAAAATTGTAAACAATTAAAGATATTAATCATGCTAAGAAGAAGAAGGAAATTCTACAAGGATACTTAAAAATTCTAATGATTCTATTAGAATACTTACAGATATTCAATTGTAAATTACACATACTTATATTAGACCCTAATAAATGTCAAAAAGCATTCAAGATGCATATGAAAAAGGAGAAATCGAAATGAAAAATAACATATTTGACAATATTATTAAAGAGAACATTATTGGTTTTTCCATTGATATTTATAATCATTATATCATCCAATGTATTTTAGAAAAAGGATTGAGTGAACATAAAAGCTATATTTTAAGACTTGTTATAGATAATATGGAATAATTTTGTTATCGAAAATATGCTTATAAAGTAGTACAGGCATGTTTAATTCAATTCCAAAACAGTTAAATTATCTAATACATAATTGATAATTTAAAGAAACTATAATTCGATTAATATGGAAATCTTATAATTAGTACATTATTAGATACTATTCAAAATGATGTATAATTTGCTTAAATAATAAACAAATTATAAATTGACAAAATTAAGTATCATTAATATGGTTGTGTAATTTTGATTAATATGATTACATGCCCTAAAGCTAATCATGTTGGTCCAATAATTAATAAACTTATATTAGAAAGTATACAATTATCTAAATCATAATTTTCAAATTATATTATTTAAAAGATGCTTAAAGAAAGAACAATAGAGTAAAATAAATTATTAATTAATGAATATTTGATTCCAAATTTTATTGAACTATCTTGTAATAAATTTGGAAGTAATGTTTGTGAAATTATGGTTACTAAATCACTTGCGTATTAACTTTAGAATTTATGGAATTTAGTTATTAAATAGTATATTTATTTGATTATTTTAGAAATCTAAGATTATTATTAAATAATGAGTATGCAAACTATGTTATGTAAAGATATTATGCTCATATTATGATGTTTAATTACATTCTAGATGAGTTTTAATAATCATTATTTGAAATGAATAAAAAACAGTTATTAAACCAAAATGGTAAAATTGTTTATCGATTTGTCAATCAATGTAATCAAGTAGTCCAATAGTATCAATAATATTGAGACTTATGATACAAAAAAACATGATTATTATATAAAATTATATAATAATTATATTATATATAATATGAAAGATTTTACTAAATTTGTGCTTTGTGCTTTAGGTGGAACAATTGTTGGACTTCTATACAAATTAAATAAAGAAAGAATTAATAAAAATGAAATTGAATTAGAAATTCTTAGAAATTAGAAGAGTATTTCTGTGTAACAATTGAAGTAAATCATTTTAAATTTTTAAGATAATCATTTTCGATAACAGATGATAACCAATTAAATTTATTTGTTGAAGGATAGATAGCATAAACCTCAGAGATATTAAAAAGTACAAATAGCAAACATGCAGGTGTATATATTAAGAGATCAAATTATGAATTAGAAATTGTAGAAAATAATGGAAATAAAACTTAATAAAGAAGATAAATAAGTAAAACAATCAATACTACAGATTCATTTATTTTATGTTCATAACTAAATTCAAATGAAAAACTATTAATAAAAAATTTTTCTGAAACTAAAATTTTACCAAAAGTCTTAAAATATTAACAAACAGATCAAATATTAATTCCACCTGAAGTTAGAACAATTATGAGAGAGCCTGAAACGTAAAGCATATAATATAATTAGAGATGAAGAAAGAGCATAATTTAAAGAAGGAAAATTAAAAAAGTTATTAACAACTATATCTAAAATTGGAATAGTAATAGAGGAAGAAATTCTTTGTGAAGGAACTTTCATTTGTGTTTATGGAAATGTGATTTGGGATAGAGTATAAAATAGTTTTAGAATAACAGCACCTAAATTTTTTGGGATTAGTAAAGAACAAATTATTGGATATTTTGAAGCTGACTAATTCTATTTAAAATTTATAGGGATTTTATTGGCTATTGGAGGAACAGTATTTATAAAATCATAAATAGACATTTTCAATATTTGCTTTAAAACATTTATACAAGACTTTGTTTAATAATTAAAACAACTAAGAAACTAAGTATTAAACAAAAACAATAAATTGAATAATCATTATTATATCATGGTATTATAGTAGATTATTTAAATAATTTAATTATTTTTGTATTTTTAATCTAAATTCATTGTTATTATTCTAATTCCTCTTCTTCTTTGATTGATTACATTTCAGTTTTTTAATTAATTCTTTTTTTTAATTTTATTCCTGACTTTAAATTTTTCCATTTAATTGCTAATAATTCTTTATTCCTAGCCAAGAGGTCATCCTCTTAAGCTTAAGATTAATAAATATTTTGTTTCCAAAAAGTTAGTTTATTAGATAAATTTGTTAATTATTGGCTTACATTAATGCCTTAAGAAATCTAGATTATTAATTAAGAAAGTTATTCTAATAATAAATTACAAAAATGTAGATCTATAGAATTAACAACTTCATGTCTCTGGTTTAAGATATTCCTAAGATAAAAATAAATCTTACTCTTAAATAGCAAAGGCTTCTTTCAGATTATTTACAAATAAAATTTCTTTTTTATTCAAATACTTGTAAAGGTCTATAAGTTTCATTTAATAATATTGCTAAAATTTTACAATCCAAAGCTATGATTGAAATTCATGTTAAATCTTATTTTAAGATCTAGTTTAAGCTATAATTTTTTTATATTTTAACCATTTTATGACTAATTATTCTCCATTCTTTTTTATGGATTCAGATTTTTTTAAGTAATTTTCCCAATTTTCTAAACATGAGTTATAAATTTGTTAAAGTTCATTTTAATTTTTTGAATTTATTATATCTAGATGGATTATTTATAAATCTACATATTGATTTATAAATATGGATTTATCTTTTTTAATGTATTCGTTTTATCTAGCTTTTAGATCTTTCACTAAAATTAGTTTGAGTTTTTTATAAAATTAATATTTAGAGTCAAATTCTATTATTTTAGATATTTAATTGATTATTTCTGTTGTTAAATTAGGTAAATTAATTATGAAAAGTAAAAGTAATATATTACCATAAAATTCATAATGTTCAGAATTGCAAGTATCTAGAAACAATCCTAAAATGTCTAAATACTCTACAATAATTTCACGATTTTAAATCTTAAATATTGGAGCTTATATTTAGTTACCTTATATTCCTTTTATAAATTCAATAAATATGCAAGGTATCCAAATTTATTAATTCTACTCTTCTAAAATTGAAATTAGAATTGTTAATCCTACTCTAATTAAGTGGTATAACCATTCATCTAAATATAATTGATTCTGAAAATCTGCACTAAATTCAGCAAAGCAACCAAATAGATCTTCAGTAATATTGTATTCTTAACATTCTAAGAATTCAATATATTTTAAATAAGAATTTATCAACTTTGATTTCTTCATTTATTAAATACTAAAAATAGCTAAAGGTAATTCATTTATATAGTTTAATAAATTTATTGCTAAAACAATTTTACTATGACATATATTTTCTTTAGACTTTTAAAAAAGAGAAATACTTTCAATTTTCAGCAATTCCTTAAAATAAGAAGGTAAATTTTAATTTCTTATATTTGTTTTTATTAATATCTTGAAAAAGTCTAATTAATGAATCTATTTAATTTAATTTAGAATTGAAGATTAATGTTAATCAATTTCCTTATTTCTATTAGGTTAATTGATAAAACTTTTAAATTATTTAATAGCTAATTGTTTAGGATTAAATATTAAGGATAAGACATTTTTTTATTTGATATCTAAATAATACAATTCTTAAAAGATTGGTAAAGTTTCTTCTAAATATACAGTTTGAGTGAATCTTATTAGTAAATCATTTTAGATCATATAATAGTGCTGCAATTGTTCTGAAGTTTTGTAAAATCGAACAGAAAGCATATCAATAAAGGATTTATGAGTTGCTTTTAAAACTGTATGATAAGGAGTTAAAATATATTCAAATCCAATATCAATAAATTTTATTTATTATTATATTTCTTAATTATTTTTTTATTTTTCTTTTGACACTTAATGTAAATGTGAAATTAAGTTAGAAGTCAAATAAATTAGAGCATATTAAGAATAGTGATCCATAATTTCTCCTTAAGGTATGGAGAACTAATATAGAAATCCATATGAATCAAATATATTTGAATTTTAACAAAAATTTTACATTTGATTTAAAAAGTAAATTTAAATTTCAATAAATTAGGTTATATCTTAGATTAAATATTTCTCTAAAGAAGACATTTTTCTTAAAATTAAATGAGATAGGATTATTACTTCTATTTATTTCAATTATTAAGTATAGTTTAAATTTAAACCCTTGATTTAACTATTTATAGTAATATCTTTTAAGATTTAGGGATTTAATTATTAATTATTTTTGAAATAATTAATAGTATTTTAAAATAATGGATTAAAGTTGTAATTTTGTAATTAGAGTGCTTCTTAAACATTAATAAAGTATTAATATTTATTTTAATTAAATTCTTCCTATTCATTAAGCTTTCTATTTTCTTTAACTTTTTATATAATATTAATAATATCAGTATAACTATTAAATGATTTGCATAAATTTAATGCATGTTCATAATTTAATTAATAAATGACAGTCTTCCAATATCCTAAACCTATTAATTCTTTATAACATGTAATTCCAAAACTATTTGATGAATTAAGTTGTTCATCAAATTTAAATTATAAGAATATAGGATTTATAGATTCCAATATATTATTAATAGCTACCTAGGAAACAGCTGCCTATTCTAATATTTATTTTCTACATAACTTATTAGCAATAATCTAATAGTTATTTCTCAAAGAACTCCTTGTTAATGGAGTATAGAGTGAAGCCAAAGAAACTAAATATCTACCTATATGCTAAGCCAATTTGAATTAGTTGCAAACGTAAATGCATAATTTATAACTTTTAAATTATTCTAATAGATCTAATATTAAATAGATAGTATCAATATCTATACTATCTAAATCATATAAGAAGTTGATCATATAATCAAATTCTTTCTCTTCACCTGTTCTATTAGACAATAATGTAGATTTATGTTTTTATTTTTCTATATGATTCTTAAATTCAGTAGAAAAATATTAAAATTGTTAAATTAACTATTGTAAAATATTATTCTTGATGAAAATATTAGATCTAGATTTTAAGAGTGAAACATTTGAAGGTTAATTCAACAAGAGAACATTTGAAAATTGTGATTCAACACTTGAAGTAGCAATAGATTTAATTAATGATTTATTATTGTTTTTCAACCATTCATCTTCTGGGTCAAATATTGAAAGATGATCAAAGGATTCTTCATTTTAAACACAAAAAGATTATGAATCATCTACCTCAATAATTTATTATTATAAAATATTTGCTTTAGATGTTTCAATATTTTCTTGGACATATTCTACTTAAGATTATTTTGATTCATTTATCAATGAATTCTAAATTTAAAAACTTTGAGATTAATTATTCTGATCTTCTTAAATGAGACTTGTCTCTTCAATTATATTAAGTTCTTCCATATCTTTTTCTTATTGCTCAATCTAATCAGTCATTTCTTAAAGAAAATTTGGAAAATATTTATTTAAGAAAGCTATTCTTTCATCTATTGTAAATTCTTTCTTATGCTAATTTAATAATTCGAATATTCTTTCCCATTTTTTACCATTTTTAAAACAATCAAGTGCTCTTCTAATATCATTTAGTTAATAAAATAAATCACCAGCCTCCTCAAATTAGCCTGCAAAATATGCAGATTCAGCAGTTTCACTTTTACAATCAGTCAATTTGTATAATTCATAAGCTTTAGAATATTCTTTACCTGAAAAATAACATTATGCTGCTCTTAAAGGTAAATTAATTTCCTCAAATAAACGTGCAGCTGTAACATAATTAGAATAATTCTCATTAAATATGTTAGTTTAAGTAGCCATAAAATAAGCCTTAGACTTCTTTGCTAATTACTCATCACCACAAAATCTAAAGCACTTTTCTGCCTAATCATAATTATTGAGTCTAAACATCTTGTAGCCCTATTTTCTCCAATTAGCTTTATTATCTAATTAATGTTCAAGAATAAACTAAGTTTCAGAAATTTAAATATTCTTTTTCTAAACAATTTGAACAACATCTAATTTCTACCAAAGTTATTGCATTATGAATCTTTTTTAAATTGATTAATCAAATATTATTAATCTTCTCTTTGGTCTAGTTATAGCAACATACAATTATTTTAAGTCTTAACACAAAGATACATATTCTTAATTTGAATCTTATTTAGCTTTTTATTTTTTTTATTCTACCCATTCATTTTATTTGAGTTATTTTATTTCTATCAATTTATTTTAATTATTTAAATCTGCTGCTATTATATCAGTTTGATGAACTATAAAATAAACATATATAAAATACTTGTTTAGTAGTTTTTAAATTATTCTTCAGACATATAAACTGATTAAACTTCTAATTCATTCAAAGATCTCCATTCTTCTAAAGATGTAGTACAATCATTAAAAAAATTATATAAAATTACATCATCAAATTCTAAACCTTTAGCTTCATATATTGTAAGAACCAAAGCATTTTATAATTCTTAAGGTAATTTACCTTTAGATTCTTAATCCTTTACAATAATAGCTTAATTACATCCAAATTCAACAGCTTTTCTTTCATTTATAAAAAATTCTTAAATATATGACAATAAATCTTAAGAGTCTTCTATTTATAAAATAATTGGCTTTGGTCCAGTTAAATCAGATGTTTCCTTTTTTAATCTATCAATTTTATATGGAAAACAAATTTCTAAAACTCTTATAACAGAATTGGCTAATTATAAAATTTAATTATGTGATCTAAAATTAATATTAAGATCAAACAATTTTAAATTTGATTTTCTTTTTCTTTGATTACCTCTATAACTTAATAAACAATTTTAAACTTCAAAAAATTTAAATCCTATTCCCTTAGCAATATTTTAAGCATTGTCACCACAACAAAATAATCCAAATTCTGCCATTCTATCTAAAAGTACTAGAACAGCTCTTGGTACATCTTAAAGTTCATCTAACATTAAATAATGAGCACATTCAATTACATCATTACCTTAACTTAATTCATAATTAATATGATTAACAATATCCAATAAATCATAATAATTATACATTTTTTTTAATTTTTCATAGGCTTCAAATGCCTTATAAAGTAAATTCGTTTATACTTATGATAAAACTCTATAATAATAAGAATAATTCTCTAAATTCATATATTTTTGAGGATATTCATGTGAAGTCTCATGACCTTTGATTTTTGTACAAATTTCACTCCATACTAAAGTAGGATCAAAAGTAGATATATCTAAATTTTCTTATTTTAAATCTTTAATAATTTTAGGCCAAAATACTCTTTCAAAAACTTCTAGAGTTACTTCTTGCAAATTTGTTTCAATGAATTCTTGATTGTCTATTAAACTTATATGTTTATGAAGTAGTTCTTCATTAAATGTTTGAGAAGTTTAATTTTAATCTAATTTCATAAGACCTAATGATTCATTATGCCATTAAGATAACTTATTTTAATATCCTCCATGAACTTTAAAAAAAGAATTGAGAAGTGAAGAATCAATTAGTGCCAATAATTTTCTTAAAGTTAAGAAAACAGGAAATTGTTAAATTTCACTAAATTTATTAAACTTACCCATTTCTTTTTCAAATTCATTTATTTCTTCATCATCTATTTCATTTTCATTCTAAAATCCTTATTAATTATTATTATTTATATCTTCCTCATTTTATTATAATGCCTCAATTATTTAAAAAGTACTCTATTCTAAATCTATATTTTAAGATTAATCATAGCAATCCTTTTTTTATTTTTATCTTTTTTTATTAATAGCATCTTAAATATTATTTACTAATTAATCATATAATCTTTTAACTTAACAAGCTAATAATGGACTTGCTGTTACAAATATTGTTTTTAATTATGTATTTTAATCTTATTAAGATAATTAAATATCAGAAGTTTAATTTTTTATTTAATTTAATTTGATTCTTAATTTATACAAAATATCTGTTGAAAATAATTTTAATAATGCACATGTAGTTTTGCCTGTTCCACTTCTACCAATCACTAAAGCATCTCCATTATATGAAATAATATCTTATTACTCTTAAGTTAGTTTCACTTTAAAATTTGGAATGTTCTTTATTATAGTTAATAATTATTATGAAGATGGTAAATTACAATATCTTTAGATTGCATAATTATTTGATCGTATTTCTTCATATTATTATAATTTTTTATAATATTTTTCTTCATCTTCTTATGTCATCCATAAATTTAATTTTTTGTTGTAGATAAATTTATTTTCTTAACAAATTAATGGTTTAAATATTCGTGGTCCTACTAACAAGTTAAAATTATCTGTCCATTCACCAATCCTTAAGTATTTAACCTTTTTTTTATCAAAACTACATTCTTATATAAATTTCATATCACTAAAAAAATTTGGTGTGCTTTATTGAATTTTGAGATAATTTTCATATTATAATTGATTTTTATAAAATTCTTTCTGATTAAAATCAACAAAAATCATCTCATGAACATAATCAAATTAAATTGGATGTTATGAACTATTCATAATAGGATATTTCTTAGGAAATATTTAAAATAAAATTGTAATTCGATTTTCAAGTTCAAAAATAATCTAGTAATCATATTAAAATGGAAATTATATACTTCCCACTTAAAGAGGAGATAATCTAATCGATAAATTATTTTCTTAAATGATCCTTCCTTAAACTAAAGCTTTAATTAATGTAAATATTTTTATTAAATCATCTTCTTTTAGAGTTTGTAATTTTTATAGAAATTATTCTAATTTATTAAGATATTTTACATGTAAATGATAAATCCCAAATTCTTTATGGAAATAAAGTACTAAGTGGGATTTATTGTAAATATTAGTTTATTTCATCTTCTTCAATTAATGTTAATCCCATAAAGCGATGTTCATTATGAACTTAGAAAATTTAAAAATATTTTGTAATCAGGAATTTGGCATTAAATTTTAAATCAAAATTCTCAAAAATATTTTTTAAAATCTCTGTAATTGCAGCAATAAGCTCTGCTTTTTCTTTTTTAAACTTAATCAATTAAGACTCTCTATCGTTGTTATTTACCTATTTTTTTTTCATTTATTCTTTAATAATAATATTTATTTAACTTAAATCTAAATAATACTAATTCTAAATTCTTTAATTTATTTAAATTAATACATTTCAAGGTTAACATTTAAATTTAATATATAATTCATTACAAATATTATATATTAAATTTAAAACACACTTTTTCTAATTCTTTTTTTAATTTATTTAGTTAAATATATATATATATAATTAATTAATTAAATTATGAACGAGAGTAATATATAAAGTGTTTAAACAAATTAAATTTTCATTTTATGAAAGAGAATAATTCTGCTGCCATGGATCCTTTAGGAAATTCTATATTGCTGAATAAAGCATTGCTTATTAATGGTTTTTCTTTTAATTTTTGTTTTCCAAGATAATTTATGATTTCAATAGCATAATTTTCATTGATTGGTTTAATAAAGCTAAAAAAGTCAATTAGCTCATTTGAAATAGGATTTAATCCTCTATTTCTAAAAATAATGTTTTCATCTCTTTATTCAATACTTGATTATATGATATTTTTAATTGAATCATATTTTTTACATATTCTTACAATTTCATCTTCTTATTCTTTTAAGATATTTGATTCTGGAATTTATGAATAGATAAGACTTTATACTTTGATATTAGAATTTCCTTATTCAATTTAATTATTTTCATCAAATACATGATTAGAAATATCTTGATAATTGATTGCAGCACTTCCTCCTTATTACGTACTTTCACTTATTAACATTATATTACTAAATTATTTTTCTTATTTCAACCATTTAATCATTTTATTTAAGATTTATTCAGAATTTTTAGATAAAAAGTCATCAAACTAAAAGTATTTTGAATTTAATTATTATTAAAAGGATTCTTGTTAAGATAAACTTTCTGAATTTTAATATTATTCAATAAGTTTTTTTTATTCAACTTAAGAAAGCAATTTAAAATTTTCTTAAATTTTTTCTTCGCAATATTCAAAGAAATGAGAATCTAAATAATTTTCACAAATCCATAATGGTAATATAGATTTAAGGAATTTATTATCTTTTTCCCATTTTTCAAAAAATATCAATAAATCACCATGTGATTCAAAATATAAATTATTCATTAAATCTTTAGAATCTTATTAAATGAATTAAATAATATCTTTAAGTTAATCTGAAAATAAAAAGTCACTTCTTCCAATCCATTATAAATTAGCAACATCAATATTTATATCAATTATTGCATTAAAGAATTGATTAAATTGTATTTATGATTAATTATTGGATCTTCTAGCTAATTTAAATTCATCTAGTATGAAATCAATATCTAATTATTAAACCATACATCCCCATAATTTAGCACCAATTATTTCAATTTTTAATTCTGGAGATAATTTATAGAATTTTTCATCAAAACTTTTATTTATTGGACTCAAATCATAATCTGGATCCTTAGAAAATTTAATTAAATGATTTTAAAAATGTTCCCAAATCAATACATAAATTTAACACTACACTAATTTATTATCTTTAAGTTCTTTAATAATTTAATTTGCTAAATTGCAATAACTTTTAAGTCCTTAGAATAATAATATTAATGAATTCTCATATTATCCACCATAATTAGATTTTAATTACTCAAAATTCATCAATCTAAAATTCCTTACAAAATCTGAATCTATTTTCTAAATATCAATATATTTATTGTATTTTTTATCAATTAATGAACATTAAAAAACTGAACTTATATTGTTAAGTAAAATGTCTTCAAATTACGTTATTTATGGTGGAATAGACTTACTAAGAATTTTTATTACTTTCTTTCTATAAAATATTGTATATTTAAGTTACCTATTTTTTTCAAAGTGACATGGAAATTTTATGAAAATTTCTTTCAGTTAATTTAGTATTTTAACATCTACATACAATTCAATGTCTTCTATTAGAAATTTTAAGCAACTAAGTAATGATCTTTATCCACTGGATTAAGCTCCTCCCATTTATTTTATTAATGAAATTTTACATTCTAATTCAGAAGTCGATTTCTTAATTTATAGAACACTTAATTAAATATAGAATGAAATATATATATAATAATGTATAAAATATTACTCCCTTTACTATAATTCTTTTGTAATCAGTTTCTAAATGACATTATAATTAAAAGTAATTCAAATTTGAATAGTTTCTGACAATTATACTTAATCATTCTGTTAAGAATAATTAAATTTAACTTGTCTTGATTTTAATATTGTTTTCCAAATATTGAATACTAATCTAAATAATATCCAAAAATTATATCTCCTATAAAATGAAGATCATATTACTACTTTCTAATAATTTGAGTTTCAATTATTGACGATTATATAAATACTTGTATTCTAAAATATTAAAAGAATTATTTAACCCATTTATTATAATTCCTAATAATGTAAATTCTTCATTATATAAATAATTGAATATCTTTTTAGAAAGTATGATTATAATATTGAAATTGAATAGAATATAAAATGAAATTCAAAAATATCAATTAAAGTATTTATTTGATTTTTTGGAGTAATTGATATTTTCAATATTTTTTTAAATGACTTTTTTCAATGAGTCTTAAAATTAATTAATTCTTTCTTATTCTTCTGTCTATTTGACTTTGGCAAAACGAAATACGAATATACTATTTCTTTCAGCATTTCTACTATTATTACTTTCATCCATATCTAACAAACTTGTAATTGCTGAATCATTCTGAACTTACCACATTTAATCCTATTTAGTGTAAAAAGATCTTCTATTCTTATATAAATTATTTAATAATATACCGAGTTATCAGATTTTACTGGAGAAAATAAGGCAGTCAACTCCATCAAAATTCTTGAACGTCTTTATATTTTTTCACTTGCTTCATGTTTTAAATTCTTTTTTTTATTCCCAGTTGATTTTTACTCTAAATAAAATTATTTTATATATTTCTTAGGAACAATATCATCAAACGCTTCTAATTCTGTAACTAAAGATTTAATTTATGGAGGTTATTATTTTTCAAAATAATCAGCTAATTCATAATAAATTTCATTATGTCTTCTTAATTAGTATATTGGAGTGTTATATTTTCTATTATCATCTCTTGTCAATGATCTCAATTTCATTATTAATTCTTATCTAGAAAGCTCAGTAAAGTTGCATCTTTCTTCTGTTTTTCTATGAGTTTCAGCTAGTCTATTGTACAATTAATACAAATCTTCATTTGGTTGTTATCTCAAACCTAAATTAATATCTTTACTTATTCTTTCATATTCAAATTAATCTTTTAATTTTATTTTACCATTTAATTACCATCCTTAATATTACTTTATTGGATCATAATTTTATTTGAATATCTTATAACCAGGTGGTCCAAATTCATTTTAAGTAGTATCCAATTTACAATGTTAAGCTTAACAATATTTAAGTGCTTTTTTCTTATCTAAACCAGCCCTTCTTAATTTTGCAAATACAGTAGCATTTTCTTAGTTTTCTTCAGTAAACTTACGTCTAGGAATAAATCTTTAACAATCTCTAAATAGACCACTTGTTAATTTGTTTGGTTTTTCAAATGGAGATGAACTAAATGCTGTTTCTCTCATTAATTATAATAATAATTTAAATATAATTAAGACATTATCATGTATTTAAGAAATCTTTACCAAATAAAGTTCCATCAAATTTACAATTTATCCTACCAATAACTTTTGTGACTAATTTATCAAGTTTTTATTAAAATTATTAATTTTTTCTTTATTCTTCTCCTGGCTAAAACTTAGAATATCTATGACTTAAAACACTGCATCTCTTTTTTGCAGTTGCACTTCCTTCCTCATTAAATATTTACTCTTTTGATAAACCTATACTTGGAAGTTCTTAACGTTGTCTTTCATCATCAGCTTTTGGATTAAATTACTCTAACATCTTCATAGCTATCCAATAATACAATTTCAATCGAAGGATCATTTGGACTTCCGGCTTCTCTATAAGTCTCTATCAATTCATTTAATGCCTTTAATCTTGACTTTAATCCCTTCTCTTCATCTGTTCTTTTTAGACCTGGTCTCTAAACTCTGGGTTCTATTCTAAATTATTCTCTTATGTATTTTGGTATTATATCATCAAATGATTCTGTATCAGTTATTAATGTTCTAGACAATGGCTTTATTTACTCATAATAGTCTGCTAATTCAAAGTAATGATCTTTTCCATTTCCCATTTGAAATTATGGAAGTTTTACTTATTTACTGGAATTGCTTAAGCCTAAGAAATAGTTTTTCAGCCTTTCAAATTTTTTCTATTCTTCTTAATTTCGATATTACATCAATCCATCATCTCCCTTAGCCTTTTAGAACTTCTCGGAACTTCTTTCTTTCAATTTTCCAACCATTTGCCAACCTCTAATTATTTTTTATTTATCAAGAGAAGTTTAAAATATTTTAAAATTTGGTGGTCCATGTCTACATTGTGAAGCATCAATTTTACAATGATCAGCCAAACAATATTTTAATGCCTTATCCCTAACTAATCCAAATCTTCTAAGTTTTGAATATATCATTGCATCTTCCTCATTCGGTTACGGTGATCTCTCTTTAGGCTAGAACCTTATACATTATCTAAACAATCCTATCTCTCTTGGAGAATTAGATTAATTATTAAATCTAGCATGTTTCATTTATCAAAATTTATAATCATTATCTATACTCAAATCTAATTTTTATATATGATATCAAATGAGCTCAAAATCTCTAAATATATTCCTTATAAAAATACTAAAACTATTTTAAATATTATGAAAATTAATTTATAACCTAATGAATTAACCCAAAATCCTAATTTAATTACTTATAAAGTTTTGGAAGTGGTTTTTTTAGAATTATTTATAAAATTTAACATTTAATATTTTAAGGAAACAGAATAAAACAAATATATATTAAATGATTAAGAAATTCTATTGAAAATTTGAAAGGCTTATTATATTCCAACAATTTTCTATAATAATAATTATGTCAATATTATATCAAATCTAATGGATAATATATATAATTTTTTTTAATTGATAATACAACTATCTAGATCTTTAATTTATTATTTGAATCATTTTAACTTATTAATGAGCTTTAAAATTGAAAAAACTTCCAAAGAAATTATTTTTGATTATGTCTTGATAGATATTTACAAAGTTGAATTTTATTTTTTTATTAATTTAGTTTTATTATCTATTTCATTTCTTTACTTATCATCTCCTGTATTTCATAAATGTATATATTTATATTTAAATTATTTACTTATATATATAGTTTATTATGAAAGATAGTATTTTACTTTTTAAAATTTATTGTAAAAATCGTATCAATTACAAATTACCATACAAAAGACTTTTGATTTCATAACAAGAAATACTTTTCTTTATATTTTTATATTATCATACACATATAAGAACAACATCATTTATTTATTTTTATTGTTTGAAATAGTTTTAATTTTAAATGAAAGACATTGATCAAAATAACTTATTAGAATTAGAGAGAGAAGATTGAAATGAATATAAGATATATAATTTCGTTTGTTTAATTAAAAAAAAAGAAGGTGCGAGGGTTTCCCCTCACTAGCAGAAATTGAGCGATAAAGCCTTTCCAAACGGAAAGTTTTGGAGCCTCACTGACGCCGGTTGTGCGATGGCCAGCTTAACCCCACACTGCTAATCTGCATGATCATCAGCAGTGCTCGCCAGGTAAGTGAATTAAGTAAAGTTAGAAATTTACTTATATAGTTTTAATAAAAATGATATTTTATGGGTTTGATATAAATAAAAAATAATATAAGAAGAATAAGTTAATAATGCTAAAATGGATTGTAATAATTAGGTTATTAAATATGAAAACTTGAGAGTTAATTATTATTTTCTAGAACAACAATGTAAAATTCTTAGAGATTCTTCTAAATGAGATAGATGACCAAAGCAATGGACAGTTGTTTTGAAGATGAAATGTTTCAGATAAAACAATTAATTTCATAATTAAGATAATCAGAAGTTAACTTTTATGATCAAAGATTATAATATGATACTTAGATCTTATAAGAATGGGAAATTTATAAAGAGAGTTAAATAAAGAAGATAATACATGAAACAATGAATTCATCAAGTCCTGATTTTAAGATTTGCTTATGTGAATTTGCATAGAATAAACGATTATCAATTGAAATTTGGATTAAAGTAGCTTATGATGTATTTTATGATGAATTAGATGGTAATGAATTAAGAATGAAATTTTGGACTTACTTTAAAAAAAAGTATTTTACTTTAAGAGATGAATTAATGACAAAAGAATGGCCAGATTAATGGAAATATGTAGAAGATGAACCATGTTTATGTTTGGATATAATTAAGGTGTATGAATAATATTTACCAATCAGAATGTTAATAGCTTAAAATTTGAATGAATTAGCTCCAAATTATTTATATGTTGATGTTAGACGAATGCCTAATCTAATAGAAGATAATGGTTTATATTTAGAATGTACAAGAAAAACATGGTTTCCTAATTTATAATTGTTATCATGTGATTAATTAGAAAAGGTTTATTACTCAAATACAGTATTTAGTCATTAAATATTAAGATTTGTTGTTATAATAAAAAAGATTGTTATGCCTATTTTATAATATTTCTAAGAAAGGGCTGAGGCTGGTAATGTAATCAATATTTATGGAGAATAACATGAATTTATGTTTGAAATACTTTAATCTTTAAAAGCTTTAAGTGGATTGGCTATTAGAACTGCTGATGCTACTTTGAGAGTGTAAAAATCATTCAAATAAGGATCTGTAGATTCAAGAACTAAAGAGGATGTATGTAAAGTAATTATATCTACTTTATCATAACATGATGTAAATTAAGAGATTTTATAGGATATTTATGATAATTTATGTTAAGGTTATACAACATTTTATTCAGATGTTTATAAACATATTAAACCTTATCCTAAATTAATTATTATGGTAAGTGAAAGAAAATTATCATTTAAAATGTCAAGATCAGATGATATTTAATATCATTAAATTCCTGATTAAATGATTTCAGATTTACTAAAAACAATTGACTATCAATTTCTTGTTTATTATGTTAATTTATGTTTTAATAAAGTAATGACTTTATAATAAAGATCTGGATAAAGGAAACCATTTTTTTAAATTATGATGTTGATGTGGTCATATGCAGTACCATTGTTTTTTAAAAATGTTAAGCCTGAATTATCAGATGCCAAAATATTTGAATATATGGAAGCTTATGAAAAATTGATTGAGTAAGAAAATATAACAATAGATTTATCAGATAATGAATTAAAATAGTAATTTAATGAAGATGATTAAGATTCTAAAGAGTCTGAGAGTTAAGAATCTGAAATTTAAGGAGATAATATGGAAATCACTAATCTTGGTAAAGTTGTAAAGAAAATAAGATTTTATTGATTGATGAAAATAATATTAATTAATATTTATATATATATATATATATTTAATGAAATCTATATCACAATAAACAAGATCATTGATTCATAAATAATAAGAATTAGGATTAATAGATTCTAGGATTTCTTAATTAAAATAATAATTATAATTACAAGAATCAAATAATCATATCATTGAATTCAAAGTTAATAAAATTTTGGAAACTAAAAAGAACACATCTAAAGATTAATCTGATGTATTATCTATACATTATAAATATAGTATAGTAGAAGATTAGAAAATCTAAATTAAGATTAACAAAACAGAAACAGTAAAATTAAGTTATTGAAACATCTTTAAGAAGAAGATTCCTTTAGAAGAAAACGAGATTTAGATGAAGAGAAAAGACTTGAATAGGAAGTAATGAAAGAACGATCAATGCTCTATTAATTGCAATACAAAAATAGTTAAAATGAAGAACTTTAAATTAAATAGTAGTAATTCTAAAAGGTAAATTTATATCATTATTATTACTATAGATTTAAGAATAGAAGTTTAGAATGAAATAGAAATTAGATTTGAGAAGAATTGAAAAAATTGAAAATGTTAGAAATTGTTAAATAAAAAAGAAAGCAGAACTTACAGTTAAATTCGATTTATAATAATAAGAGTATTAATTAAAAATTGAAGAAGAATAATAATTATTAAAGTATTAATAATTTATTAGAATATATAGAAAATTATCATTCTCTTAATTAAGATTTTAAGCTCTTAAAGATGATCTTGATTTAGCATAAAAGATATCTATAAGAGATTATACAAATTCATCAACTAATTAAGGTTTTATTAAATAACCACTTGATTAATCTAAAATCAAAAAAGTTATTTTTACAAGTCCTTATGCTTAAATACCATCAATTTTAAATTAAAAGTAGCCTATTCTGTATAATATAGGGATGTAGATAAGTTAAACCTACTATCAAAATTATTGAAACCTTCTTTCAAAGATCAATAATAAACGACTGAAAGGTTAAACAAAAAAAACAACTAAACTTATTACAATACACAACTTTCAGATAGAACTCATACAAAAGAAAATTCATCTAAATTCGATACAGAAACTAGTTAAACTTAAAAAAATAAATTTTAATCTAAATAAAATCAAAATAATAAGTTGGATGCTCAAACTAAAAGTTCAAGTAATTTTAATGAAAATTTGGATACTTAAAAACTATTGAAATCTGAAAATAAATCTCTTCCTTAAGATAATCAAAATGAAAAATAAGAAGAAGAGTATAAAGAAAATTAATAAGAAGATAATTATGAATAAGAGGAAATTTCTAATTATAAAGATGATAATTAAGAAGATGAAAATTAACCTCTTTAATAAGATTAATAAAATGATTAAAATTAAGAATAATAAAATATAGAAGAATTTTAAGATGATGAGCAATATCCAGCTGATGATGATGAAGAATAGTGATTCTAATCTATTTTATGTTTTGAAAATACGTACTGGATTAAGTACTGGCATTTATTTTAATGGGCTTATAATTATTATTACTTATTTACTTAATTCATATATAAATTAATTAAAAACTTAAATAAAATGGGATGTTCATTATAAAAACAAAAAAAATTCGAAACAATCAGCAAGCGTTACTCGACAACTGCAAATACTTGTAGTATCAAATTTTTTATATTGTTTAGTAACACCTGATTAAAAATAAAGCTTAGAAGTTTATAATCCAACACTTGGAAAGATTGTCTAAGTTCCAATACTTGTACCTGCTTCTAAAAGCAATATTATGAAAAGAAGAAGTACATAAATTACTACAGGAATGTGAAAACACTAGATATAATGATTTTATATATTATTTTGTATTAGTTGTTTATTGAATTCATTCATTTTAATGCGCATCAACTCTTCAAACATTTATAACTATACTCATTAGATTAATAATAGTATGCTAAATTGCTTAACAAATTAGAAATTTCTAGTCTAGATTATTATATTGACACATATAACACTTAAATACGATAGTAACAGTCTTAATATGAAATACTATAAACCTGAGAATAGGAACTATTTACTTTATAGTTATAATAAAAATGGATTTATCGTCATTAAATCTATGTTTAAACGAATGATATATTTATTTAAAGGTAATCAAATATCTAAATCTCAAATGAACTTTCTTTTATAATTAGAAGTATATCATTTATTCATATAAATTTCTGTATATAAAGGATTATTTTTATACAAAAACCTTGAAAAATTTTAAACTGTTTTATAATCTATATGGTGTTTCAAGTTCATAATTATCTTAAGAATTTCAAAAGGAATAGAATTTATTTTATTTGGGCAAGATAAAAATGAAGATAAATTCACTAATTGATTTTTAAAATAAATCGAATAAATTTTTGATAATTTATTATTTACTATTTAATTAATAAAATTAAAATCGATTATTTGAACCTATTTTAAAATATATAAAACAACAGAATATAGAAATATGTCTCTTCTATTTATTAGTATAGATAAAATCATTTAATATAAAATAATTTACTAAATATACTAAACTAGAATCATTTTATAAGTGACAATTTTTAATTTAGATGATTACATAATTCTTTAAGTTAAGATGCATCCAATTTTGAACACTTTTTAATAAAAAATTCAATCTATTTTAATAAATCCATTAAATTTGGATTTTATTCATGTTTTTTACAATAAAGTATTAAAAATTAAAGTATTTATTCATATATCTTTAATGAATTTGAATTTTCCTCTTATTCAAATACTAAGTATTGTTTTAAAAACTATTAAATACTTTTTAATTAAAAAAAACCTTAACAACTATCATATATTAATAATTCTTTAATAATCATCCAGATATATAATTTTGATATCTAATTATCTTATGTTAAAATATATTCAAATGATTTTCTTTATTCAAAAAATATAGTGCCTAATGTATCTACAACTTTTACATTAGGATCATCATTCATTCCAAATACTTATTTAGAATTACATTCTTATAATTCCTATTTTGCTAGGATTGGTATGCAATAATAAAAACATTAAAAAGCTTGAAAATGAACTTATGAATGATGAAAAAATTATGTTAATGATAATGCTATCTATCTTAATATTGTAACAATATTATTATTTAATGAAGGATTTATCCATTGTTTGAAAAATAGTATCAAAAATTGAAGATACTTTTGAGTAAACAAAATATCAGATTTTAAGTAATACTTATCATATATTTAATAAATTGTCTTTAAGACTTAATATATTATATCTAAGCCTTAATTATATCCATCAAATTTAGAGTAGATATGTAATATAGTCTATAAAGAATTACCTTAATCAACTTAAAGGTTGGATTCTTAAATCTTTTGAATGTTTCTATAGAGTATTGAAGCTATATGATCATAAATATTAAATTATTTAATATAGTTTTAACTTATTTCTGTAATCAAAACAGTAGATTAACTATTTTAACACATTAAATAATCTAAATATAAAACTTCTATAAATTAATCATCTTTTTCATCAATTCTTTGATAAATTAGATTGCTATATATAATTAATTAAGATTGAAATATTGAATTATATGGAGCATTTTAATTGAAAATAAGCATACTAAACTATTTTATCAAATTTTTAAAATAATATGAATCATGTTTTTAAGTAGAAGAAATATTATTAAGAATAAATAGTATAGATGATGTGTATAGAATTTATGTGATTTAGATTTTGATAATTTATGAGTCATCAACTATTATAGTTTAAATTAATTTATTTAGGTATTTTTCTAATTTATTTTCTAAATATTTATTGATAATTTCATTTTCATTTAAACTATTAAGAAGACTTATTATTTCATTTAAAATACTCTATTCATTATTTAAAATTGGCATTAATTCAAGATTAAGTTTGTTGATAGTATTTTTTATGGATATATTTAAATTTTAATTAAGTGTTGTAATCTATTAATCAACTGATACTACTATTTGATTCCATTTATATTATAATCCTTAGACCAAATATTTAATAATTTTTTCACTAATTTGAACATATTATAATTAATTTTATTATTTCTTCTAGAATTCAATAATTATATAAATTAACCATTTAATTTTTCTAATTATTGCTATAGTTTATGATGTGTCTACTTCATTTTATAATGAATGAAATCGTTTTAATTCAAATTCTAAATCCTCCTCTAATTCATTATAGATTCTTAATTCTTACTAAGAGTTCATTTAAATTATAAGGTTTGTAAATTCTTGAATATTTTAACCTTCATTAAATCTAAAGTATAAATTAATTAATGATATCTAAGTAGGAATATAGAAATATTAACCACTATTTGAATATTAGAAAATCTTAAAAATCAATTAGGAATAACATTTATTGAGTTTAGGTGTAGGTAAATGAGTTATGAAGAGACAAAAATTTTGTAATTCTTCGTTTACTTTTTATTATACTAAAAAATGTTAATTTTCTTCATATTTTAATGATATAACATTAAAATTTAATTGTTAATATTAACTTTAAGTATTGCAAACTATATAGGATAGGATTTTTTCAAAAAGTAACAATCCATTCTCTTAAATTACTCCTCTACTATATTTCAATAGACAAGTCAATGTTTTAATGAATAATTGAGGATATGCTATTTAGAGAGCTTTTGAATTATCTATGAGAAGCGAAATTAATTAAAAAATTTCAGGAATAAAAGTTTGATTAACTTTTGCTAATAGATTGATTAATGTGCTCAAGATAGAGATTGTACATTATAATTGATCAATGTATTATTGTTTTGGGATATTCTATAGAATTTTGAGCATTTGAGAAGTGTAATATTCATCATATTGCTCAATTTGTTTAGTCAATTTTTTAGTAATTTCAATTAGGATAGATGTATAGTGTTCTTGTTTTAATGGTAATTATGATTAAAGAGCAAGTAAAATTGAAGAATAGGCAGAATCTAAATTAGAATCTTATTGTTTGATAATGAGGATTGACTGTAGCAAATTTTTGGCTATTTAGTATTAGTTATCCATAATTTAATTGATAAATTTTATAATATAATCAAGAAACTTAAATTGCAGGTTTAAAGATGGGTAAAATAATTTTAGAGTATTTGGATGGAAATCGAATTTATGTATGCACAAAATGCCATATACATTTATCAAATTATGAGAGTATAATATCGAAGGTAAGATTAAAAATATGATTCTAGAATTTTAGAGGTGGAACTGGTAAAGCATTCTTATTTGAAAAAGGGTACTTTATTTAGATAATAAAGTATCAATTATCATGTTGGAATACCCGAAGATAAGGATCTGATGACTGGAAAACATACAGTGTAAGATCTAATTTGTAATGGTTGTAACTAAGTTATTGGATGGAAATATGTATAAATGATTGAATTAATTCATCACTTAGATCAAAGCATATCGAGAATCAGAGAAATACAAAGAGGGAAAGATAATAATAGAAAGACATTATATAAAAAGAATTAAATGGAACTGAATCTATCTATATATATATATAATATATATTATTATTAAATTTAAAGATCCATTTTAAGTATAAGTGAAAAAGAGATAAAATAATATAATAATAATCTGTTGATTAATTTATATATAATTAAAAATTACGTTAAAAGAAGATGTTTCAGAAGATGTTGAATCAATAAATGAAGAATTAAGTAGGGTCTCTAAATCAATAAAAGTAGGAAGACATGAATAGAAGAGTAGTAACAGAAATTGAAGATGTGGATTAAGAAATAAAAACAATGCAAGATGTCACAAATTTAAAAGCTCATTTGAAGATGAATTAAATTGTGAAAAAATCATTTAGAAAAAATAAGGATGAAACTAATCCATCTATCTATATTAGTAAATTTGAGAATCAATTAAAATAAATACAACAATCTACAATAAAAAAATAGACACGTAAACCACTCTCTATTGAAAAAAACAGCACTAAATCAGTATTAATGCCAGCATCCACTGAAAGATATGATTATTCTAATTTTACATACATAAATTTAAAAGTTGTTGGAAGTGGATCATTTGGAGTTGTACATAAAGTAAACTAATTTTAAATAAAAGGCTAAAGTAAATGAGACAGGAGAAATTGTAGCAATTAAAAAAGTATTACAAGATCGTAGATACAAAAATAGAGAATTATAGATATTATAAGAATTAGATCATGTTAATGTACTTAAAATGAAACATGCATTCTATACTCCTGCTGAAAACAAAGATGAAAATTATCTTAATGTTGTAATGGAGTACTTTCCTGACACACTTTACTCATTTAATAAATCATATATTAAAGATTTCAAAAAGATGCCTGATATCTAAGTCAAATTATTTAGTTATTAATTATTAAGATCAATTGCGTAATTAAATTATATATATTCTTAGATATATATCATTATTGGGAATATGTCATAGAGATATTAAACCACATAATGTTTTAGTTAACTCTGAATCAAATAAATTATAATTATGTGATTTTGGGAGTGCAAAAAAATTAGTTAAAGGAGAACCTAATATAGCCTATATCTGTTCAAGATGTTATAGAGCTCCTGAATTGATATTTGGATCCATAGATTATGATACACAAATTGATGTTTGGTCTGTAGGTTGTGTTATAGCTGAATTAATTAATGGAGAACCATTGTTTTTGGGAGATTCTGCAGTTGATTAAATGGTTGAAATTGTTAAAGTACTTGGAACTCCAACTAATGAATAAATATTAAGTATGAATAAGAATTATGATATACAATCTAATTAGTTTGCTAAAATAAAATAAAGAGATTGGAGAAAAGTATAAACTATTATTTTTATAAAGGTTTTAAAAACTAAAGATACTAAAGCAATTGATTTAGTCTCAAAATTACTTACTTATTGTCCAAAAACTAGACTTACTCCATTTAAATCATTAACTCATCCTTATTTTGATGAACTCAGAGATATAGATTAACTAAAAAGTTTACAAAGTTAAATGAAAATTGCCATCCCAGAATTATTTAATTTCTCTAATGGTATTTATATTGATTATACTCTTTAGATGAGATATATAAAATGACATAATAAGAAAGAATGCAATTAATACCTGATTGGTATGGAATTTCATCAAAAATTGTTAAAACTGAATATTGAATAATAATGAATATTTTTAATTATTATGAACGAACCCATTTTTCATTTCTATGGTAATAAGGCAGGTGTAGAAGGAGCAGATTAAATTAAATAAGTTATAGATGATGCTACTAGAGGATCTGAATATTATAAAAGATAATAGGAGAAAAGATTATAAGTTCTTTAAAAAGTGAATAAGATGTAGATAGAATTGGAGAATTATAATAAAAATGAACAAAGAAAGAAAGATATTAAAGAGATTATTTAGAATAAAGTGAAAGAATTTTAAATTAACACGGATAGAATTTGGGCGCATTTTGATATGGATATGTTTTATGTAGCTTGTGAATTATTAGACAAACCAGAATTAATAGATAAACCAGTTGCTGTTGGCTAAAGTATTGTATCTACTGCAAATTATGTGGCAAGAAAATATGGTGTTAGATCTGCCATGCCAACCTTTGTTGCTAAAAAACTCTGTCCAGATATTATATTTATCCCTTGTCATTTTGAAAAATACAAAAGTGTTTCAAATGTATTTGAATGAAATTACTATAGATATTTATGACTATACTCAAAAAGTATGATGATAATTTAGAATCTATGGGATTAGATGAGGCTAATTTAGATCTTACATAATATATAAATAATTCCTAAGAAGATCCAGCAATATTATGTGAAAATATCAGAAAAGATATATTCTTAGCAACCTAACTCACTGCAAGTTGTGGGGTAGGTCCTAATAAAATGATTGCTAAACTTGCCTCTGAAATTAATAAACCTAATGGATTACATGTTGTTTAATAATCTCCCATAGCAGTTCTTAGTTTCTTAGAAAAATTACCTGTGAGAAAGATACCTGGAATTGGGAATATTACTGAATAAATTTTAAGTGGTTTAAACTTTAATACATGTAAGGATGTTAGAGACAGAGCTGATGAACTCTATATAATCTTTACTCCAAAAACATTTGAATATATATTTTACTCTTGTTGGGGAGTTTCAAGAAACTATCATGTAGAATTTGAAGATTAACATAGTATAAGTTGTCAAAGAACATTCTCTAGCATAAGTACATAAAAAGAATTTGAAGATAAAGTTGATTATATTGCAGAAAAACTTGCAGAAGAAATGTAATCAGAGGAAAAAGTAGGAAATCATCTAACTTTGATAATTAAAACATCTAAATTTGAAATAAGGAATAAATCATTGTAATTAAATTAATATACAAATCAATCTAAATAAATAGCATTATATGGCAAATAATTACTCAAGATTATGTAATTAGATGAACCAATAAGATTACTTGGATTAAAAATGAGTTCTTTAGCAAATGAAAAATAAATTTAAAAATAATCAATTTCTACTTATTTCAAAAAGCAATTTGACAAATCTAATGATTAAGAAAATTAGATTACATCCAATATGAGTTCAAAATCTCATAATATATGTTAAGATAGTAATCCTATCTTAAAAGTTCAACTCTAGTAACCAGAACAATCTAAGCCTGAAATAATAAGCGATGATGAAGTTAGTAGCATTAGCAATTAGATAATATCAGGAGTAAATAGTAAGAGTAATTAATCACAAGCCCAATAATAAAAATTCTAATAAAAATAATAAGCATAGCCTAAGTCTTTTAATTGTCCTATTTGTAATAAGGATATTGATTGTAAAGGAAATAATACAGTATTGAATAAGCATATAGACAGATGCATAAATTAATAAAATGTAATAGCTGAATTATCTGATGAGTCAAATAAGAATGTAAAAGATTCAAAAAAAAAGGTTTCATCTAAAATTGAAAATAAGGTCTAAAAGAGTCTTAATTTTTTTAAGAAAGGATCATGATTAATAATTTTTTCTAAATTCAAATGTTAATATTATAATTATATAAAATTAAATTGTTTTTTTCAAATTTGATTAGATTGTTGTTTTTAGAGAATATTTTAGAATTTCATAAAACGTAGATTGAAAAACTAATAAAAAATATCTATATCATTTTGGATATCTTTAACAAAAAGTTTATATAGAAAATAAAATTAATATTATTTGATAATTAAAGTTAAACTAATTAATCAATAATCTTATTGATATGGAGGAGTTCTGGGAATCTTTGGTCTAGCTACAAATGCTTTATCTGATTATTATGGATTTCCATTAGCAATTTAATTTTTGATATTTACCAATGATAGTTGACTGTCAACTATGAATGGTCCTTCTATTTATAATATATATATATACATCGAACAGGCTTTTTCTCCAAATAAGAGTCTGTTAATTATTCATAATAAATGCTTCTTTATTATAATTATTTTTGCATGATTGATTCAATCAATTATCTTTATTGTTCTGCTTATTCACCATCTAAAGCAAATTCATTCCTTAATAGTTCTTCTCCTATTATTATATCATTATTCTCTAGATCATCTTCATCATCATCATCAACTGGACATTCTTCACCATCTTATAAATCATCCACATCATTATCTTATTCTAATTATTATTGTTAATAATCATCATCATTAGTTTTTAACTATTCTATCATATATTGAATTTATTTCTTAAATTTATAATCACTAATTGATAATATTTTATGTAATTCTTGAGGTATATTTAATTAATAAGCATATTTTCTTAAGTCTCTTCTACTAAACATTGAATAAAATGTTCCATTAATGAAAGTTCTAATCTAATCATTAGGATATTCAATTAATTCAAATAAGACTTCAAATGCTAATTCTTTATTAATTGATAAAGAATCTCTCCCTCTTGGACTCAATGATAAATTCATAATTAAAGCAGTGATATATTCATAAGTATATTCACTTAATTGAAATTTTTCCTATTCTTAAAAAATAAATTAATACTCTTTTTAGAATGTTCAAAGCAACTTAAATAATGTCATTGTCAAGCATCCAAATTTGACTTTATTTTCTTAGTGACAATTTTTATAAAGTTCCAATAGAATTCTTTCTCTTGATTGAATCAGTTTAATCCTTTTTTATTGATTCAATTAAAAACTTAATTAAATTTGTATTGCTAGTCAAGTAAGTTCTACCAACATAATCAGAAGCCAAAGCATTCATTAATTTCAAAACCTAGCATTAAATTATATATGCAGATTTCATCATCAAATATTAAGCCAATCCAATGTTTCTTTAATGTGCTCCAATTAAATCATGTGTTTAATATGCGATAATTACTGACCTTCTTTCTAATGCACTTTTTGCCCTTGTTATTCTCCATCTCAAAGCCTATAGTACTGTTGCAACTAAAACTGGATTACTATTTTTGGTGAATAATTTAATAAGTTTTTCATAATTTAATGGAACATACTCTTCGATTGATTATTATAATGTTATCATTTCTATTCTTTAAATAAAAAAATACATTATTAATTAGTTAAATCAAAGAGATCATGATCAGGTTAAGTGACCTTATCTTGATGGGTTACACCCTATAATTTATTAAATTTTTCATCTAAACTCTAACCTAAGAATAGATCACATTATCCAATATTTTTTTTGAATAATTAGAGTTATTCAGGATTTTTCTTATTACTTTCAATATATTTAATCATATCTTTCTCCATTTTTAACATATCTCTTGTGAATTGAAACCATTTTTTCTAAGCCTCAAATAGATTTTATTATCCTGTATAATTTATATCTTATAATTCCTAAGTTAATTAATTAATTTTTTTTCTTAATTCATTATTTTCTTATTACAATAATCTTATGTTTTCTGTCATCTTTTTCTAAAAATCTTATTATTAAATATTAGAGGATCCTTCCTTAGATAATAATAATCTTTTTAAAATGCTTCCATTTTATTCTTAACCATAAACGGATTATAAAAACTCCTTTAGTTTTAATCTCAAGTTAGAAATCCATTCATGAGTGAAAATATGTTAAAAGTTTGGATGCATTTCAGGATTTTTGACATATGGCAATGCATAAAATGGCAATACTTCATTACTCTTTGATAAATCATTTCCGTTAGTATCAATATATTGTTTAAATTGATTAATAGAATTATTATCAATCACACCTTTCTTCTTAAACACTGGATGAATAGGGTAAATAAGAAAATAAATTTAAACATAAAACTCTAGCTTCCAATATTCATTATCTTGTCTTTATTGTATTGGTATGTATCGACTCCATGATTCCAGAAACTTATCTTTTTCTCCTCTATCAAAGTGACTTAAGAGAATATATTGTGTTTAATTTAATTTTTCTATTGCAAATTATGATTCTACTTTAAATTACTCCAATGTTTTTAAACAATTACTTCTCAAAAGGTAATCTTACACTATATAATTTAATTTTTCTATCAATGTTCCATTTGAATCAACTTATTTATAAGCCTGAATATTATTCTTTTAGTCAGGTTCAATTGCAGAATAAATTCTTTTTTATGGGATGTCATTTTTACGAATCAATCCAGAATCAACTTGAGCTCTAACTTCAGATTAAGGTTTCTTATTGTTATTATTCATAATAATAGATGATATTATTAAATTTATGTTTATATTTATTTTTTTAACCTTAGCTTATGCATAAATTGAGTGTCATAAAGATGATTTAGTAACTACATGTTCATTAAATTCATTCCAAGCATATATGATAACCTATGAAAAAAAGACCTCTGATACAATGTTCCTATTCATAGGTACAAAACCTGGTTAAAGGTATATTGTTCATATTATTTAGTTCTCTTTTCTTCGATCAATTAGGTGTAGGACCAAATTCAACTTATGAAAAGTGGACTGATCTAGGTCATTTAATGTTTCTGGATCTATAAGGATCTGGCTACACAATAACCACTAAAACTCCAAAATCAATTGCTGAATATACATAATAGTGTGCAAGTGCCTTTAATACTTTTAAAGATCAATTAGACTATAAATTCACTCGTTTATATATTGTAACAAGTGGAATTGCTTCAAAAGTGGCATTAGAACTAGCTTTATAGTTATAAGCATATGGAACGATTTTGTTTTCTCCATTATTAAATCTTTTAGAGAATATGCGACAGTTGCCAACAACAGCTTATCATATGGGATTAATTGATTTCTAAGAGAGACAATCTTTAGAACTTTAAGTAATGAGTTTGAGTCAACCAAAATATAGCGATTATTAAATTTTAGTTAACAAAGTTTCAAAGATGAGTGGAGATATGCTTGTATCAGATTTCAGAAAATATGAGCTGTATTATTAATTCTTTATATTTTATTTAGGGATAACTCAACAATCATTTTGACTGACATAATGAACACTCAAGTAGTAAGAGATAAATATCATGCAAAATAACAATTTTTTAAGACATTTAATATAGATATCTTTAATAATATGACTGATTCCTTATCTTAAAATATTGATTTAGAAAAATATTTAAAATGTAAGAGTAAATTAATAAAATTTAGAAACCAAAATAATATGTTTGATTCCATAATTTTCCTTAACTACAAATATATAAGGAACCTTAAGTTATCTAATGTAATATAAACATTTTAATGAACAACCCTTTTTACAAAATGTAAATGATAATTAATATGCAATTTATGTAAATATTGGCACTATTTACATAATTTATAATAGTGGTGATAAAATATATCAGGATCAATAAGATATAGTTAAAAAGATAATAAGAAATTTATGATTTATTAATATATTAAGATCCAACCTCCAAATTAATATAAAAACACTGAATTTCTTAAAGTAAAAATGAATTAAAAATAAAATTTAATGTCTATTTTTTTTTAATTCAATAGAATTAGTAAAGAAAAGATTATTGCACTAATATTATCTTGATAACAAGATTATAATTTTAGTATAGAATTGTATTATTAGTCTAAAGTATTAAAGATGATAAAGTTTAAGTGAATGTTACAAACTTTTCTAAACTAATCAATATTTGAAAGTATTAATTTTTTTTTTGTTTTTTTTTTATATAATCTTTTCCATAGAAATGTAAATCATTTCTCCTAATCTTTTAAAGCCTCTAAAACATCCGATCTACAATTTGGACATTTCGTGCTACTCTGTAGCCAAGAATCAACACAAGATTTATGATATATATGTTTACAAGGTAGCTACATTATTAGTTCATCTATTTAAATAAAAAAGCAATACCTTTTTAGAATTAATTACAACATATACTACATTGTCTGTTTGACTTGCCCATCATCATAATCTTTAATTTTTGTAAATATTTCTTTGGAACTCCATTACACTTTTAAAACAATTTATCCACACTATTTTGCCACAACTAAAGTTACATCAACTAAGTTTACTATATTTGGTATTTCATACCTATATTTCCTATCTATATTAATTAGCAACTAAAAATTAAAAAAAGCTTTATTACCTTCTTCCCATATTCTCAATTAAACTCCATCTATTTCATATTATTATTATTATTATCCCTCTAAAATTAATTGTTTTTAATACCACTTCTCTCTTCTAGTACTTATATCATTATTAAATTCGTTGTTCTTTTAATTTATTTGTTTTTTTTTCTGTTGTTATATTTATTAATCAATAATAAAATGAACATCATTTAATTGTATAATAAATTTTAATAAACATATTATAGTCTATTTAGATCAATATCATATTCTCAAATCCTTTTGGTTGTTATTTAGGCAATATTTTAATTTACCCTCCAATACTAATTAAGTTAAATTTATTGATTATTAATTTTTTTATTTTTTCTTAACATTTTAAAAAAAAAATAAAAAATATCATTTTCAAATAAAAATTCATTATAAAAATATAGAGAGACTATTTATTAATTTTCTACTTTATGATAACAAAATATTATTACAACTTTGTAATTGAATATACAAGTACTTGCTATTAGAGTTTAACTACAGAATTTTTCAAAATTTATTAAATTATTATAATAAATTATACATAGTGATAAATAGAGAAAATGATATTTATATTATTATTAAAAAAATGGAAGAAGCCTAATCAAACCAAAATTATATAGCTCTTGACATAAGTGCTTAAAAATAAGTAGGATCTCAACAAGTATTAAAAAATTAAAATTAAACAAAAAAAGTGGTAATTTTTAACATTATCTAAAATTGAACTTTGAAATTTTTATAAGTTTAATATTTCTACTATAAGAAAAAAATACGTCTCAGAAATAATAATTTTGACAATTTAGATGTAAGGGCCGAGTTTATATTGAAGATTTACATCTCTCTGGCAATAGTATAACTAATAATTTTGTTATTGGTACTTCTAGAAAAATGTACAAATATTCAGCATATGTTAGATTTGAAATTTTCAATTCCTTTTGATTAGTTGTTGATTTATATTATCTTTTTTTTTTCTTTATTAGTTCACGTTGTTATAATTTGTGGAGGTCCAATTGTTAGAAAAGTATGATATTAATTTTAATATTTAGATACCTTGGAATTTCTTTTTAGTAGGACTTCATATTATTTTATTTGGATTCTTTTTAATAAATCTATACGTTTTTTTTTTGTTAAAATTATGGTAAGGATACTTGTGGTAGTTTATTGGATCCATATAAATTTTTATTTTAAGTTTGGCTTTTTATTCATTTAAGACTAAGAATAATATTTCATATAAAGGTATTAATGTATTCTAGATATTTTAAGTTGGCTCAATTTTACTTTGTATTCCAACATTTATTGTTATGGTAATTTTGATAGGAGTATATACACAGTATGCTCTTTATATATTTTTATGCGCAGTGTTAATTATTTGTTTAGGGTTCTATTTGATTTTTTAAACAAACTTAATTATTGAGGATTGGGTAAAGAAAATAATTAAATTTTAGAAACTTAAATTATCTATTCATGAATATATCTTAGGATCAACGTTACTGAATGCAGCATTTCTGATGTTTATAATTACTATATTAGATTGGATTAAAGCAATATTGAATGGAAAGTGAGTTTATATATTTATATGAATAGAGCTTGTAAAAAAATAATGAAAAAATACAGAAAACATCAACTAAAGAATATGATAAAAAAATAAAGAAAATGAATTTAATTATATTCTTCATAATATAAATATATATAATATTAAATGATAATAAGTCTTAATATGATTTATATTGGTTTGATTAGTTTGTATTATAATTAGTTTGGAATTATTAAATTTTTCATTGTTTTATAGGGGACATTTAAATCTTTTTATTTAAAATAAAAAGGACATTGTCTTAAGTAAGTAAATTAAATATATTTTATTAGAATAATTATGGATCAAGCAACACAAGATTTACAAGAAAATTGGATAGAGGTATATAAATAAAGTATTTTGTAAGCAAGTCGAAACATTTGAAGAATTAACATTGAGCAAAGATTTATTAAGAGGCATCTTCTCTTATGGTTTCGAAAGACCATCAGCCATCTAACAAAAAGCCATCAAACCAATAATTCTAGGAAAAGATGTCTTAGCACAAGCATAATCAGGTATGTTTTTAACATTTAAAATTTCACATAGGAACTGGAAAAACTGGTACATTCACTATTGGTGCATTACAGAGAATCGACCCAAATCAAAGAAAGACATAAGTCATCATTCTAGCTCCAGTTAGAGAATTGGCTAAGCAAATTTATGATGTTGTTAAAGGAATTGGTCAATACTTGAACATTGAAGCCTTCTGTTGCATTGGTGGTACCTCAACCTAGGAGACCAGAGAAAAATGCAAATAAGGAGTGCACATCATAATTGCTACTCCAGGTAGATTGATTGATATGATGAAAAATAAATATTTGGATGCTACATTTATGAAATTGCTTGTTGTAGATGAAGCTGATTAAATGTTAGACTAAGGTTTTAGTGATAACTTTGCAGAAATCTTAAAAATGGTACCAGGAGATATTTAAATTGGTATTTATGATTTTTAAAGTTATATTAGCATTATTTAGTGCTACTTTCCCATAAGAAATTATTGAATTAAGTAAATAGTTTTTGAGAGAAGGAACAGCTAAGATTTTGGTTAAAAAAGAATAATTGACATTAGAGGGTATTAGATAATTCTACATTGCAATCCAACAAGAAGATCAAAAATTCAAAGTTTTGGTTGAATTGTATAAAAATTTAACAGTTTCTTAATCAATATTATTTTGCAATTCCAAAAAAACCGTTGATGATTTGTATGATAAATTGACTACTGAAGGTTTTACTGTAAGTAAAATACATAGTCAAATGGAATAAAAAGAAAGAGAATAAGTAAATTAATTGTATATAAATTAGGTTATGCAAGAATTCAAAAAAGGTGCTGCCAGAATACTTGTTTCAACAGATCTTATGGGTAGAGGAATTGATGTACAATAATTATCATTAGTCATCAATTATGAATTCCCAAGATTAAAGGAACAATATATCCATAGGTAATAATATTGAAATCTATTATTTTAGAGTTGGAAGAGCTGGTAGATATGGTAGAAAGGGAGTTGCCATTAATATGGTAGCACAATAAGAAGCTAATCTCTTGTTAGAAGTTGAAAAATATTACAACACTAAAATTGATGAAATGCCCAAAGACTTAGCAGAAGTAGAAAAAGAATTAAGTTGAAATATGGGTATTTGTTATAAAAGAGTATAAATGTCAATTTAAATTAATATGTTGTATCTTGGTTAGATCTTTCTTTTATTAAAATAAATATATTTTGGTTTTTAAAATATTTAAATTAATTGTTAGATGATGATATTAAATATATCTAATTTTTAATATATAATTATGCTCATTCAAAAGAAATTATGAATTATTTCAATAATAAAGATTTAATCTTATAAGATGTTACATGAACTAGTTTAACTAATTGTTTAAAATAAAATAGAGGAAATATATGGTTCTAAAAATATAAGATTTCTGTCAGAAAAAGACGTTGACTAGACTTCTAACAATAAATAACCCATTAAATCAGAATAGAATTAAGATTATAATGACGGCTATCTTGTAATTATACTATTAATTTGTCTCTTTTTGCTCATCTGTGTTTGTGGAACAATCATAGAAGTTAGCAGAAGAAAGAAAGTTAAAAAAGAAATTAANTTAGCATTATTTAGTGCTACTTTCCCATAAGAAATTATTGAATTAAGTAAATAGTTTTTGAGAGAAGGAACAGCTAAGATTTTGGTTAAAAAAGAATAATTGACATTAGAGGGTATTAGATAATTCTACATTGCAATCCAACAAGAAGATCAAAAATTCAAAGTTTTGGTTGAATTGTATAAAAATTTAACAGTTTCTTAATCAATATTATTTTGCAATTCCAAAAAAACCGTTGATGATTTGTATGATAAATTGACTACTGAAGGTTTTACTGTAAGTAAAATACATAGTCAAATGGAATAAAAAGAAAGAGAATAAGTAAATTAATTGTATATAAATTAGGTTATGCAAGAATTCAAAAAAGGTGCTGCCAGAATACTTGTTTCAACAGATCTTATGGGTAGAGGAATTGATGTACAATAATTATCATTAGTCATCAATTATGAATTCCCAAGATTAAAGGAACAATATATCCATAGGTAATAATATTGAAATCTATTATTTTAGAGTTGGAAGAGCTGGTAGATATGGTAGAAAGGGAGTTGCCATTAATATGGTAGCACAATAAGAAGCTAATCTCTTGTTAGAAGTTGAAAAATATTACAACACTAAAATTGATGAAATGCCCAAAGACTTAGCAGAAGTAGAAAAAGAATTAAGTTGAAATATGGGTATTTGTTATAAAAGAGTATAAATGTCAATTTAAATTAATATGTTGTATCTTGGTTAGATCTTTCTTTTATTAAAATAAATATATTTTGGTTTTTAAAATATTTAAATTAATTGTTAGATGATGATATTAAATATATCTAATTTTTAATATATAATTATGCTCATTCAAAAGAAATTATGAATTATTTCAATAATAAAGATTTAATCTTATAAGATGTTACATGAACTAGTTTAACTAATTGTTTAAAATAAAATAGAGGAAATATATGGTTCTAAAAATATAAGATTTCTGTCAGAAAAAGACGTTGACTAGACTTCTAACAATAAATAACCCATTAAATCAGAATAGAATTAAGATTATAATGACGGCTATCTTGTAATTATACTATTAATTTGTCTCTTTTTGCTCATCTGTGTTTGTGGAACAATCATAGAAGTTAGCAGAAGAAAGAAAGTTAAAAAAGAAATTAAATAGAAATTATTATAAGAAACACCTCATTCACTATAATCCAACATCAAAATACTAAATAGTATCTAAGTTTAGTTTTAATATTCTTTATGGAAGTTAACCAGCTTCAATTTTAAGAATTAATCTACTCAAAAAATACTAAGATTCTAGCCAATTTTTATATCTCATAATAAACTTGAGCTTTAAATTAAATTGGAATAAGATCATTATCCTTGGTCAGCTGAANTTAGCATTATTTAGTGCTACTTTCCCATAAGAAATTATTGAATTAAGTAAATAGTTTTTGAGAGAAGGAACAGCTAAGATTTTGGTTAAAAAAGAATAATTGACATTAGAGGGTATTAGATAATTCTACATTGCAATCCAACAAGAAGATCAAAAATTCAAAGTTTTGGTTGAATTGTATAAAAATTTAACAGTTTCTTAATCAATATTATTTTGCAATTCCAAAAAAACCGTTGATGATTTGTATGATAAATTGACTACTGAAGGTTTTACTGTAAGTAAAATACATAGTCAAATGGAATAAAAAGAAAGAGAATAAGTAAATTAATTGTATATAAATTAGGTTATGCAAGAATTCAAAAAAGGTGCTGCCAGAATACTTGTTTCAACAGATCTTATGGGTAGAGGAATTGATGTACAATAATTATCATTAGTCATCAATTATGAATTCCCAAGATTAAAGGAACAATATATCCATAGGTAATAATATTGAAATCTATTATTTTAGAGTTGGAAGAGCTGGTAGATATGGTAGAAAGGGAGTTGCCATTAATATGGTAGCACAATAAGAAGCTAATCTCTTGTTAGAAGTTGAAAAATATTACAACACTAAAATTGATGAAATGCCCAAAGACTTAGCAGAAGTAGAAAAAGAATTAAGTTGAAATATGGGTATTTGTTATAAAAGAGTATAAATGTCAATTTAATTATTATTTTATTTCTTAGTTCCATAATTTATCTAATGCTACTAACATTTTGACTTTATTAAATCAAAATTTATAAAAATAGTGAATCTATGATAATATTATAAAAATCTATTTTTATCATATAATATGGACTATGCTCATTCAAAGAAAAATAAGAATTGTTACAATAATAAAGATTTTAATTTATAAGATGTTACATTAACTAGCCTAGTTGATTGATGATAATAGAAAAGAAAAGGAGAACTTAGGTTCTAAACATGTAAGATTTCTCTCAGAAAAAGACGTTGACTAGACTTCTTAAAATACATAAGCAATTACGTCAGAGTAGAATTAAGATGATAATGACAGCTTTCCTGTAATTATACTTATACTTTGTCTCTTCCTACTAATATGTGTTTGTGGAACAATTGTCGAAGTTAGTAGAAGGAAAAAAGTTAAAAAAGAAATTGAATAGAAATTATTGCAAGAAAAGCGCTTATCTCTTCAAGCTAATATAGGAATGCTTAATAGTATATAAGATTAGATGTAATTTACATTATGGAAGTTAACCAGCTTCAATTATAAGAATTTTTCTACTCAAAAACTACTGAGATTCTAGTCCTTCTTTACTTCTCATAACAAACTAGAGCTTTAAATAAGAATGGAATAAGATCATGATCCTTGGTCAGCAGAGGGACACATATCTATAAATTTAGAACAAGAAATCAACATTCATTTAAGAACAAGTCTTGATTGTGAATTATTAGAAAAGAACGAAAAATGTGATCATTTATATTTACTACAATAATTTAAAGGGGTATACAATAAAGAGGAAAATAAATTTATTGGTTCCTGGAGTTTATATGGGAGCTAAGAACTTAACAATTTGAATTTCTTTGGAGAATTCGAATTAATGAGAGTACTTGTGTGATTTAATATCATTTATTTAACAAATTTCTTTATTTTCTTTAAACTTCAATGTGACTCTTAATTATTTGAATTTTCTATATATAGAAAAATAAAACTGAATTGCTTTCTTGTAATTTATGCTTTAATTTAAATATGAGATATTTATGTTTTATAACATCTAAATTAATTTAGGATCACACTTAGAGAACTAAAATGTTTGATATTTTAAATAAATTTGGATAATAATTTAAATATGGAATAATGATTAAAAAATCAAATTTATATAATTAAAAAACTAAATAAAACTACAATATTATATATATATTAATCAATATTGAATTAATTGAATTGAAATGAGAATTAATTCTTTTTTCCAATTCATTAATGATGCAAATAATTCCATTTCTCTAAATCATACATTTAGAAATCCAATTTCATACAGCTCGATTTAAAGCTTATATAAATGGATATTCATTTTTAGATAAATGAAAATTTTGTCTTTGATGAAGAAATCTGAGAGTTCTGCTATAAATCCAGCATGACTTAAAATTAATACTTTAATCATCTATGATCCCTTAGAATAATAGCTAAACTACTTAACTGAAGGATTGTAAAAGTTATTTGTATCTATTTATAATTCTAGTTAATATTGATATTAAATATATTACTATTATTACAATAATTAATTATAAATTTATAAGATTTTTTATCAGAAAAATAAACAATTTTAGTATATTTATTCTCTAATCAATTGATTAAAAAAGGTTTCAACTCTTTCCTAAATTTCAGTATTTATAAATAAGGATTGTTTTAATTTTGATTAAAGAGAAACCTGCAATTAAGATTTTTATATAACTTCATTTTTGTCAATTTCCCTTAATAATGGTGTATATGTGGTTTTTAATTCAACTAACCTTCAATGTGAACATAAGATTCAATGTATCTTAAGTTAATAATTCTACTACCTCTTATAATCACTTGTGTAAACTTAATCACATTATACATTGTTAAATAAACCAAATTAATTCTTGCCAGAAACATTTTTTAGATTCTGATAAATAGATTAGCCTTTGTCGAATAAGAAAAACTCTTGAATAATTCTAAAATATATTTTATATATGTCATAAATAATTATTTATATAAAAATGAATAGTAAGTAGAATCAATTTTAGTATAAAGAAAACTATTTTGGTCTTCTTATATGTAGATAGAAATTGTCTTATGCTTTTATGCAAAATTTAGTTTATGTTTTTTATTTTTCATTCTTTTCAGATATATCTCTTTTTGGACTAGATGGTCCATATTGTGAAGTTTGTTAACTCATACTAAAGGATTTGTCTTTTTAATATTATCTAATCCGAATGGTTTTTGTGGTTCTATATGTTTAAGAAGAAGCTGGATTACTATTATTATTATTATTGTTATTATTATTGATATTTTTATTACTATTTAATGCATCAGCATATGAATTACTTAACTTTTCATTATCATTATCATTATAAGGATTACTTTTAATTTAGTTATTATTTTCCTATTGATTATCCATAAATATATTTCTATTTTAATAACTCTTATTATAACTATGAGTATTATCAACTATCTTAATATGATTATCAAATGAATGTGATGTTTTTTTAGATGAATTTTATTTAATTTCATTAACTAATTTCCCTTATTCCCAATTTCCCTTAAGTATCTTGCCATCAACATAATGCATTTCACCATAACCATGTTTATAATCATTTAAAAAGATGCCTCTATATTCATTGCCATTAGACCATTTGTATACTCCATATCCATTTTTCTTATCTTCATCATATTCCCCTTAATATTAATCTGATGGGGAATCTTCTCTTCTTTTCCAAATTCCTTTTCCACATCTTAATCCATCCTTAAAATACCCTTAAAATATTGCCCCATTACTCCAAAAGTATTCTCCATAACCATGAGGTTTACCATTTAAATAGTTCCCTTAGTACCTGTCTCCATTGCTAAAATATTCTTAACCCTCTCCATTTTTAAGCCAATCCTTAAAATTACCCACATAACGATCTCCATTACTATGTATATGTTCTCCATATCCAAAAGCTACATTATTTATCCATTCCCCTTAATATTATTCTCCCTTTAAACCATACCATGTTCCTTTTGAATATAGGATTGAATTAATTACCTTGACCTTCCTTAGCACCTTAGTTCCATTAACCTTCATAGACTTCTCCATTAGGCCAAATAAATTTGCCTTATCCATGTGGTTTACCCATAACATAATTTCCCTCGTATTGAGATCCATTGGCCAACAATTCCCAACCATAACCATATTTCTAATCATTCTACCACTACCCTTCATATTTCCGTCCATTCTATTATAAGAGTATACCTATCTGATAGAGATCTTGAATTAACCTTTTCCATGTCTTAGATTGTTTTCAAATTGACCATAATAAACATAATTATTAGAGATAGTTAATTTAGCATTCAACTTTTAGAGATCAAGAAAATTATAATCATCAAAATGTGGTTCATAAAATTTGATCTAATCCAAAACAGCTTAATAATTCATAATAAATATAATAATAAAAATGAATTAGCAACAATATATTAAAAAATATTAAAAAATTTTTCAATAAACATGCTTATAGTTTCTTTATTAAAGAATATGTAATTATTTAGCTATTTAAAATACTTTTAATAATTCATTACATTATAATATTAGTATTATATAAAAATATTATTAAATTATTTAAGTAAATTGTTAAAGATTTAACTAATTAATTTTAGTATCATATCAAAATAATTAAGAGTATCTATAATTTTAAGGTGATAACTGTTGGTTAAACATATAATTAGATTCAGGTAATAATATAGTTAGAATTGAAGTCGTTTTCTTTATTATTAAGACGTCCTATGATATCAAATTATGATTGCTTATGTATTTAAGATGAGATTTAGAATAAATTTAGATTAATTTATCTAATGTTTGCTTTGTGCACTGAGGGCAGAACAATAAACTCAGAATCTCTAGATTAAAGCGATAAACTTGCAATGATCCAATAAAAACTTATAAAGAAGGAGAATTTAGCTAATGCAATAGCTTTAGAGGACGGTTTGGTATATTTTGGAGAAATGGAAAATGGTGAAAGAAATGGTTACGGGATATTGATCTATCCTAATGGTTCGATTTTGGAAGGGTAAGAATAAAATGATAATATTTAAGTAATTGGATTAATGGAAGAGCATTAGGAATATGTAGACTACAATATAGTTAAGATGAATAGTATATGAATTATTTATTATGTTTAGTTATTAGGGAAACATTGTAAATAATAGATTTCAGGGATTTGGTGAATATGTTAATCATAATTCTTCAATTTATAAAGGATAATGGGAGAATAATGAGAAACATGGGTATGGAGAAGAATATTTCAAGAATGGATCTATTTATTGTGGTAATTTCATTAGAGGAATGAGAGAAGGAGAAGGAGTGTACTTGTCTAGTAATGGATCAAAGTATGGCATTTAATTAAAAATTAGATATTAAGGATAATTCAAATGTAATTAAATGGATGGTAATGGAATGATATTTTGGAGAGATGGTAGTTTTTATTAGGGTCAATTCTAAAATAATGATATTAATGGATATGGAGTATATACTTATCCTGATGGGAGTTAATACTAAGGATAAGTAATGGTATATAATAATATTTAGTTTATGAATGGGAAACGAAATGGACATGGTAGTTTGATTAGATATGATGGCTATGAAGTGAGTGGTGAATGGAAGGGTGATAAGTTTTATAAAAATTGATTTTATTATTTTTTATATACTAAAAATGGGATAAATATTTTAGAAACATGCAACTTAGTTTGAACCATCTCTAATAGTTAAATTAAAAAGCATAACAATGAGGGAACTTTTTGATTGTGTAGATACCATAGATAAATATTATCCTTAGAATTGTTATTTGAATTTAGAATAATTCGATGATATATTTGCAACATTAACTGATAATTGTATTGATCTTTTTCATAGATTGGCTGATTAGACTGGAGAAGATGGAAAATTATCAGTTCATACATTTGAAGCATTAGCTGCTTTTGCTATATTTAGTGGAGAGAGTTTTGAAACAAAATGTATGTTTGTTTTTAGATTATTTGATTTTGATTTGTCAAATACTTTAGAAGAATAAGAGATGGTTAGTACATTATAATGTGCAGTTAGAGCAATGTGTAAAATAGCTGGTTTAGTGATTCCATCTGTTAGTATGTTAGAGAAATTGGGTTATGTTTGTTTCCAAATGATGGATGAAGATAAAAATAAACATGTTGATTTTGATGAATTTTATGAATGGACTGTATAATATGATGAATTGTAAGAGTTTATGTTATTATATTCTGGAACATAAACATATTAATATGCATTAAAAAGAATGATTAATGTAATGGATGAATCTGAATAATAATTTAATAAATGGTTGAGAGAATGTAAAGCACCTTAAGTACCAGCTATTAAATTACAATAGAATTTATATTAAATTTATAAGGGAATAGATTAATTATCAATAGATACTTTATTTTATATGATTATAGAATATACATTAAGATCTAAAAGTATTGGATAAGAAGATAGTTCATAATAATAAAAAGATCTTTGGGCTTGGAAAGCAGATCATAAAAAGAATTAACATCTTCTTTAAAATATATCAGTTAAGAAGAGTGATTATTTGGATATCATTAGAGCATGGAATGTATATTCAATAACTGATGTCAATTAATTATCAATTATTAATATTAAAGATCTTAAATTACTTATTTGGTTATATGAAGATGAAGAACCAGATTATTTTAGAATTAATTAAGAAATGTCAATTATAGATACTAATCATAATAATATAATTGAAAGATGTGAATGGATGTAATATTTATGTTCTGAAGAGTCAATGTAAAGAAGATAAACACCATAAGTTTTAATGAAAAAAGTGTTTGATAATTATGATGAAGAATAATGTGGTTTGATACCTATTATACATATTGATAAATTATTAAGAGATACTTTTAAATAATAGATGAAAAAGATGAAAGATTTTAAGAGTATTTAGAGTGTAAATAGTTTAATTCAATAATTNGACTGGAGAAGATGGAAAATTATCAGTTCATACATTTGAAGCATTGGCTGCTTTTGCTATATTTAGTGGAGAGAGTTTTGAAACAAAATGTATGTTTGTTTTTAGATTATTTGATTTTGATTTGTCAAATACTTTAGAAGAATAAGAGATGGTTAGTACATTATAATGTGCAGTTAGAGCAATGTGTAAAATAGCTGGTTTAGTGATTCCATCTGTTAGTATGTTAGAGAAATTGGGTTATGTTTGTTTCCAAATGATGGATGAAGATAAAAATAAACATGTTGATTTTGATGAATTTTATGAATGGACTGTATAATATGATGAATTGTAAGAGTTTATGTTATTATATTCTGGAACATAAACATATTAATATGCATTAAAAAGAATGATTAATGTAATGGATGAATCTGAATAATAATTTAATAAATGGTTGAGAGAATGTAAAGCACCTTAAGTACCAGCTATTAAATTACAATAGAATTTATATTAAATTTATAAGGGAATAGATTAATTATCAATAGATACTTTATTTTATATGATTATAGAATATACATTAAGATCTAAAAGTATTGGATAAGAAGATAGTTCATAATAATAAAAAGATCTTTGGGCTTGGAAAGCAGATCATAAAAAGAATTAACATCTTCTTTAAAATATATCAGTTAAGAAGAGTGATTATTTGGATATCATTAGAGCATGGAATGTATATTCAATAACTGATGTCAATTAATTATCAATTATTAATATTAAAGATCTTAAATTACTTATTTGGTTATATGAAGATGAAGAACCAGATTATTTTAGAATTAATTAAGAAATGTCAATTATAGATACTAATCATAATAATATAATTGAAAGATGTGAATGGATGTAATATTTATGTTCTGAAGAGTCAATGTAAAGAAGATAAACACCATAAGTTTTAATGAAAAAAGTGTTTGATAATTATGATGAAGAATAATGTGGTTTGATACCTATTATACATATTGATAAATTATTAAGAGATACTTTTAAATAATAGATGAAAAAGATGAAAGATTTTAAGAGTATTTAGAGTGTAAATAGTTTAATTCAATAATTGAAAGTTGAATTTTTGAAATAGGTTAAAAAGAATAATTAATCTCATTTTGATTGGCAATCATACTATCAATTCTTAGTTGAAGCTACAAAGACTCATTCATCACTTAATAAGTTATTGAATTTAAATCGTGACTGACACTTTTTATTTACATTATATATATATTTATTTATTTTCTTATATGAAATTTGATTAAGAGAAAACAGATGAAATAAAGCTTAATCCAAGATATTAAAATCTTTTAAAATGGGGATTAGATAATGGTGTTATCATCAAGGATGTAGATATGCCAGCGGCCTTTGGAGAACTCACTGGTGTTGTTGCTACTAAGGATATTCCTGCTAATACAGTATTATGTTTTTTATTATAAATTTAAGGCAATTATCTGTGTACCTTAACCATTGATCATATCATAAGAAAAATGCAAACTAAGTTCATTATCCATTGTCTACGATAAACATCCTGAATTATTTGATGAAAATGAGACATCAGATGCTGAATTTAATATCTTAAGTAATTATTTTACATTAGATGCTTAGTTTTTTATTTGTTTAATGAAAAAAAGAAAGGTGAAAAATCATTCTATCATCCATATGTTTAAGCTATACAATCTAATAATACTTTAATTGATTGGACAAAAGAAGAACTAAATTATATTGAAGATCCTATAATATTAGATGAATTTGCTATAGTACGTGAAGATTTAAAAGAATTATGGAATTAAGCAAAAGATATATTTAATGAATTTATTTAAATTTTTGGAGAAACAAGACCAACAGACAAAGAAGATTTTTATTGGGCTGCATAAAGTGTAATGAGTAGATGTTTTGGATGGTCATTAAAATCAACTAGTATGATTCCTATTGCTGATTTTCTTAATCATTCCAATAAGGCATGTACTCATTATTTGGTTCATTCTAAAATTGAGAAGCTTGAATAAGAAAAACTTTAAGCTAAAAAAGATGGTGGAAATGAATAAAATAATGATAGTGATGAAGATTCTTTTATGTAGATAGTGCATGATTAATATAAATTAAAGGGAAATAAAATAAATTTAAATGTTCTTAATATAAAATAAGATGAATCTTAACTTAAAAAATTTATTGATCCAAAAAATACATACATTTTATAACATTAACAATATCTTACTGAAAATTAATTGAAAGATATAGATAATTTGGATAATATATCAAATGCTGATAAGAGAGCCATGATTAATTGGATTAATTATGAATAAATGATTTAAAATTCTCAAGTAAATCTTTGGGATTTAGGATTTGTTACTTCTTCAGATAGTGAAGATAATGATTCTGATGAAGATGTTGAAGTAGCTAGAAACAAACAATTTGAAACTTTGAAAATAAAAGAATTATCTGATTGGAAACTTAAATTTGAAGAAAAGAAACAATAGAAAAATTAGAGAAAAGAAAAAAATGAATAAGAAATTAAAAAAGAATAATAAATAGAATAATCAATAGAATAACCAATAGTTGAATAAAATTAAGAAGTAGATAAAGAATAAAGTGATGGAGAATTAAAAAGCCAAACAGATAATGAAAGCATTTTGACTATTTGTCTAAATAATGGTATTATTTTTTGAGCATAATGCTAGAAAAGAAAAATTTAGTAACCATCAAAGGTTTGCCTCCATAATAGATCTAGGCTTTAAAATAGAGATAATAATAGATGTTGGAGGTTCAACAATAGAAATAATAGATTTAATCATTCATTTAGGAATAAAAATAATAGTAGAATAAAGACAATGAAAGTGATAGTAGTGAAGAATCAAAATGGGATTGGCTTGAAGAAAATGACAAAGATGTCTATTTTTGTATCACAACTACAGAGCCAATAAAGAAACATGAATAAGTGACTGTGTCTTATGGAAGAAGAACCAATAGATTCTTACTTAGCTGGTATGGATTTACTTTACCTGAAAATAAATACAGTTCTTTTAATTTTAGGGTAAGAAGTTGATTCTAAAAAAAGTTATGGCTCAATACAGAAATATGTAAAGAAAAGATATTAAGTCAGAAATAGATTTTTGATACAATTACCATCAATAAGTTGATTAGTCCAGAAGAATGGGATTCAGGTAAAATTAAATTTAATGGTAATGAAATTCCTATTTCATCAATTACAAAGGAATTTAGAATCAAAAAGAATAAACTTAATATGGATTTACTTATGTATTTAAGATTGTATCTCATGCTTTATCAAGTTTAAATCAAAGATGTATTAATCACTATACCAGTATCAGTTGATTATGAAGTATTTGTGATGCAATTTTGTATATAATTGTTACAACATTATCTAAATTCTTATTCTTAAGAATTGGCTTAAGATATTAAAGAATTAGAAACCTAAATATCATTCTCAAGAAGATTTGCAGTACAAATTATCATTATTAATTATAGCTTCATATTAATAAGGAACGTAAAGAGATACTTATCAATTAGATTATGATACTATTAGATGCCATTATTATATTAAAAAAATACAAAGAAAGTAATGATTTGAAATAGTCTTATATATCAGAGATTCACAATAATGTGTATTATAAGATGGAAATTTTAAGAGGATTAAAAGTGTATCTCAAATCAATTCAAGAATTTCTATGATTAATTATGAGTTTAATCATTTATATATAATTATTTTTACATTCAAATGTTTTTTACTTAGAAACTTGTCAAGTTTGTTATATTACCTTACAAAAATGGTATCCATAAGATTAAAAGATATAGCTCTTCCAATTAAATTCAATTTATAAATTGGAGCAAATATGATTGGTAATACACAGGAACATGAAATCTGTATAAACAATAAATAAATTGTGAATAATCATTGTTGTGTTATATTGAATGAAGATGAAATAGAACTTATTGTTTTAGATGGTCCAGTCTTTTATAAGAATGAAGATGGACAATTTGAATAATTGGCCAAGGATTCTATTCTTAGGTACAATTATTCCTTATATAAGTTTAAATATTGAATGCGCCGATTTTTCAATTAGATTAGGTTAATGTATAGAAGCTAAAGTTTAAGTGGTTAATGGAACATAACATCATTATCTTCCAAGAAAATAGCCATAAAAGGAAATAAAATAATTTAATTTACAAGAACGACTATCTACAATAGAGGTGAAAATTGTTGAGAGTCTATATACATCTCAATAAAGTGAATTAGAACAATTATAATAAGGTTAAGAATAAGAGTAAAATAATATAGATGATATTAATTCAATTTCAATTATTTAATAGCAAACAAATAATTTAGAACAACAACAATAGAATATTTAGAAATCAAATTTTTAATAAATAAAATAAAATGAAATCAATTAAAAAACAGATATATTATAATTAAATGATTATGAATAATAGACTGAGATGTTATCTAATGGAACTCCTGATTTTAATAACAATTAAAAGGATTTAAAAAAAATACAAAATAATACATCTAATTTAGATTACTTAATTATACCTTAACGAAAAGATAGAGAAAGTTCTCCAAAAAAAAAAAGTAATCATAAGTTGATGAAAGAAATTAAAAAAGAAAGTTATAGAATGAGTTAAAGAAAGTGTAATAGATGGAAATTTTGTATAGCATTTTCAGGATTTCATCCAAGTAGAGATGAATAATAGTTTTTATTACTTTAGAATATTCAAATATGTTTAGAAGATTATAATTTTAATATGTTAATTATGGAAGATAATGTTGAATTGAGATCAATTAAATTATTAATTGCTTTAGCTAAAGGAATACCTATTATTTCTAGGAATTGGTTAACTAGATCAATAAATTAATATGAAATACTTGATCATAATTAATATTAGGTTCAATTTTCTAATGAATTTTGTAGAGAATATAATTTTGATTTTAAATAATATTAAAAAAGACTCTAAAAATGGTAAGCATGAAATATAATACTATTAGTAAAGAAGCCAAAATATTCCCTTTAAAAGGTGTGACAATATTTGTTCCAAAAAGAATGATTTATCATATTGAACATTTCGAATTAGAATATTTGGTAGAATCATTAGGTGGGAAATTAGTGCATTAAATACATGATGATGGAGAAGCATAAATTTATATGCTAATACCTAAAGATCAAACCAAAATTATAGGATATGATAAATATTAATAGAGTCCTATTGAATGCTTATTCAAGAGTGCATTAAAATTTAAAAATCTCCTTTGATTATCTATATATATGTAATTAATACATTTAATACTCAATTTTATTAGTGATTGTTTAAGTGAATTTTATGAATACTAAATTATATGTTATTAAATAGATACTTAAAAAAAAGAGTTACCTTATATATAATATGATTAAGAAGCAAGTACTTATTTAGATTTTAAAATATATTGAAATTACTTAGATTAAATATTTAAGAGTAAATAGAGCTTTTATAAATATTTAAATCTTTTATTTATAAACCTATAAATTTTAATGATTCTTATTGTTTATATTCAATATACTATATAAGAAGATAATTTAAAATTTACAAATGAAAAATAATATCTATCAAAAGTATAAGATCATTCTTATTAAGGTATTTTTTAAACATCAAACGATTAGATTTAATAATATTATTTATTTGAATAATTTTGTTATGTTTAAAATATATCAATAACTTTTTTATTCTTATAATAAAGTAATTGAAAAAATTTATATGGGATAATTGAGATTTCTAAGTTATCAAAATGAATCCATAAATAGATAAATAAAATTTATAACATTAAAGTTAAGGATGATTTAATTTCCTTAAATAATAATATTATTTAATTTAATGATAATATTATTTACCTTCATTACGTATTCATATTCTCGATGTGCATTCTCTGTAGAATGTCAAGGAAATAATTGTGATCCATTAGAGGTTGATACTGAACCCTTTGTAGCAAGAGTTTCATAATGTCCTCATATGGATGGAACCATGGTCTGTTGTAACAAGAATTAAGATGACCAAATGCAACGAAATTTTCAAGCCATAGATGCATCTTTTGGTAATGCTGGTGGTGGATGTGATATGTATAATATATTCCCTCATTCTTAGTTGTGCCTATAATTTAAAGAAATTCTGGTGTGAGTATACTTGTAGTCCTAATTAAAGTTAATTCTTAACCACAAATGGATATACTAACATGAAAGATCCACTAAACCCCAAGAATATATTAAAAGTTTAGTTAGTTGAAATTAAAGTCAAACCTTAAGTGGCATGTGTAATTATTTATGTTTAAATCTCTATAGGACATGTGGTCATCTTGTAAAAGAACATAATTTGCATCTTAAGTTACAGCTATGAAAACTCCAGGAGGATTCTTTAATTTCCAAGGAGAACAGGCAGTGTATATATTATGATTTATAAATTAGTGGATAAGCTAAATAATTCATATCAGTCAAGTTTGTAGATAATGATGAAGAGACTATTAACTTTGATTTTGTTCCTGATTGCAAATATGAATATCCACCTGGTCCAGATGGGAAAATAGTTACACCAGATGGATTTGTAATATCTGAAAGATGTTCTTGTAATAATTGTGATCTTATGTGTCATGATGAAGAAATTCTTTATAAAGAGACAGGTGTTTTTGAAGGTTTTAATGGATATTTAGTATTATGGGTCTGGGCAGGAGCAATTTTAATTGCTGCATTAATTACAGGATTTAGATATTATAAATAAAAAGCTAATCATGAAATCTTAATAGATCCAATTTGATTTAGTTCTTTATTCATTTTTAATTTGTATAAAAATATCTAAATTTATTGAATTGTATTCTTAGACTTATTTAAATTATGTTAAAAATCATTATTTAATGTACTGAGTTCTGAAATTCTTAAATTATTTTATTTATTAATAATACAAATTAATTCAAATTTCAGAATAGTTAAATAATTTAAAATAGAGAAATGAAATTTATAAACTAGTTTAAAATAACAAAGCACTTTAATATATAAATATAACTTATTGGAATATATAAAAGAATAAAGATTATTAAGTTATTAAATATTTTAATCCATTACTCTAATATAGACTATTACAAATAAGAAAAGAGATTCTAATTAGATCATTTATATCTATCCTCCCATCTAATTCTTTTTCCACATTCCCATAATCCATATTTAATTTATCCATCTGCCAAAATATACTTGCCTTTTCCATTCTATTTGCCATCAATCCATTCACCTTCAAACATCCTCCCATCTGGCCAAAAATATTTACCTTTCCCATGCTTTTTATCCTCTTAATACTCACCATGATATGCTCTTCCATCAGCCCATTAATAAACACCATATCCATGCATTTTATTATATTTCCAATTACCCTTATACTTTCTTCCATCAGCCCAAATATATTCTCCCTGATTATAATAAAAAATATTACATATCCATTTATTTTATTATCAAACCACATTCCATCAAAAATGCTTCCATCTGGCCATATATATAAACCTTTACCTTATTTCTTTCCTTAAAAATACTCTCCTTTATAACTAGAATTATCAATCCCTTTATTATAAAATATACAAATACATTTTTCATACCCTTATCCATGTTAAAAATCATTTTACCAATAGCCTTCATAGATTGCTCCATTTAATTATTTATAGACACCATAACCATTAGCCTTATCATTCTTCCATTATCCTGAATAGGAATCCCCATCAGCATGATAAAATGTTCCATTCCCACTGGCCTTATTATTTGTCCATTATCCTTCATACCTTGCTCCATCTGGCCATATTTAAGTTCCTTAACCATCTCTTTTATTACCCAACCATTCCCCTTCATATATAGCACCACTCTTAAATTAATATTTCTGTCGTATTTCTCGACATGTATTATTAGGATTTACATCTGATTTATAATTATATTAAGCTACCTGCACATTCTTCTGAATTGAAATATTTAAATGTATTTCTTTTCAATTTACTTTAACTTGTTTCTTGTTCATCATATTTTTTAACGTCATTAAGAGATTACTTCAATTTTTTGAAAATTTATCTTGCTTTATATCCTTTCCATTATTTTTAAATAGTGATTGCCATCTAAGTTCTCAAAAATTCCTATTTCTTTTGATATTATAATTCTTTATTATCCTTAACCTAATTTTTATATGTTTAAGTCTAATATAGATAGAAATGTAAACTTTAACGGAATGATTTGATGCTTGAGATGGTTATGACATCATTGACATTCCATTTTTATTACTTTCAGTTTTTTTTGTTATATCAATTTCATATAATAATTCTTGCTTATCTTTTTAGCATTAACCACAATTTGAACAGTTAGATCCCATATTTATTATTAAAGTGTTTAATTGAATTTAATGAAATTGTAATATAAAATATAATATCAACTCTTATATGGAATTTTAGGTGGTATTTAAGCTGCTTATTCATCATGGTCATCATTTTAATAAGAATTACAATCAATATCATTATCATTTTAATTAAATTAAACATTATCTCCTTTACTACTTATAGGGGATAATATTTCAATTTAATGTTATTCCAATAAATTTAAATTTGAATGAATATTTCTATTGCTTTAAATTAAAAATTCATCTTAATTTTTGTTGATTTTTTCAAAAATTGATATCATATCTTCACCAACAAGATCTAAGATATTTTTATCTGTTTCACTAAGCTTTTTCTTTTAATGTAATTTCATGTATGCATAAAAAGCAGATTCAATTTTAGAAAGATCAGATTTTTCTTCTTAAAGTATAAATTAAAATTCTAGTTTTTCTTCTAATGCATTAAGTTTTTACTCAAAGTCTTTTGAAAACATATCAGATGGAATTAATGGTTTAGGAATATAATTAAATAATTCTAATTATTCTTTATTTAAGAGTACATATTTCAATTTATCAATTTCTTGCATTTTATTTAATATATTTACAACATCTAATTTATTAAATATTTTTTCAATTGAATATTTGATTTATTGTTAAAATGATTTCTTAATTCCCAAATTCATACAAAATAAATCACATATACCAATTTCCAATTATTTTTTTTTCTATTTTAAATATTTTTTTAATTCTAATCTATTTTCTACTTAATTTAAATTCTTTTTAGATTTCTTTTAAGAATTTCCCAATTTATTTTTGTCTTCCTTAATGAAATCATTCTAATTTTGATTTTCATTAAAATTATTGATTGAACGTGATACAGATGGAGATTCATTATTATTCAAATTATTTTCAAAATTGAATATACGATTGGCCATTTATAAATTCATCAATGTTGCAACAACAGGACTGACTAATGTGCTAATAGTAAGAGCAACCAATTACCATAGTCCTCCAACATTACCTAATATATTTTAAAGTTTAATGTAAGATCTCTTATAATTTCCAACTCTTTATTCCATAAAAATGAGATTCTCTATGTAAGATACTTGATTATATGAAGATTAGAAATCTTTTTAAGTAGATTATAGTAGGGCTAATTCTGTTTTTATGTCTGATCTAATTAATCCTACATCTGTCTTTGTCTCAATCATTTTAAAATTTGACTAAATTTATTTAGATTGACTTGATGAAAATGAAGAAAATTAAACTGTAATAATCTCCTCATATGGTCGACCTGGATTATCTAATTTCAATAAAGTATCTCCCAAATATATAGCATAATATCCTGCTTTTAGTGCAGTTTAAATTTCTTCAGGAGGACTACATCCATTATAAGTAGATGAATTTCTGCAAGGCATCATTAATACTTGTAAAAATTGAAAAGTATCAGCATTTGAATATCCTTATATTTACTTATATAGAATTAATTTATTACAGGTGGGTTTTCTTCACTCACAGTGGAATTGATACAAAACAAATTTTTTAAAAGAAACTTTGAGAAGAATTGCTTTTAGTAATCCATTGGAAAATGTTTATCTAGATTACAACTTTCTAAAGGTACATTGCGGCATCTAATATATATTAATAATTTACTATAATGAGACATCTTAAGCTTGCTTTGTTTCATTGAAAAAACGAGTTCGATTACAAGCTGTTAAAACTACATCAAAATGTTTCTTAAAGGTTGACAATGATAATAATGAAGTATCTGTTATACTAATTACAAATGTGAAATTTTTTGGATCTAAAGTAAATGCCTAAAATTTAATTTATTCAATTACAGGCATGCTAATTGGTTGAGTTTCTGAAATGATTATGTTTGGAGTTCCATGATTAAGCAAATCTTATATCTAATAATACATATATAATCCACAAACAATCATTAAGATAATTGTTAGAATGTGCCCCAAGACTGTATTAAATTTTTATCTTTTCAAAATTCGAAAAAATGGAGGTTGCCCAAAAAAATCTAAAGAATTGACAAGGTTAAGAAAGCACCCTTTGATTTCATTTCTTGATCTCTTTTAAAATTTAAGCATCAATTTTAATTTATTTATCTAATACCATTTTTACTTTTTGCTTAAATTGCATATCTTAAATTTTAAAATATATGTAATAAATAACATAGAGAAAATGATTTATTAACATTTTCATAATATAAATGTAATAATAATTTCTAAAATTATAGTAGAAGTGCTTTTTAATTCAACAGCTACATTCAACTCACTCAAATCAATCAATTTGAATTATTACAATTCCATTCTTTTTTTTATGATAGAAAAACCTTCAATATTTATCAATCCACCAAGAATTGATTAAACATGTATTTCTTGGCACTAGTCATTATTTATTAAATCCATTATAAAAGACAACAAAATGTATTCTATATTTTCATCATTCTTAAATTCTGTTAATGCATTATTCATAACACATAAGTCTTAGTTAATATTTAATCTTCTGATCTCTTTTAGCATGAAGTTTACTTTTCTTTCAAATACCCTATATTTATCATATATATTGTATATCTTAATAAAAGCAAGTTGATGAAAGTGTTCTAGATTTTCAAACATTCTTAAAAATGAGATATATATTTCATTAATACATGGTCTAACATCTTGAAATCTAAGTTGATATTGTCTAATTACTTGTATTGCATTTATTAATCCTTTTAAATTAGGATTTCTTTGATAATTGCTATACTGATAAAAATTAACTTCACTTAGGCTAATTAATTTCACCTACATGTTTATATATATATATAACTTATGTGGCTCATCTTTATTAATTATTTAAGTATAGTCAATAAATTGCTCTTAATATTAAGCTATATGATTTTAGTTTAGAATTAAAAATTAGTATATTTTATTAGTATTTATTTTCTCCTTCAGTCTGACCCTAATATTAGTTTATCATATAGATAACTAATAGGGATAATAATATTGGGTTCATAAAGTAATTTTTAATTGTAAAATCAATTGATTACTTATACTATACTATACAATACTATACTATATTAATTAATCTCTTAAATCATAAAAGAAATATATAATATATAACTAATTCATATTTTATATAAATCAAAATTGAATGTCATTAATTGAAATATTATTTTTACCTCTTTTTTTAATCTTTTATCTTTATAACTACATCCTTTTATTTAATTTCTAATTTTATGTTTTAGGTACTTGATTATATTTATTTATTGAAAACTATTCATATTAATTGATTGATTCATTATCACTAATTGTATAAGGTTCAGGTTATGTTGGTCTTTTGGCAAGAGATGTAAAATTTTTATCAGTTGTTGAGAACATTTAAGATCTTTCAACTTAAGTGACTGAATGTTGATTATCTTCATTATTGTATCTTTAATTAAGATTATTGAATTCAGATGGAGATAATTAATTAAGAGCCCAATCTTCATCATCATCTAAATCATCTCTTGATTATTTAAATGAATCTGATTAAGCTGGATTTTTTTAAATATCCCCTTTAAAAGGGTTTTAAGGTTCTTCAATTTATTTTTCTTTTTTTAATTAAGATATTGGTTGTATACTTACAAATCCAGAAGTTGGAACATCCCAATCATCTTCAACATCATTGTTTTCATCTTAAATAATTTCTTTTTGTAATTATTTTTAATATTTTTAATCATTACCATATTCATGATTTTCTTCATCTTCTATATTCCATCCAACATCATCATCATCTTAATCTACTAAAATTACATTATTTAATTTAGATTAAAGTATTTCCTATTCTTTAAGTTCTTATAATCTTTATTCTTCTAATAATTATTTAATTTCATCTTCTTTTTTTTTTAATTCTAATTCATCTTATATTTTTTTCTATTCTTCTTAAATTCTTCTATTTTCTTCTTCTTATCTCAGTTACTCATCCTATTATTATTCTTCAATTTTCTTTAAATCAGCTATTCTCCTTTCTTCTTCTTTTAATTTTTCTAATCTTTAAGCTTCTTACTATTTCAAAATTAATAATTCATATTATTTTTATTATTCTTCTAATTATTTTTCTCTTCTAATTCTTTCTAATTCTTATTATTTGATTTCTTCTTCTATTTTTTTAAGTTCTTCCAATTTTTCTAATTCTAATTTCTTTAATTCTTCTTATCTTAATTATTCTTCAATTCTCTTTTATTCCTAAATTTAATTCTATTCTTCTAATTATCTTTATAATTATTATGCTTTTTCAAGTTCTATTTTTAATTATTCTTCTAATATTTTCTATTATTATAATTATTATTATTATTATTATTATTATTATTATTCATATATTTATTTCTATTTCATATCTTAAATTTCTCTTTATGATTCTCCTATTGATAAAGGTTCAGAAACATCATTACTATGTATTTATATAATCATCTCTTCTTGAGATCTATTAAAAATTTCTTTTTTTGGATTCTAAATTTCTTATTTAAATATCATTTTTGAATTCTTTTGTACTATTTATTGATAAGGCTATTTATAAGAACTAGAATCCTTATATTCAATAGATTCGTCAATTTTAGGGATAGATGGTTCCTAATATTATTCATTTTTTTGATTAAGCTTTTAATCATTTATTGAATCTTCAAAAGAGAATCTTTTCTTTGATCTTTGACTTTAAAAAAAATCAGGAATTACTTAAAGTGAATGTGTTGCAGATGCATAATTTTTTTCTTCAAAAAAGTCTTCTTCTTTTTGAGTTTCACATATCAAACAAATAGCAAAAATAATAGTTACAATAAAAGAATCAATACTACTAATAAATAATTACTCTCTTATTTAATCTCTATAAGCAAGAAGTACACTAGCTACTAAAGCTGGAATACAACAAAACTAAAATGAATATATATAATAATGTTACAAATGCACAAAGTCCATTAATAATATTCATACCAACCATATTTTCAACATCTGATAATTTGCATTTTAAGAATCTAAATCCAAAATATCTAGAAAAATAAAATCTTGTCATAGAGAAACTCAGAATTGACAATACATTTAAAAAGATATAAGCACATGAATTAGATTTCCTTGCTGTATACCATTAATTAAAAGCAATATCACCTTTAGTACTATGTTTAATAATACATAGATTAATTAGATTCAATATGATATGAACTCCAATTGCACTCAATAATAGATATACTTCTATTTTTTCAAAAATGTAATCCAATTATAAAATAATTAATACTGCCCATGATCCAATAATTATTAAACCCAATAAACCAACTGCTGATCCTGGAATAAATGTCTATATATTTTATAATATTTTACCTCAGATTTTTACATCTTAGCAACTACAACACTCAAGATCATAATTAAAGAGACTATTGTAAATGGTACAGGTATATATTTATTCTCTTACAAATTAGATATTAATTGTTCTTCTGAAACAGTCACTTTTTCACATTTTCCTATATTATTCAACTGATTTATAATAAATATTATAATTTACATCTTAATATCCACTAGGACATGAAGTTACACAAGTCTAATCTAGATATTTGTAATTCTCAATGCAAGTTAGACATCCTTTTTCATCACAAGTAGTACATTCATTTTTACATTTGATACATACAAATTCTTTTATATAATAATTAATTAAGCAAGTTGAAACACATAAGTTATTAGACATATATGGTGAACTAATTGGACATGTTTTACATTCTAGACCATCAATACAAGTAGCACAAGATGATTAACATTATAAACACTATTAATCTTAAGAGTAATATTTATTAGGACAATTTTAATAACATTTACCTGTTAAATGTTATTAATTATCTGGACATTAAGTACATACTATATTTGATGAACATTATAAACAAGTTGTGTCACAAGGATAACATACAAAATTTTATGAATAATATTTATCAGGACATTTATCTATACATTATTTTGATAACAAATATTTATTTGTTGGACATGAAGTACATTCAGTTTCTGAAATGCAATTTCCACATATATCTGAACATTTACTTAAAAAAGTGCCTGATAAATAATAACCATTTGGTATTGATGAAATACAACTATTATTGAAAAAGTAATATCCTGTCAAACAATCAATACAGATAGTACTACTAGAACAATTATTGCATGGATCAGAACATTAAGTACATTCAATTCCATCTTTGTAATATCTATTACCACAATCACTTACACAACTTAATGATGTCTTTTTATAATAATAATTAGTAACACAAGTAAGGCATACATTTGGACCAGTATCACATGTTTTACAAGGTGATGTACATGCAATACAAGAAAATCCAATTTAAAATATTCCTGTTGGACATTAAGAAACACATTTATTTTAATAAAGTAAATTATTGGTAACTCCACATGATGTACATTTAGTACTTTAATCAATACAAGTATTGCAATTCTCATTACAATTTGTACATATACCATTGAAATCAAATTATTTCTCAGTACATTTCTTAACACATTTTCCATTCTTAATTTCATAAATTGTATCATCAATACAACTTTGACATAATATATTACTAGTACATTCTAAACAAGTATCTGGACAACTTTTACAATTATTAGTAGAATCACTATAATACTTTTATCCACAAGCACTTATACATTTACTATTTAATAAATAAATATTAGTTGTTATTGATATATCAGTATAACAAGATAAACAATTACTTAAATTATCACATTCTTTACAAAATAATGAAGGAGTAGGAATACAATTTAATTTAAATTATAATAATGAATCTGAAATTTTTGATTAATCTATTATACTTGTATCTCTTTGTGTTCTTATTTTAAAATAATAATTAGTAGAATCACTTTTTGGATTCCTAATTAAACTATTTAATCTAAATTATATATTTTTTTAAGAAACATCATTTTTTACTTTTATTTTAATTTCCTAATTATTAACTAAACATGAATCAACTGAAAATCCTGAAACATTATCAACTGCTGTTAAACAATCTGTTTTTTCAGCAGAGAATTTTTCTGGCATAGTTACAACAATTGTAGATCCAGCAGGTGGTTAATTAAATAATATAATGCTAAATTTATATGTATCTACAACTCCTAATTATTTTTTCTCATAATCCATAGATGAAATAGTAATCTCATTTGGAATAGCACTTGGAATTGTAACACTACTGCCTTAATTTGTATTTGAAATCTTAAAAATGTCTTTAATAGTTTCTGCTGTAATTGTACCTATAATATCTGAATTTACTATATTAAATATTTTTGTAACATAATTTTAATTACTATTTATATCTTCTGTAAATTCTATTGTTATCGTATATGCTGATTAAATAACTTATAAATTTGTAGAAGTATAAGGAATTAAATTAGAAAATTCAACTTTATCCACCTTATTTAATAAATATCCTAATAGAGTAAAAGTTATTCTAGTCCCTTTAGGCTAAAAAGTATCAAATTTTGTTTCAAAAGTATATGTTGATTGAGCACCATTCTCATCTACTGATCTACTAAAAGTTGTTAAAGTAATTCCACTTTATTGTGTCATTGTTAAACTTCCAAAATCTATCATCTTATCATATTCTATAGAATCTTTAATTATTTTAAATGAGAATCCAGTTACAGGTTTGAATGTATATGGAGTTTTTATTGAGTTAATTATTAAAATTAATGATGTTCCACTAGGTATTGATGTAGATGTAGTTATAGTTACTGTAATTATTTTATTAGAAATTATACTTTATTCATATTTACATTCTGTTACACTTGCAAAATTTAAAGAACAAGATTTAGATGATGTATCCCATTCAATATCATTAGGTAATGTTAATTCAATATTAGAATCAGTGAATATCTCATTTAAATTAGTAAATGTATATTTTATAAATACACCACTTTAACCAACCTTATAAGATCCACTATCAACTATTAAATCTGTAAGTATTCCATCATTGAACCCAGTTACTGTTAAGGAATTAACATTTGAGTCAACTTAAACATTATCAATTTATGTTTTAAAATTATCGAAAACAACACTTTTAATTGGATCCAAAGGGTTTGTTAATTTTAGAGATATTGTTTATATTTTTGTCGTATCTAATTTAATTATTGTTATTAATTCTTTTGATTCATCATAAGAACATTTAATACTAATTGATGGATTTCCTGAACATTCAATAATAGGGTCAGCTTTTAAACTTGAAGGTTTTGTAAAAGTTAAGGATTAGGTTTTACCTTCTGATAATGAATTTTCAAAAATAAGTTTGAAGATATAAAACTATTTCTAATTGAAAATCCTATTTGATAGACTAATTGAATCAATCGTTATTTTTCCACCTATTATTGTAAAGGTTTTTATATCACTCAAGTCAATTATGTCATCTGTAGAGCCTACAAAACTGTATGCTTTACAAGTATGTTCCACAATTGATGCACCAGTAGTAGCTTAAAATATTATAAATGGGGTAACTAAATAATTTGTATCGACATTAAATTGAAGGTACTACAATCCATTTGCAGAAGGATTTGTAAATTATTCTGAAGAAGATCCATATTTCATTGATTTAAATCCCTATACTTCTATTTTAAAATAATCAGTGCTTGGATCATGACTAGATGCAAAATCAAAATCAAATTTGATTTAATATTCTGTGTTCAATTTAAGAGTTGTTACTTCAATTACGCTGTTTATTTGGAATGCCTTAAAAAAAGTATTAGCTTTGATAGTACCAGAATACCCTAAATGAAGGAGTATGTACAAAATCAAATATATATTAAACATAATAAAATATAAAAAAGTATATCTATTAAAGAGTATTTAAACTATTCCTTTAATTTATAATAGTTAAAAAAGAAAATGATAATCCTTTTAGGTTGCACTGATTATAAATTTGATAATTTCCATTAAATAGATATTTAACAAATTATTATAAGTATATTTAAATTGTATGGTAAATCCTGAATCTAATAAATTGGAACTTATCTAAAGAGAAATATTGTTTTATAGTTTATATTTTTAATTTTGATATGATTGATTATATGATTTAAAAGACCATAAAATAACTATAAAAATCTAAAAATATCAACTTCAAATAGTTACTTAGAAATTTGATAGACCATAAGCAGATGAAGTATTAATTATTTTTAAATTATCTAAAGATCAAAAATTTATTATAAATAAAAATTATAAATAGAAAAATAAATTCTTAAGTAGATTTAATACTAATTCAGTTTATATAAACTTCATACAATAAATTTTCTGAAGAAATTATTATTGTTATCTTTATTTTAATTAAAATTAAATTTAATATCTTAATAATCAAATGAGATCATTATTAGATAGTAATCTCTTTTAAAAGAACTAAATGTAATCCTATTTTATGTATCAAAAATAAGTTTTTAATTCTTGAACAACCATATTAAAAAAATAAAAATAATTTGAATAATAACTCATGCTCATGCGGTTAAAAGAATTAAAATTATTTATTCAAATAGATTATTAAAGATATCATCAATAAATATTAAACAAAAATTGAAAATTATAAATATTTGCATTTAAGAATTATTGATTAAATCTTAAGGATTTGAATTAGGATCTATATGTATTCTTTAAATATTAGATTAAAGTTTCTATCAAAATAATTCTTTTTCATTGATTTTAGGATATAAATATATTGATAAGTAGGAATTATTATTTTAATCAAATGCGAAATAATTTATATATAAAAACAACCAATTTTAAGTTCTTTTTTGATGAAGAGACTTATAAATTAGAATTTGATAGGGGCTTTGATATTTTATTTTTTTTAAGCCTGTCACATTTTCGAGAATTATAAACTTTATTAAATTATAATTGTTGATTAAATATTTTTTGTGATTAAAAATAGCAATGTCTTATAACTTCAAAACTATACGTCCTGTTATGCCTGCTAAAGACATGATAAATGTGATTTTATCAAAGACACAAAGAAAAACACCTACAGTAGTCCATCCTGGATATGATATATCTAGAATTAGAGGATTTTATATGAGAAAAGTAAAATTTACATAAGAAACCATTCATGAGAAGATAGATACCATTTTACAAGACTTTCCAAAAGTATTTGATATTATTATATAATATAGTTAGATGATATTCATCCATTTTATGCAGATTTGATTAATGTATTGTATGACAAAGATCATTATAAATTGGCATTGGGACATGTACATGCTTGTAGAAATGTGATTGATAATATTGCTAAAGATTATTGTAGATTGTTAAAATATGGTGATTCCTTGTACAGATGCAAAATGTTAAAGAGAGCAGCATTAGGTCGTATGTGTACCACACTTAAAAAATTGACCAGTTCTCTTAATTATTTAGATGAAGTTAGAAAACACTTATCTAGAATGCCAGCTATTAATCCATTTGAAAGAACTCTCTTAGTAACTGGATTCCCTAATGTTGGAAAGAGTAGTTTTGTAAATAATATAACAAATGCTAATTTGGATGTTCAACCCTATCCATTTACAACTTAAAATCTTTATGTAGGACATACTGATTATAACTTTGTTCGTTGGTAAGTAATAGATACTCCAGGAGTCTTGGATCATTCATTAAGTGAAAGAAACCCTATTGAAATGTAAGCAATAACAGCACTTGCACATTTAAAGGCCTGTATTATGTTTTTCTTGGATATCTCAGAAACATGCAGTTATTCTATTGATCAATAGATAGCATTATTCAAAGACTTAAAACCACTCTTCAAAAATAAACCATTATTATTAGTTATGACTAAAATAGATATTAAAAAATTTGAATAATTAGATCCAATTGATTAATAAAAGTTATAAGATGTTATTCAATCTGAAAATGTGTTCTAGTATTAATTTAAAATCTATTATATAGTTCTTAATTGAGTAATAAATCAGGTGAAGGAATAGCTTTAGTAAAAGAAAAAGCTTGTGGTTTATTAAATGAATGGAGATAGAATCTTAAACCTGAATAATTAACAGGTGGAAATCCAAATCTTTTAAGAGAAGAATCAATTCTTTAAGGTGTCTACATTGCTTAACCTAAAAGAGTTAATCAAAAAAGAATGCCAGTAATTCCTTAAGTAATGGGTAAATTAAATAGACCAACATTGAAAGATGTATAAGAATAAAATGGTGGTGCTGGTGTTTTCTCATTCCCATTATAAGGTATAATTATATATTAATTAATTTAATAGAACATTTTTTATTAGAAAATCCAGATTGGAAATATGATGCTGTTCCTGAAATTATGGATGGTAAAAATATTGGAGATTTTGTTGATGCTGATATTTTATAAAGATTAGAAGAATTAGAAAAGGAAGAAGAAATGATGGATTAAGCTGAAATTGAAGATCCAGAAGAAGATGAAAGAGAAGAGATGTTATTAAATACAAGAGATTAAATTAATAAAAAAAGAGAAATGATTAAAGAAGAACATCATATGAAAATGAAATAATAAGTTAAATTACATAGACCAAATTTGGAAGATGCAAAAGAAGATTTTGCTAAAAAAGGAATTGATACTACATTTTTAGAATAAAGAGCATAGAAATTTGCTGCAAAGAAAGTTTTATAAAAATAAAAAAGATAATAATAATCATCAGATGATAGTGATGATAATGATATGGATATTGAAGGTAATGATAGAAATCAAAGAAAAGGAAGAGATGCTTTATCTAGAAGTAGAAGTAGACTTAGAGAAATCTCAAGAAGTAGAAGTAGAGGTAATAAAAAAGTACTTACTGCTTAAGAATAAGTAATTTATCATATTTAATATTATAGGCTATGGAAAGAATGTCTAAAAAAATATAAAGAAGAAGAAGAAATGAAGCTAAAGCTGGTGATGGTGATACTAAAATAGATTGTAAAATGCCTAAGCACTTATTTACTGGTAAAAGTGGTATTGGAAAATAATCAAGACGTTGAATTATTTGTTGTTAATAATACAATATAATATTAATTAATCAAATATAATCATCATCTGAATTAAACCTATTACTAATTTGTCTTTTACTATCATTTCTTTATTTGATATTAATTTTACTTTATGATTTCATAATATTTCCTTTTGATTCATTAAAATTCTCATTTAAAAAACTCCTTTATTTGTTTTATCCAATGTTTTTATTATTATTATTATTATTATTATTATTATTACTAATATTATAGTTTTTATTCAAAAAATCTTCAAATATCTCTGATTCTACTATGTTAAAATCTTCATTTCGCTTAGCTTAACTTTTACTCTAAATTCTTGTACTTATCATAGCATCTCTACTAGGTTCTTTTGTCTAAAGGTTCTCTTTTTAACATTAATTGCTCTTAGCGATTGAAATATCTTATTTAGAATTACTATTATCTCTTATTCTTTCTATTCCTTAAAGTTAAGTTGATGGTGATCTAGATCTTTAACTATATCCATTTTAAGATGAACAATGAGATAATCTTTAGTTTTTTTAAGGTGTAATACTCCTTTTAGAAGATCTATCACAAAATTTCATTGAATAATCCATCAATTACTTAACTTTTGCTATATCTTTAAACTTCTTATTGTATTCATCCATACACAAACTTACTAATTCATAACATTTAAGAGTAATTTAATTAATTTTTTATTCAACAGTTTAATTTTCTTCAATTATAAAATTATTTAAATCTGTTTTACATTATCCTACATATATAAATTTAAGTTTTTATTCTTCAATCATCATTTATTCTTATTGTTTCAATTATCTAAATTAAGCTGTCATTTATTTTTCAATTGGATATACTGATGTTTGATATACTGCAATTTTAGTTTTCAATTCATCTAATTTCTTAAACTACTCTTCTTAATCTTTCTTTCTTTAATTTATTTGCTTAACATAATCATTATATGATTATTTTAGTACTTTACCCTCTTCTAATATAGGATTCATTAATTCTTTAATGGCCTAAGAAGTTCCTATAATTTATGAACCAATTATTTTGATCTATTTATATTTAATTTAAAAATACCTATCCACTCATCTCCTTTAGTATATAATTTGTATTGATTTTCATCATATCTTTGATGGTTCTTTTTGATAGATCTTCAATTTTGTCACCATAGTCACAAGTGGCTTTACCAAAATCCTATAAATAATTTCATTTATGAACCTTCATTAATGTTTTATTGTGTTTTAAACACTCTGTCATTAATTTTAAATTTGTTTGGAGTTACTCATATATGGATTGTATTTCATTATCACTTAAAATTCGACTTTTTTAATAGTTCATTAAATAATAAAATTCAACTTAAAACTTAGTTAATTAATTTACAACATCGATAAAATAATACATTTTAAAACTATTTATAATAAAATAGTTCTATTTAATATTATATTCAATAAATAGATATATATATATATCAAAAAAACTTTCTTCAAATAAATTAATGTCTTATAATTATAATAAATATTACAAAAATGGATGATGAAAAAAAAAAGAAAAAAGGTAATAAAATAGATTTAAATCTATTACCTTCTTCAATGAAAGAACGTTATGCTGCTATGGGTATATTACCTAAAGCTTAAATTCCAAAATCAAATGTTTAAGTTGATGTATAAAGAATGAAACAGAAAAAGATTGAGAAAGAGTAACCTATTGAATAAAAATTAGAAGGCATAGAAATTAAAGCAAGTGAAAAAAAGTAGTTAGAAAAGTAAACTTAATTGTTATATTTAGAGTATTCTAAATGCTTAAAAAAAAAGATGTTGATTATTTTGATGCCAAAGATGTTGATAAAATGCTTCGATTTTTAGGAGTTTCACTTACTAAATCTGAAATTGATCTTATGTTATGGGTAAACTATATTATTTATAATAAAAAATAGGAAGTTGATGAAAATCTTGATGGAAAAGTAAGTTGGACAGAATTTTTAAATATGTACAAGAAATGTACAATAGATAAGACAGGTTTAGAGCCAAAGAGTTTATTTCATATGATTTAATTTTTAATGTATTTACCACCAGATAGGAAAGATCCAAAAGTAACAGTCGAAGTATAAAATATTAATTTATAATATTAGGATACATTAGAATTATTATATGTTAGATTTGGAAGGTAATCTTTGGATTCTGAAATTCATGCTATTTTTGGAGATGAGGAGAAAAATAAAGATGGTGAAGAGAAGGCTATTTCATTTAGTGAATATATGGAGAAAATTAATGAGAGAGCAATTTAATAAAGAAAACTAAGAAAGGAAGAATAAAAACAATAATTTTAATACTTCAAAAAAGAAAAGTAAATGGAATGATTTCAATATTATATCCTTTAATAATTGAAATGATCATCATTAAATTAATAAACTATTTTATCAATAAATATATATACAATAATAAATAAACTATATAACTTTTTTAATAAATAAATTTAATTTATGTTTAATACCAAGATAATAAAGAATATATAAGATTATTAAAATATAACTAAATGAATTTAAATTAATAATATATTATCAATTATAATTTCAAGTAGAAAATCAAAAAAAAGTTATATTTATATAAATATATTAATCAAACTAATTTGTCTCAAGATTTTTTAACTGAAGGTCTTCTGCTATGTTATTATAGTTATTAAATAACTTGGGGAGCTTTATTATTAGTAATTGTTAATGGTTTTTCATACTTTTTCTTTTCTAATATTTCTTTTATCTATTAACCTTCTAAAATTAAACGACCCATTTAATTAATTTCTCTATTTGTCTTACTCAATAATGAATTCTCATGTGATGTTAATTAAATTTTAGCAGCCAATCTATCACATTCTTATTACAACTGTCTATTCATACCCTCCAATCTTTCTACGACTGATTAGAGATGTAATATTTCTCTATCTTTTAATATTAATTACTAAGTAGTTTTATCAAAATTCTAAGAACTTGTATTAATTCATATAAATACTTTTTGTTATTTTTTTTTAATTATTTTAATTCATCTTCATTTCTTTATAATTCATTTTCAAGATTAGCTATTTATCTAAGTAGATCTCTATTTTAATCTTATAATTACATACATTATTAAGAGACTTCTTCAAAAGATCTAAAATATATAAAATATTACTATTCAGCTTAAACTCTATATAATCTTTCTTCTTCTACTTATTTCAAATATATTTCAATATTTTTTTATTTGATATCCATTTCAGATAATTTTTCATCTTGCATTTTTATTCTATCAACTAAGGTTTGCTTTTCCTTTTTAAATTGCTCTTAAATATGAAGATGATCTTTATGTTCTTTAGATTATTATTCTTTTAATGTATTTATCTAATTACAAAATTGTTAATTGTCTTTTTATAATTATACAATCTAACTCTAAAATTCTTATTTATTATTTTAAAATTCTTTAATCTGTTAATTTTGATCTCGAACTTATTATTATATTTAAAGATCTTTCTATTATAATTGTTATAGTTGTAATTACATTTTATCTAGCTTTTGATCTTTTTCCATTAAAGAATCCTTTAAGATTTAAGATTCTTACATATATTATTCATTTAATTCTTATAAATCTATACATTATTATGATAATTTTCCATATTCATCATTAATATTTTGTATTTATTATTAATATTACAAATTATGCATTTATAATTGATCAATCTAATTTTTTAATGAATTAAATTCTTTATTTTTATGTTTTTCTTAGTTTTATAACTATTACTATAAAGTTGAATATCTTTCATTATAATTTTACATCTAATCAATTTTATGAGCATATTTATTTCTTTCTGCTTCCATTTATTAATAATCTTTATATAGTTATTATAAATTTTATTCATATTTATCAGATTGATGCTTAATTTGTGTAATATAATTTTTCATATCTTCCATTTTACCATATAAATGACTTAATTCTTATTCTCTTTTAATTACTAATTTCTCTAATTCTTTAATTTACCTTCTAGTTTGTTTTTTATTTTTCTTTTAATCAGAATTTTGAATATTTATAGGATCTTGATGATATAATTCATTTTAATTAAGTAATTCTTATAAGTTATTTAATTCTTGAGTAATCTAATCATTTTCTTATTACAATTGAATTATTTAATCCTTATACATATTATTCTCTTGTATTAGAAATTCCATTTATTAGTTTTTATGCTAGATATTTGTTTTATATTAATCATTATCTTCTAGTAATTTATTATAATATTGTCCACCTTATTCCATCTCCTTTCTATAATCTTATAATTTATTTTCGAAGAATTCATTCTCTTATCTCAAACTTTGACTCAATTAAAATTAAGTTCGTAAATCATTCTTTAAATTCTCTATTTAATCAATCAATTCATTGTTTTCTGTTTCTAATTATTTAATATTCTTAATATTATAAGAATTCCTTATACTTGCTTAAGATTCTCTAATTGATTTATCAAATTGAAATTTTCAGTTTGTAATTGATGATTATGCTTTTCAAGATTTTCATATCTCATTAGCATTTCCTAAAGTTCTTCATCCTTTGAGGACATAAAAATATATATTTATTTAAAATAAAAGATTAACGATCATAAATTTATCATTTTTCTCCATCAGAATCTACAACTTTGATATCATTACCGAATAAATCATCAAAACTTACCGGTTTATTGATTTCTTTAATAGTTTATGCCACTTATTCTTAAATATTCTTTTATTAATGTTGATATCCTCCAATAGATTATGACATACAAGGTAATACAGGAGGCAACCAATAACTATTTATCATGCTCTATCCCATAGGCATCATAAATGATGGCTGGTTAGCCAATAATAATAATGGCTGCATTGTACTTTATCGATTAATATCATCTATTGATTTTTACATCATAAACATATTATGATCAGATTAAGTGAGTGTTGAACATTTACTATTATTATTCTCTTCAGTTTTTATTTATTTATAGATATGCTTTAATATTAATCCTTGATAATCCAATGTATTAAATGGTGATATAAATAACTTTTTTGTTTTTTTATTAAAAAGTACAACACCAGATCTATCATTTTCTACAAAAAATTGATTATCAACTCTTTTGATATTCAATAATTTTTTGTATAATATGTCACTCTTATGGCTAGATGATAAATCATAATGAAATAAATCAAAAAAATCATCATTTTTTATTTTTTATGCTTCTTCATACTTACCTTCTGAAACACATAAATCAATATATAAACTTTATATTCCTAATACTATAAACTACCATTCATAATTGTCAATTTCTTCTATTGGTGTTATTTTTCCATATTTATTTGCATAATCCATTCTTAACTTTTACACTTTTGAAAATAATTGTGGATTAATTGTTTCAAATTCATACTTTAATTTCTCTTTTTTTAATAAAGAATTGTATTTATTCTTTAAAGAATTCTCTGTTCTCACTCTTCCATAAAGAGCAGATAATTCAGACCATTTCTTTCCTCTTATTAATATTGTTTTTAATAAATCTATTTCTTATTATTTTGACCATGGTTCACTACATATTAAACTTTTTATTACTTGCAAATATTGGGATCCAACCTATTAATCCATCTCTCTCTACATTACTTTGGTTATCTGAATATTTTATTAGGAGATCTCTTGTACATTTCTCTAGCTATTTAAGACCATTTGTTTTCCTTTCCCAACCTACTAAACTCTCTTAAAGATATTGCTTAATTAATACTCATGCACTTATTATAGTAGTTAATCCTCTTCTTCTGTCCAAGGAGCCTCTGAAAGTGAAATTTTATATTTCTATTCCCATTTCAATCTACATTAATGTGCATTCCTCCCTATAATCATTTTAGCTATGTCTCTCCATTCAATAGGTGTCTTAGTTTTAAGAATAATTTTAATTACAAGTTAATTGATTTCTTTTAATAAACAATATCTGATAACCACCCAATAAAATAATCTTTTATCTTAATCATTCCATTTTACACTTCTTCTACGAGCATTCTAACTTTATTTATGATAATCAATTCCTATACATATTTATTTAGAACAAGATTTTTGCTTCATCGATTGTTGGCCAATCGTCTACTTTTAAACGAAGATTGGAACCTATTCTTGTCAGCTATTCCCTTGTTTCTTAAAACTCCTTTGAGTTTTCAACAAAACTACTGAAATGCTGATTTACCACTTCGTAAGGATAGACTTAAACAATAACATACTAAACGTTACTAATTAGATCCTCCATCTCGCAACTACCAGCTAGTTTTACTTCCTTCCTCTCTGTTTGCATTAATAAAATATAAAATACTGTATTATTAATTCATTATTAACTACAGCGTTGAGAATTTGAATAGCAAAGTGTTTATATTGAAATTGATAAGTTTTTTATAATTTTTATCAATTTCTTCTAACATTTAAACAAAATAATCATGAATTCTTCAATTGAATATTATTTTTATCCAATAAAATTATTTCAATAAAATTTCATGATATTTATAATTTATATTCATTTTAAAATTCAGTTCCATTTATTACTTACACAATTCTCATTTAATGTAAATTTTCTATTAAATCTATAATAATGATTCTAAAATAAAAATACCTTTACAAATTCATTAAATTTAATGTATATTTTATAATAGATGCAGTATTATTAAGGTTGCCTTCATTGACTAAATTTACTTTTATAAATAACAACTCTACATTTCAATAATTTTATCCTTTTTCTATTTACTTAATCTCTCCTATATTATTCAATTCATACTAATAAATATATGATAGAAAATAAAATTAATTTCTAAAATGTAATATTCAAATTAAGAGATAAATAATTAGATGATTAAAATAAAATATATAGTATATCTAATATTTTATACAAATTGTAAATTATGCTTTCAACTTTTTATTATCAAACTCTAATATTATCATTTCAGTAGTATAATTTAAGCAAAAGTAAATTGAAATTAGCAATTTTATAATAAATATCAATAAATTTTTAATTTTTAAAATATACTGATAATTGAATAGATGATGTTTGACTCATATGTTTTTTTATAAATGCCATTCATAATAGGCTGCTTCAAGTTAATATGAGTTTTCTATAGATCTTACATTGTGATCTGTTTCTATAAAACTAGCTCCTATATGTTGCTTTTTCAATTATTCTAGATATTTTTCATACAATATTTATGGATACTGATCTTAAGGTACTTTCAATTTGAATTCTTCAAAACTCTAAATTGGTGAAGCTTTTATATTGTATTTCTATTGAAGTTCTTAAAGAATTTGATCTAATATATAATAAATAGAATATTTACTTTTTCTCAAATTTAATTATTCAGTATATGATACATTGGATTGATCAAAGACTTCTTAAATTTAATCTTGTTCTACTGTTGAATTTTCTTATTATTCATTTTATTCCGAAACAAGTTTAATGTTTTCTAAGAAATTGAGATCAACTTCATCAGCTTTTTATAAATATTTTTAAAGTCTTTCTTCTCTTGGATTAAGAACTTTTAATTCTTATTATGGTTCAGTTTATTATTCCTCTTAATCTAATTCAATTGTAATTTCTGTGTCAAATAATGGACTAGAAAAGCGTTATTATTGTTTTACAGATCTTAAATTATTATTGTTAGCAAATTAAGCAAAAATTGTTTCGTATTCATTAAGAATTGGTTTTTTAGTATTTTATTTCTCATTAGTTGGAGGAGTAACTTTTTATTCTTCTTCTATAGGTTGATTAGGAATATCTTATGTTTATTATTCAATTTTATTATTGATTGTTAATTATTGAGGAATATCTTTTTGATCAGTATGTGATGTATTCTCAATTTATTGCATTAAACTTTCTGTTTTTAATTTCAATTAATCTTTTATTAATAGTTTATTATTTATTTTAGATTCTACTTTATCTATTGTTGATTATTCAACTTCAATATTCTTTTTGGCTTCTTCAAACATCTATTAAATTTTAGGTGAAAACTTAGGTGCTCTATCTATATATTTTAATTCAATAAGTTTTTCAGCTTTGCTTTCTTCTTACATATCAATATTATTTCTAGATAAAAATGAAACATTAATAGATTCTTTTGGATTAAATTCAATAATATTAATCTTTTTGGTTCTGTCTTCTGAAATCTTTTCTAATTTTTATAATTCTTCTTCAATATTAATAGGTTTTGATATTTTAATTGTAGTAATCTCATCTTCTTCATCTTCTTCATCTTCAGATTCACTATCACTATCACTATCACTATCACTTTCAATAACACTCTAAATATCTTCTTATTAAGATATCTCATTAAGATTTGAATCAAAACTATTAATTCCATTAGGATGATTTATTTATTCTTCCAAATTTAAAATTGATTGATTTATCATCTTCTTTAAACTATCTTCATGAGATATGTGTGGTTATTCAATCTTATCTATTTTAATTGTCTATTCTATTAGATTTTCTACTTTATCTTAAGATATTGTAGGATTTTCTTTTCTTAAAGGTATGAATTTAGATATTGATGGCTTTTCTTATTAATTATGAAATTCAGTATTAATTTTTAATTATTTAGTTTAATCATTCCCTAACTTATAATAAAAATTACTAAAGTATAATAAACATTCATCTTCACAATTAAAACTTGATTAAGCTATTATAGATAAAGCTATTTATTGTTTCATAAGATTATATCCTTAGAATGTTGGTAAATCATCGATTCTAGACTATAGAATATCAACAGCACCAGCCACAACGCAAACTCCTAATATTTCTGTATCTATGGATTGGAACTTAAGCATGATTCCTTCATTTCTAATATCTAATTTTTAGATTAGTTGTGGATACCCTATTAAAATGAGAAGGTATTGCTTTATTATCTTACTCCAGTTAAGAATACCCATGATTTAGGTACTTTGACAAACTATCTAGAGATTTTAGATGCAAATACTTTAAATAAGGAATGAACACAATTTCTTTGACTTTAAAATTCAAACAATTCACTTATACCCTATCATCAACGATAGCCATATAACGATATTCTAATGATTATTCTGTTCCACTCAAAACTCCTATTGTAAATCCTATAATTAATGTAAAATAGTGTACCATCTGTAGTCACATTGTAAATCTTACTGAAATACACTTAAGAATTATGATTCATTAGACTATTAATTGTTAATGCAACCTAAGGGACACGGATAAATGGCTGATCAAATTAAATTTCCTTTATTTTTCATTTGCAATTTGTCATACTTAATATTTTAGTTTTCCAGGTTAAAGATCTTCAAATTGAATTAACCCAATCTCTAATTATAATGGTATGTTTTTGGAAGTAACCAAATAAAACAGAAGAAGGCCTATTAGTTATACCTTCATAAAATTAATAATATATTAAAAAACGAATAAACTAAATTGAAATCAATCAATAATAGTATAGATGAACCTGATGTGATTTTTAATAATTCAATAGATATTTTAAAGAATAATTTAGAATTGATAATTAAATGTGATATTCACTATTTGGTGTACATTTAATAAGTTTTGTTCATTTAAATATTAAATATTATATATATAAATTCATCATGCTTACAAAATAAATAGCTTTTAAGAGATCAGAATCACTTTCTTAAGTTGATTACAAAATATATATAGAATTGTTAAAAGGAAAACTATATAGAGGAGTAATATTTATCTCTGTTTAAATTCATAAAAGTGATGGATTATTGTTAGATTGGTAAGGTGGTAAACTTGATGGAATAACAGTGAATGGTAATCCAGTTGAATGGAAATTGGAAAATGGATTCATAACTTTAGTTGACCAAGAAAATCTTTAAGGTCTGACAGAAATAAGAAGTAAAATTTTGAAGTTAAATGATTATAGTTAATTTTGAGAATGAATATTCTACTACAGGTTATGGATTACATTCATTTATTGATTCAGATGACTAATAATATCTTTATTCATAATGTGAGCCTTATCATTTTTCCAAGATCTTTCCGTGCTTTGATCAACCAGATTTAAAAGGTTTTAAATTAAATTAATTTAATAGGTACTCTTAAATTGATTGCTCAGGCTCCTAAAGAATGGAAGATTATTAGCAATGAAAAGAAATTGGAAGGGAATATGTAAAATGTAGAATTGGCATAAGTCTAACAATTAGGCTATATTTAACATAAGGATGATTATTAAATATAGGAATTTTAGACAACAAAGAAATTATCTACTTATCTTTATGCTATTGTAGCAGGACCTTATGAAGAGATCAAATGTGAACAATTACACAATGGAATTGAGATGAGTTTGTTCTGTAGAGTTTCTTTGAAATAATATTTATAAGGAGATAGTAATGACATATTTAAACTGACTAAGGATGGTATGCAATACTATGAATAATTATTCTAATTTCCATATCCATTTAGCAAATATGATCAAATATTTTGTCCAGAATATGCTACTGGAGCCATGGAAAATGCTGGAGCTGTTACTATAAATGATAGTCAAATATTCAAAGAAGAAGTACCTATAGATTAAATTGCTTAAAGAGGAAATGTTTTGTTGCACGAACTGTCTCATATGTGGTTTGGAGATTTGGTGACTATGAAATGGTGGGATGATTTATGGTTAAATGAGAGTTTTGCTGAATTTATATCCCATTTATGCTAATCTAAAGTTCACAATATTCCTATTGATCATTGGGTTGAATTTTTAAAGAGTAAAATCTGGGGTTATATAACAGATCAGAGAAATACTACTCATCCTATTTTCTGTGATGTTCAAAATACTGATTAAGCAGATAATATTTTTGATGGTATTACATATGCTAAAGGTGCAGCTCTATTAAAATAATTATTCACAATGATGGGAGAACAAAAATTCAGTTAAGCTATGGGATAATATTTTAATAAGTATTAATATTCAAATACCACTCTTGCTGATTTCTTTGGAGTTTTGAAAGAATAATTTGAAGGAGATTATTTACTTTAATGGTAATAAGATTGGATTATGAAAGCTGGTTTAAATTTGGTTGAACTTGTCTCAGTCAATTAAAATATTTATACTTTTAAATAAATAGCAACACTTAAAGATTTACATCCAACCTTAAGAAATTAAATGTTTAAAGTTGGATTATATGATCAAGATGGCAAAGAATTAGAAATTAAATTAATTTAATTAAATCCAGTTGAAGAGACTATTTTAGAATTTGAACATCAGAATGCATTTGTACTATTAAATTTTGATGATGGTTCATTTGTTAAAACTTCTTATTCATAATAATAAGCAAATTTCTTTTTAAAGAATCTCTCTAATCTTACAACTATCAATAGAGTTTTAGTTTTGAGATCTATTTGGGATTAAGTTAGAGATGGACTTACTAGTTTTACTACATTCATAAATGGTGTCTTAAAATCTTTATTGAATGAAACTGATGATGCTGTTCTTTAAATGGTTTTAGAATGGTGTACTGGAGGTGTTTCATTTTATTGTCCAATCAAACATAGATAAACTTTTGAGAATGAATTGGCTGATGTTATTATTGAATTATTAAGAAAATGTCCAAAAGAAAATAAAAATAAAAGATTAATATTATTAGATTATTTGGCATTATGGGGTACATCTCAATAAAATTTGGAATTCTTATTATAACATATTAATTCAGATGAAGCAGAATTTGGATTTATAGGATTATCAAATGGATGGAGAATTATTAGAAATATATTTGCTAATCTTAACATACCAAAAGAACAAAAATGGTAATTATTTGAAAAATGGGCTTAAAGAGATGGAACAGATGAAGTAAGATTACAAAAAAGATTTTTAGAAAGTTTATTTAATTTTGATAAACTTTGGGAATATTTTATTAATTATAATAAAGAAGAAAGTATTCCAATGGTTAAAGAAGCAATGGCTGCATTTAATCATTAAATTCATTTAGAATAATTGTTTAATTATGAATAGAAATATTTTGAAATCTTACCAACAATATTTTCAACTAAGAGTTCAGAATATGCAAAGGAGTTCTATCATTCTCTATATCCAATTAATGACAATATTAATTCATATATTGAACTTTGTGAAAAAACCTTATTAAACTCATAAAACGATATCTTAACTAAATTTTTAAAGGAATCTATTGATGCAGACCAAAGAAGATTAAAAACTTATAAATTCTTTTTGGATCCAAAATGAGTAACATAATAAATAATAAATTATCATTTTATTTATTGATTATCTTCTTAAATTAATTATATTATATTAATTGTTCTGTTTTTTATTTTTATTTTATAATTAATTCTTTAATATTTATTAAAAAATGATTAATAGATTAGTTATTTTAATAAAAGATGATTAGAATCTAAAAAGTATAATAATTTTTTAATTATTATTTTGAATTTATAGATTTGTAAAATATTAATTTTATCCCTCATTTATTAAACAATAACTATTATATATTATAATTTATAAATATATAGAATTGTTCATTTTTATAATATTTAAAAAAGAGATTCAAATTCAGTAGAAAAAGTAGCCTCAATTTCTAATTTTTCATTTTTTTAAATCATTGTTCCATTTGAATTTTAATAAAATTATTCATTAATGTCAACAGGAAAATTCTAAAATATTATCTTCTTTGCTTATAACATAATTCCTTAATTTTAACCAAATATTTATGTTTGTAAATCTCGATTAGTTTTAGTAAACTAAAATCCATATTTTTAATCAAAAAGAATAGGTGTTTTAAGAACTTAGCTTAAATGTGCTCTAATTTAATGTTTACGACCTTCAAAAATTTGTAGATCAAGGACAGAATACATTTCATCATGATATTAATATTCTTAGATAACTTCATAAGAAGTTCTAGCAGGTAGATATTTACCTTCTAATAATTATTCTTCATTATAACATGTTTATTTTTGATTATTAGTATTAAATAATAATGGACGGTCAATTAAACCTTTTTGTACTTTAGTTTGACCTTAAACAACAGCAATATATTTCTTTGTTATAAAGGCTTTTTCTTAAATAATCCTACTTATTTCTGTTGCAATATCTTTATTTTTAGCAATAATTAAAAGGCCAGATGTTAATTAATCTAATCTATGAATAATGTAGAAGTTTTTAAAATATAAATTTAAAATCTCTGGTATATTATAATTAGGATTGGCTCCTCCTTATGATGCATATCCATGTTATTTATTTAGAATGATAATTTAATCATTCTCATATAGGATCATTTTTTTTAATTCTTCATAAGCTTAAATATTAGGAATTGGTCTTAATTATGTATCAACTTATTTCTTTAATTTATCCCAATATGTCACTACATCTCCTTCTTTTAATAAAAATTAATGATCTTTAATTTTTTTGTTATTAACATTAATTTCACCATTTCTAATTAATTTTTAAACTTCATTCCAACTACGATTAAGGTCTTCTATAAGAAATTTATCTATTCTTGAACCAGAATGTGAGTTGAAAATGGGTACACTTAATTTAGTAAAATGCGATTTAATGAATGTGGTTAAGAACATGAATATAATATTTTATGTTATTATAAATTTTATTATTGTGCTTAATTAATTGTTAATATGAACCCGTTTTGATAGCTAGATTTGGAAGGAGTAAAAATAAATTAGAAAATCCTGCTCCTTAATTTGAATGTGTTGATGAAATAGATGAAGATGATTAATAACCCAAAGAGTATACAATAAAAGTTGGAACACTCTATTAATTTACAGATGGAAATTGGTATTTGAAATCAACTGATCCTGCTAGTGGATAAATGTACCTCATGAATTTAAATGATATTACTCGAGTCAAATATGTACCTAAAGAAGATGTTGAAGAAAAGAAAAAGACTGAAGATAGGCCTGAATAAATATTGAAAGAATTTGAATGGACTCCATTGATAGCTTATGAGAGTTTTCCAAGAAATAGAGGAGGACATTCCATGCATGCTATAGGAGATATTATAGTTGTATTTGGAGGATGTTTCTTGGACATAAAATGTTTTGATGATCTTTTTCTATTCGATGCAAGAACTCGTGTATGGACTTCTCCTAGAGTATTTGGTATTCCTCCAGTAGGTAGAACTGGATTTGGAGCATTAGTAAATGGAGCAAAACTTTATATATTTGGAGGATATACTTTACAAGGGTTAACAAATGATTTATTTGTATTTGATCTTGAGAGTAAAAGTTGGAATCAATTATTTTGGCCAGGAATAGCCCCAACACCAAGAGCAGGACACAAAATGGTATTGACAGCCATAGGTGGAATAGTATTTGGAGGATTTATGGGTGAAAAATACTCTAATGATGTATATATTCTTGACATTATAAATGAAAAATGGTTAAAACCTGTTGTAAGTGGAGATATTCCAATAGGGAGAGAGAGTTTCTCAATGATTTCTCATCATGGTGTTGCATATGTATTTGGAGGATATGCTACTGGAGTAGTTCTTAATGATGTATATACTATTAATGAGGATTTAACTTGGGAAAAGAAGGAACCAGCTGGAAAGATGCCATCTCCAAGATAAGGAGCAGCATTGGCTGAATATGATCATAGAATATTTATTGCAGGAGGATGTAATCCAAAGACTTTTGAATGTTATAATGATTTATATGCATTTGATACTACTACTAATCATTATAGTACTGTAAATGCTTTTAAGAAAAAGAATTTGAAGGCTGTAGAATTTGCAGGGATGGTATTTGCTGGATAATTATTAATTCATTTTGGTGGATGTAAATTAGATTAAACTTGTAGTGATTCATTAACAGCAGTTTTACTTAATTCAAATGAATAATGTCCTCCATGTAGAAATGGAGGAGTTTGTAGAGTTGGTCATTGTAGTTGTTAATAAGGTTGGTAGGGAATAGATTGTACATTAAAAGTACTTTGTAGATAGAATTGTTTAGGATAAGGTACTTGTTTAAGTAATGGATATTGCAGATGTTATCCAGGATTCACAGGATCTATTTGTTAATTACAAATACCATGTCCTAGTAATTGTACTGATGCTGAACATGGTGAATGTTAGTTGGATGGAAAATGTAAATGTAAAGAAGGTTTTAGTGGTTCAACATGTGGAGAAGATCCTAAAGAGGAAGAAAAGAAAGAAGAAGAAATATGTAAAAATAAATGTAATCGTCATGGGAAATGTAATTATTATACAGGTTTATGTGAATGTGATTATGGATTTAGTGGTCCTGATTGTTCAGTAGTATCTTAATCTGATGATTATAAATCTATTTGGTAATTACTTAAAGATGATGATAATGAACCTGAAACTGGAACAACTAATGTAAATATGTAAGATTTTATATCTACTGGATATAAATTTAAAAAATAATCGAATTATTATATATCATAAGAAAATGAAGGAGAAGAAGATCTTTATGATGAAAATTTTGATGAAAACAATATTATTAAGAAAAAAAGATAATCTTAAACAAAAAGTCTTGAAAGTAATGATCAAAATATTACTAATTATTAATTAACTATGGTACCACCAAAAGCTTAATAAGAAGAAGATCCTTATTAATTAATGTTGTTGAATGAATGTCCAAAAAGATGTTCTGAACATGGTGTTTGTATTGAACATGAATGTTATTGTTGGTTTGGATATTCTGGAGATTATTGTTAAGCATCTAAAATAGCTGATTTTTATTTGGGATGGAGAAAGAAAAAAGTAATGATGGCTTGTTTAATAAGTTTATTTGTAGGTATGATGATTGGATATTGTGTTGTATTATTATTGAGAAAGAGAGGAAATGATGATGAATTTAGAAATATGTCTTAAGTTCCTAGTTAAATAGAAGATAATGAAGGAGAAGTAGAAGAATTAATTGTTTGATTTTATATAAATTATATTTTATATTATTATGGACGATAGTTTAAATCAAACTTAATCAAAAAAGAAGACATTCTATATTAGAAGAAAAGCAGATGAATAATAAAAATAACCTAAATTATATTCATAGATTCCAGGAATCGATACCAAATACTAAACAGTATTTAATTCTTTTTTTAATTTAGTCATTCAATCAAGGTGCTTCTAAAATAATGCTAAAGAAACCTACTTCAGGTGTTCCATCATAAATTAGTAGAGGAGGTTAAGATCCAAGAGTAAGTACACCAAAGGGAGCAATCAGTAGAATATCTGAATTAGATGAGGAAGAGAAGAAAAATGAAGTAGAAGGTCCTTAGGTATGAATTCGAATTAAATATGTAAAGTTGAAAATGAAGAAAGAGCATATATCATTTTTGGTTAAAACTGAAACAGTCGGTTATGATAATGTAGTAGTTTCAAATAATGGAAGTGCAGCTATATATTATGAATGGAAGAGAATTGAAAGTGTTAGGAAATAACCTAATTCAATTTAAGATATAAATGAAGAGAGGTTCTTTTGTCATCATGATTAAAATGTTATAAAACCAGGAGAAAGAATTAAATTTGTGTTTAGTTTTCTATCAAAATAAGCAGGTGTATTTAATGAAGAATGGGAATTGAAATGTGAACCTCCATGTTTAACTTAATTACCTAATTTAAAATTAACAGGTATTTCATTTATAGATGATGAATTAACTAATGGAAGAAAAGAATTTCAAAAATAAATTAAAAATAAATTTGCATTAAAAATAGCAACTGAAATTGTTGATGATATATTTGAAGAAGTTAAAACACCACCACCTCCTAAACCAGATCTTAATGATCCAGAATAATTTAAAATAGAATTTGAAGAATTAAATCTAGGAGAATAATTATGGTTTACACATGAAATTATGAATTTCTTTAATTTCTCATCAGATGAAATATGTTAAGTATTGAAATAAGATATACCTTGGAATGGTGATGTTAAATTATTAAGATAATCATGTCATACTATAGATGAAGAAGAAGTTAAAGAATTAGTATTACGTAAATTAGAATTATGGGTTAAATTGGCTAAGAAAGTACCAATCTCTAGAAATCCTATTTATAGTGTTGTTAAAGATTTATTAGGAGATGTGGCTAATCAAGTTCCTTAATTATCTGAAGATATGCGTAAAGAATTACAAATGTGGGAATATACATTTCATGAACCTGAAGATTTAACACCTGAAAAAGCTAAAGCTAAATTAGATGAATTTAATAAAATGAAAGCTAATTGGTTAAAAAATGCAAAAAAGAAGAAATGGAATGATGATATGGAAAAAGAATTAATTGAAGAATATAAAAATAAATTAGGAGTTAAAGTATCTGAAGCATTAGCATAAGCAGCTATTAAATTAGAAAATGATGGATAATTATTATAAGTAGGAGCAATGATGAAACCAGAATTAAAATGGAATGTTTTTAGAAGGAGAAGATATTAATCTACTTATTTTTATGATCTTCTTAGAAAAAAAACTATTCAAGATTCAGATATTGAAGGAAAAAAAATTGGATTAAAAATACATTTAAAATTAGCTAATAGACCTGATGTTTATGAACTTAAAGAAAAATTTGAATAAACATTACTTAAAGAATAAGAAGAAGAAAATAAAAGATTGGAAGAAGAAAGATTAGAAAAAGAAAGATTAGCTTAAGAAGCAGCAAAAAAAAAAGGTAAAGGTAAACCAGTTAAATAAAAAGAAGTTGAAGTTGTATAAGGTAATATATAAAATTAATATCAATAGTCTAATAAAAGAATTATGATTTAAGTCATTTAGATTAAGCAACACTTCAAGAATGTGTTGACACTATTAAATTATTGATGGAAAGATAAGCTAAAATTGTTGTATTACTTGTAAGTTATGATAATCCAAGTGGAAAATATAAGTTTACATCTTCAACTAAATTCTTTTATGAATGGTTAAAGACACATGTAGAATGTCCAGTCTATTTTAATGATGCTATCATTGAAAATTTAGATGAATAATTAGAAACATAAACATATTAAGAAAATAGTGTTTTAGTATTAGAAAACTTATTCTTTTATCCAGATGAAGTTGGTTACACTGAAGAAGAACCTGATATTGAATCAAAAACACCTTTTAGAACTCTATTACCTTATGGCAATATTTATATTATAGGAGATAGAGTGAATTTCTTTTCAAGATTTTATCCTTCTATTATTCATATGAATGCAGATTAAACAATTTTATCTTCAGCTATTGCCAAAGATATACATATATTATGTCATAATCTTATGGGTTGTTAAGAAAGAAATGGAACTCTTATTCTAGGTGGAGATCTTACAGGGGATAAATTATTAACAATTGATTAATTATCTGGACATCTATCATCAATAGTTTTGTTAGGTAAACTAGGATTATCATTCTATTTAACTATGTATGAGATACCAAGTGATCTTGTGTCAGAAGCTGTAAGAGATGTTATTAAAAATCTACTTAATGTTTTAAGAGATGAATCAACTGAAAAACCTCCATAAAGATTAACAAGAATCAGTCATCTACCTGAACAACCAAAACCTAAAGCAAGATTAATATGTCCATAAGATTATCTAATTACTACATTACCTGAAGGATATGATCCTGCTAATTAAGAACATGTATAGATTGTAACTTCCACTATTTCACCTTTTGTACCTGAAGGCAATATTTAATTAGAAGAAGGAAAGATACTCTTAGATTATGGACCTAAAACTATTGAAATTGTTAAAGAGGAAATATAAAATGCATAAAGGTTATTTTGGATAGATGATGCTAACCTTGGATTATACAATATTTAAAAATAAATAACTGTCCCTGATTTTGAAGCCATAGCTTTACTTAAGAAATTAAGAGAAGAAGAAGCTGAAAGAGAAAGAGAGAGATTGGAAAAATTAAAAGAAAAAAAAGGAGGAAAAGGAAATAAAAAAGGTCTCAAAGAAGAACCACCTAAGGAACCTATTAATAGTAATATATTATGAAATATTAATTTTTTAGTTAAAACTACAAAGGAAATTAATGTTCCAGTATTTAATCTAACTAATAAAGAATTAGGTTTATTTATTTATGAAATGAATCAAGAAAAGAAAGATAGACATTAACATGCTTAAAAATAAGGTCATTAAGTTGCTTATGATTTCAATTAAGATTGTGTAGTCACTATTATTGGTGAAAAATTGGAGAAAGTACTTAATTAAGAAGATTTTCAAAATATAGGAAATGAGGAAGAAATTGAATAGGCTCCAGAACCCAGTTAAAAGGGATCTTAATTTCCTTAGAGTGAGGCAGGAGAAGATTAAAAGGAATAAGAGGAAGAATAAATTGAAGAAGAGAAAGTTAAAATTAATTAAGTATATTTAAATATCTTAAATCTTAGGTGAAATAATTATTAGCTGATTTCTTTATATAAGATTAAGATTTCACTCTATCATTTCTAGCTGGAAATTAAATTCACATCTAAACACTTGATGAGTATCCACCAAAACCAGAATCTGAAATTAACGAGGAGTAATATTTTGAAGAAGATAGTACTCCTTGATATATATATAAATACATATATATATATATATATAATTGTTAATGTAATTAATTTAATGAACAAATATCTTTCTATAATGGTAAACAACTTACATAACTGTCTGAAAATCTATTAATTTATTATCATATTTATTTGATAATTAATTCTTAGCCAAGGAAACAATTATTATATAAACTATAAAATAACAAAAATGTTAAAAATTTGATATCTTTCCATAAAATGTACTATTTGTAATTCTTTTACATTCAGAATGAACAAGATCTTTAATATGTTATTAAACATCAAGGATTTTCAAAGTTTAATAGCTAAACATTAGTTACAACAAAATATTTTATTTAGATACAATAGAAAAAAAGGTTATAAATATCACAGAAAAGTTTCCTTATTGATTTTTCTTATCAGAAATTTGGGCTATTATTAATCAAAATAACATGATATAATGTCTGTATCTATATAGACATTAAAGGAATTGATTAATAATTATTTGATTAACCATAAAATCATACACTAATTCAAAGATTTTCAAATATTAAACTATTTTAAAATCTTAATATTTTTCGATGTAATAAGTTATGATTATTTTATAATTGGGATTATTATAAGGATTAAATTACTATAAGAATGACATATAATATATTAGATAATAATTATAGTACTATAAGGACGATGAAATAGAAAAGATCTAAATATTTTATACATTGATTATATGTTGTATATATAATGAACATATAATAAATACTTGTAGAACAAACAATAATATATAATTCTGAAAAATAGCTAATAAGAAAATAAGGATAAATTCCAATATTAAAGTATTAGATGCTAAATGTTATAATGTAATAAACTAATCATCTTATATACTATTATGAAATACTAAATATATCTAAGAGATTTAAGTTTATAATCCAAAATTTAGTAATCAATAATGAATGAATGTCTTTTATTAAATATTAATATTTATAATAATAAGTAGTTATATGATAAAGAGGGAAAGATTTAGAAGGAATATAACAATAAAAAGAGAAATAGTTGAAAAAAAAAATAAATATTGTAAAAGCTTTGTAAATCTCGAAAATAAGAATTTATTGGATTGTTTTCATGAATAAACCAGAAGTATTAGTTGTTATGGTACTGAATTTGGATAGTTGAACAAATTCTAAATTCGATTCAAAAATATTTTGCCTAATTACAAAACTAAACAATCTATTCAAGAAATTGAAATGAATGAGAAAATTAGAATGTAAACATAAAATATAGAGGATGAGAGTATTCTTTAATTTTAAAGAGGAATTTAAGATATTAATAAAAGCAAAACAATAATATAAACACTTAAAATACTTAAGACATCTAAATAAGATGAGTTTGTTAAATAAATAAAGGAGCCATATATAAATATAAAGAGAAAAAGAAGAAATAGTTGTTATTGTTTATTATGTGGTAAAATGAATGAAAAATAAATCAGACATTAAAATGATCCATATTTTGACAAATTTAATATGTTTTAACAATAAAGAAGAAACTCAATCTGTTAATAAAATAGAAAAAAGTATTAAGATAAACTAAAATCTCAAATTTAATAAGAAAATATTAAAATATCATATATCAGTTAAAATAAGTCGCCCATCAACAAATATAAAAATGTCTCGAGAACTACAAAATTAATTCTAGAGTAGACTCAAATAAAGATATTATAATAAGGTTAAAGATATTCGGCATTACCATCTTAAAGAATTAAAACTGAACCAACTTAATCATCGCCTCGATCTTTTAAATTGTATCCAATATAACTCAACAAATTAAGATTGGGTTAATCAACTTATAAATAGAATCATCTAAAAGAGAGTTTCAAAACATTGGCTAACATCTATAGATGAATATAAATAAATAGATATCTTATTATTAATATTAATATTAAAATAAATTATATAAATTATTCATTATAATTATAGAAGTTTATAGATAATTTTATTCATATTAAGAAGAATTAATATATATTAAATAATGAGATTAGATTTTTTTAAGATGATTAATTATATATATAAATATATATATATATAATATATATAAATGATCTTAGATTTTGTATTTCAAAGGTCAAATTTATAGAAAATAAGTCTAAATAAAAAAGAAATGAAATTAAATTATAATTGAATTTGTTTATATATTAATAAATTAAATATAATAATATATGTAAAGATCGTTTCCAACATAATCTCAACCTGTTTTAAGCAGAAAAAGTAAAATTAGTGAATTAGAAGAGGTTATTTGATCATTTGAAACTAGAACTTGTTTTCCAAGTTGGATAATCTCTTTATTGATTAACCAAAATAAGAATAAGTTTAAACATTACAACCAAAAGTTGATTTACTTGAATAGGCAAAATAGAGAATTTAATAAAAGAAAGAAGCTAATCCTTCTTTTTTTGAAGAGGGTAGAAAGAAATTGGCTGCATAAAGAAAAAAGGATACCTTTTTAATTACAGCAGTTAATTCTATGCCATAAAAATAATATAAAAAATAGAGTCAGACATAAGAATATTATAAAGAAGAAACTGATTGTAATAATATGCTAAAAGATTTAATTGCATAAGAAGAAAGACCTTATGATGATTTAGCTGAATTAAGAAAGATGATTGCTAAAACTGAATAATGTATGGTAGAATATGTAGATGATATGTATATAGATTATTAATTAGGCATAAGTTAAATAAGAATGTAGTAAAATATAATAATGAGGCAAGAAAAATAGGAATGGGTGTAGATGCATAATTGTTTGATTTTGTAGATCATAAATGCAACAAATATTTAACTAAGTCAAAGACTACTACAATCATTAAAGATAAAAAATATTGAATTGCTATAATTATTTTATTTAAAATATTATATTATTAATGATCATATTCTACTTAAATATTATATATAATATTTTAAATAACACTTATTTAATTCATTATTGGTTCTATTGAATATTCATATATTTAAAAATGATTAATAATTTATTTAACAATATAATAAGACAATTATAAACTATTAAAAAGAAATGTAGATTAATATATTGTAATTGTGTTTAAATATTAAAGAATAAAAAAATAGTGATTCTTCAAAATAATCTACAAATATAATGTGATTAGTGATAAACAACAATATTTTTTAGTATTAATGACTATTAGAAAATTTTAATTAAAAAATAAGGTAAAAAATAGAATGGATTATGGGAATAAAATGATTAAATAGATAAGGAAATATTTGTGAGTTTGAAATTTATTCATTCTTGTATTTATTCAAACTAAACCATTTATAATTATGTATGTTATCCTCTATGATGTTCAGACCAGGCTTCTCTATAAAACCTTAAGAAAGGTGAGATTAAGATCCAAAATACAATAAATATGAATCTTATTTCCAAAGCAAGGTGATCATCAAAAATTTAATTAAAGATTGGAGTCATAATGATTATTGCTAATTAGATTAAATACTTACATAATATCAATTTAGTATGCATCATACCAATCCATTATTTAGAATGCTATTTCATTTTGTTTTTAGGATCTAACAAAATTGTATTAATGAAGCCAGAAATAATCATAATGAAGGATAATACCCATTAAATTAATTTTGAAGGATCTTCATTTTATGATGAAAACAAATATTTCCATATTATATTTCCGCTTATAATAGTGATGGTTGAGATGTGAAATACTCTAAAGATGTATTTAGACCAAAATAATCTATTATACATTAATAATGAATAAATAAATAATAAATAATTAATCCATTTCAATTATAAAATAATTATTGTAAAAATGAATAATCAATAAATAAGAAATAAATTATTCATAAATCTTTAGAATTTACAATCTATTAATAATATTTATAAATTTAATATATCATAATATATAAGTATTTTATACTATTTTTATTAATTGAAATTTTAACTTGTTTATAATTGAAATCAAAACCAAATTCTCGATATAGCACACATGCCCGAGTGGTCTAAGGGGCCGCACTCAAGATGCGGTGAGTCATTCTCGCGTGAGTTCAAATCTCACTGTGTGCAATTTTTTTAATTTTTGTCTATATAATTAATTAATAATATCATTTTCATTTAATTTTTTTTTCAATAACCCATAAGCAAGAAGTTGTTAATTAATCTGTTAAAATGACTTCATATTAAGTTGTTTGCATTTCTGATAAAGATGGTCCTTAACATAAAAATTTATTCATTGGTTAATAAAAGAATAAAAATGGTTTACCTACAATAAATTATTAATTATCAATTGCTATAAAATATTAATTCTATAAATACTTTAAATATTTAGTGATTATTACATAGATGATTACATACATCTAATTTAATTACCATTCTTTGAATTAGCTAAGTTTTTCTCATCTATAGACAAAAACTTCATGGTTTCTTTATGAATCAAATTAATTGGCATTTAATTTTAGATTTAATTTTAGGCCATATTAAAAGATTATTTTATCATCCATAAATCATTAACTATTATAATTAAATTATTAATAATACCATCTCTCTCATAACTAAAACATGTTACTTCTTGTTATCCAGTAGAAGCATACATATTGTTATGAGAATGTAAAGAGTATCCACTTTTATAATTTCTAATTATTATTTTATCATTATTAAAGATTTCTTAAATATTCATTATCAATTATTATGTTGGTTTAATATCAAAGAGTTTTTGTTTTTATGGATCCAATTTAATAATTTCCCAATAATCATTTTGATTTTCTTTTCCACAAGATATTTCTTTATAATCTTTAATTTACTTTGATGCATAATTCTTATTTGATGTTTAAAGAAAATTTGTTAACTTTCTAGTCTAAATCTTCAATTATACACCATTTTTAATTGCATAATCTTTTGATTAAAATATTTATTCTCCTTATTATTACAAAATAAAAGGATAATTCTCTTATCTATTATAATTTAAAGAAACTCTAATTTAATGAGAAACTTCTGATTATTTCTCAAATTTATATATCAAATACATTTTAGTACTTAGATTCTTTAAAAAGATAATATCTCCATAATTAATCCTATTAGTGTCTTCAAAAACTTTTACTATAGTCCAAAGTGTATAATGATTTTCTGGATCATCACTCCCAACAACATAATAATCATTTATGTTTGTAGTACTTCCAAATAACAATCCTTTTTCTTATGTATTAAATCCTGTAGCAGTCAAATAAGTTCCTGTTGTAGAATTTCTAATTTATATTACTTCTCTAACTAGAATATCTTAATCAATTTAATACATTTATTATTTTATATAAATTATATAAATTTCATTATAAATTAAATAAAACATTTTATACCTTTATTTATTAATTATTCTGCATGAAGAACATTTATAGAAATATATGTCTTCTATTAATTCTAATATATTTAATTTTGATATATTATTGATTATCTAAATTAAGAATTTCATTACAAGTCTAAATTGATGCTTTCTATCTTAAATACCGAAATAATTTACCACAAAAATAATAAATATTATTATTGTATATGTAAATTTTAGATCAACAATAGACAAATTACAAACCTCCATCAAAACCTCCTAGAAGTTAAAACATATCCAAATATTTCTAATTAATGAAATTCTCATCTAATCATTATGAGATTAAATTCTTAAAAAACTTACAACTTTAATTATACAGCATAACATTTGCAAAAGAATTACCTTAAGAATAATAGAATGAATTAATTATATATGCTACAGGCTCTTCTTAGTTTATAAGAAAAAATGGAATTAATAGATTTTGGATTAGTGGGTATAATTTATGGACTTTTGAATATGTAGAAAAATCTTTCTAAGTACCTGGATGTAAACAACTATAAAATATTAACTTAATTATCAAACATGCTAAAACATATAATCTAACATAAAATTTAGATTAGATTCCTCCTGAAAGTCTTAAATAAGCTATGAATGCTATACTAAGTTAAATATATCAAGAAAGAAATCTAAAATAGATATTTAGAAAAGGTTAATTCTTTGATAAAGATAAGATTGAAAAAATTAATGATGTTTAGATTTTATAAGGATTTACAAGTGTTCTATAAATTGGCTAAACATCACCATTATTATTAATAGATTTTAAAACAAAGATATTTAATAAATAGACAGTATTGCAGTTTATAAAAGATAATAAGAAATCTAAAAATCCTATTGATCTTTAATAATTCTTTGAAAATAAAACATTTATGACTATATATTCAAAAAGAATGTATAGAATAAAATCAATTGATTTAAAATCTAATCCTACTTTCAAAATGGAATCCTCGAACATTACTTATGAACAATATTATTATTAAAGATATAAAATTAAACTGAGTGATTTAACATAACCTTTATTAGTGCATGAAGATAGAAAAACAAAATAAATTATAAGACTTATACCAGAATTATTGTACATGATTGAATTGACAAATACTTAAAAAAACAATTTTAAAGTTATGAGTAATATAAAATAATAGACAACTTTGGATCCCTTAGAAAGAAGTTCTAAAATTGATAATGAAAGGGCATTGCTTGATAAATATTTTACAAATCATTCAATTAGTCTATCAAATAATTCAGTTACACCTGCATATAAAATTATTAAACCAACTTTATTTCCTGAAGCTAATATCAAATAGACAGATGGAGCATGTTTTAATTTAAGAGGTAAATTAATAGAATAATCAAATATCAATAATTGGATATTGATACATTATAATGAAGAATAACAAATTGCAAATCTATTTACTTAAGAATTCATAAAATCTACTAAAGAATTGGGTAATTAAATTAATGCACCAAAAAAAATAGTAATGAATAATTTAGATCCTGCATAATGGTCATAAACATTACTAAATAATTTTAATACTAATGGAAAACCATAGATTGTTATATCAATTTTAGACAGACATGAAGATTCCAAACTCTATTTTGAATTAAAAAGGTTTTTAATATCTGGTTAAGGAGTCTTACATTAAAATGTTTCAATCTAAACAGTTGATTCCAAAAAATTCTCAAAAATTGCTTAATAAATAGTAAAATAGGTTCATAGTAAAATAGGAAAGTAATTGTGGAATATATAAAAAATAACTGAAGTTTCTGATAAGATTATGATTATAGGTATTGATGTTTATCATAAAACACTTATAAATAATAAATCTTGTGTAGGATTTAATGCTTAATTTGGTTAATAAAGTGATAAACATTTTACAAAAACCCTTATTGTTGAAAAAGGAAAAGAATTAAATAAAGGAGTTGGTTAATTATTAAATTAAAGTTTACAATAATATTAAAAATCAAATAAATATTATCCAGATACAATTATCATATTTCGAGATGGAGTAGGTAATTCATAAATTGATGATTTAATTGAAATAGAACTTAAATCTATGAAATCTGTTATTTAATAGACATATAATATTAAATTACCTCAATTTGCATATATTTTAGTAAATAAAAGGATAAGTGATAAATTTTTCTCACCAAATAATGAAAATAATGGAATGATATTTCCAGAAAGAATAACATCCAAAGAATTTGACTTTTTTTTAATAGCTTAATAAGTTAATTAAGGTACACCAATACCAACTCATTATACTGTGATTGAAAATACAACTAATTGGAATGAAGATACTTTTTGGAGATTCACTTACTTTTAATGTTTTAATTATAGAAATTGGTCAGGACCAGTTAAAATACCTGCTTGTCTATAAAATGCTCATACAGTAGCATATAGAGTAGGAGAAGTTATCTAGAGTGATGCTCATGCAGCATTAGAAAGTTTATTGTATTTTTTATGATATTTATATTTATTCCAAAAAACGATAAACTATTCTCATTTATTAACTTATACTTGAAACTCATATATTCTATTATCGAAAGTAATCACTAAAACTTAATTTCTTTAATCCATCTTTATAAACTTTTAATGCTAAGATTTCTTAACTTTACTCAACTATTTTGGTCTATTATTCATATAGAAGTTGTTTTAATTATTCATTCTCCTATTTCAATTCTTCCATTTCTTATGCTTAATCATGATTCTTTTGTAATAACATTAAGATTCTTAATTCTAATTATTACTATTCTTCATTCTTTTATTAAACAAATTCTAAGTCTTTATTAATAAATAATACAATATTCAAATTCTTATACATATTCTTATAACTTTTATTATTCCTTAATCTTATTAACAGTTTCTATGGTTTCACTTCTAATTCTTGTACCATTTTTTTAAATTGAATTCATTTTTACACCTGAACTTCCACTAACTCTTACTAATTTTTCTGGAGTAATAAATTTTTATTAAGGTATTGGTGAATGAGATTAATTATGAGAATTTCTCATATAAAAGGAATGAGAAGGAGTTCTTATCATTTGAATTTTGATTTATTTGAATTATTAACTTCAAAAAATATAAATAATTTATTATATTATTCAATAAATAATTGATAATGTTTATAAAGACAGATCTATAAAACCATCTATACTAAGTTTAGCTATTCCTTCTATTCCCCAACTTTTACCCCATGTGTTTTCAATAATATAATATTAATATCCATTTTATTCTCCCCATCCAATAATTTTTACAGCATGTCCTCCATGAAATCTAGGTATTCCTTCTAAGACTTAATAAATTCCATCTCTATAAACCAAAAAGTCTTTGTAAACTTACATAATAGCAACAACAGGACCATTATTAATGATATCTCTTTTTATATCCTAAAATTTATATATCTATAAATACATCCTTATTTAATAATTAACAATATGAATTAGCTTTAAATCTTTAACATTTTTCAAGTGCTTTTGTACATTCTTGGAAATTATCATCACCTCTAAATGGATGACATTCATTATTAGTCAATCCATGTTTAATAATATATTCAGCTGATCTTGTTATATGTCCTCCTTTACATCCTTGATTTAATTTACCATCACAAGATAACAAGTTTTAAGCTGATAATTATTATGTTGAATTCACTTTACAGACTCTATCTGAAAAAGCTGAAGATACAGCAATAGAATAAGATGAAGAGCAATTTCCTTAATTGTAGATATTATGAGAGCAATGAGGGTATGATTCTTTAAAATTGAAATAGCTTGGAATTTCGAAATTTATAAGTACTTTACATTTTTCTACATTAATTTATTATGTGAAATCATTCTTAAACAAAGTTTTAGCTTACATCAATGTTACATTCTAATTAAATAATCAAACTTACTTAAAAGAAATCATTAGGTCCTAAAGTATAAGGATATCCTTGAGAATTATGACTATTAATTTCTGATTAATTAATGATAATGTATTCTTTTATTTATTTATTAAATGATAAGACTGCAATTATAATTATTCCAACAATGACTATTTAAATAAATTAATAATAATACTTGATATTATAACATGTGTTCTATAAGTAGTAAAGAAATTAGGTTTAGATGTTCGTTTTTTGATTGCAATTTAAGCTAACTTCAATTTATCAACTTATTATTAATTTGATTATGGACTTAGAGAACGTTATCCACCCATTATCAATTAATTAATTAATTAATTTTTGATTTGATTTGAACTTGTTAAGTGTTCTAGTTATTAATATTTAATGAATAAAATTTATTAATTTTTACTAATTTGTTTGTTAATATGACTCATTATAGTAAACATGGTAATTTATTTTTTGCATTTTAGATCCTAGTGGTTAATGGTCAAGATTGATCGAAAGGTAAAAAATACAACAAGAAATGCAAGAAAAGTAAGAAAAAGAAGAATAAGAAAATAGAAAGCGGTTATATAGGTATTATAATTCAAATAAAAATAGAGAAGAATTGGAAAGATTGATTAATGAATAGAAATAATCTACAATTTAAAAAACTAAATACGATAGTGAATTTGCTGGAGCTATGCAGAAATTCTTACATTAAAGAGACAGTGTTGAATAATTGAAATTATAGGAACTTAAATAAAAACAATCTGAATTTATAAGATATAGTCTAGAATAAGAATAAATAAAGAAAGAATAATAAGTATCTCTATTTTTATTACTTTAAAGCGACTCAACTTTCTTTAAGATAGATAATAACAATTTTAAATTGGAATAATGATGGATTAAGCAGAAAAAAAGGATATCTATTTAAAATAATAAAAAAAAGAATAAGTTCAAAAAGATTTAGCATAATCTTATCTTTAATAAGAAGAATAAAAAAAAATGGATTAATATTTGTCTAGATAAAGAGAATAATAGCTACTTTAAGAATAATTGTAAAGAAGTCAAAAAGAAGAAGAGTAAAGATTATTAGTAATCATCTATTATTATAAATTAGCATCTTAGTACAATCAAATATGGATATCATTAGAATGAAAATGTACTTCAGAAATACAATGATCTTTATTTGTAAAAAGAATATAAAGATAAAGAACTACAAAGAAAATTTATTGAAGAAGCTGCAACTTATAAGTAAAGATAAGAAGAAGAAAAATATATAATGGAAAGAGTAAACAAGGAAAAATTACAAAAGGATACTGTTGATACAATCTTAAATTAAATACATTCAAAACAATAGAGTTAGAGAGAATAATAGAATAGCAAATATAAAGATCAAGAAGTATTACTTGGACTTCATTAAAAATTTTAAATGCAAGAGAGAGAATAAAGTGAAAGAAAGAATCAATTATAATAATAATACAGATAAGATTTAATTATGTAAATTGAANAATATTTAATGAATAAAATTTATTAATTTTTACTAATTTGTTTGTTAATATGACTCATTATAGTAAACATGGTAATTTATTTTTTGCATTTTAGATCCTAGTGGTTAATGGTCAAGATTGATCGAAAGGTAAAAAATACAACAAGAAATGCAAGAAAAGTAAGAAAAAGAAGAATAAGAAAATAGAAAGCGGTTATATAGGTATTATAATTCAAATAAAAATAGAGAAGAATTGGAAAGATTGATTAATGAATAGAAATAATCTACAATTTAAAAAACTAAATACGATAGTGAATTTGCTGGAGCTATGCAGAAATTCTTACATTAAAGAGACAGTGTTGAATAATTGAAATTATAGGAACTTAAATAAAAACAATCTGAATTTATAAGATATAGTCTAGAATAAGAATAAATAAAGAAAGAATAATAAGTATCTCTATTTTTATTACTTTAAAGCGACTCAACTTTCTTTAAGATAGATAATAACAATTTTAAATTGGAATAATGATGGATTAAGCAGAAAAAAAGGATATCTATTTAAAATAATAAAAAAAAGAATAAGTTCAAAAAGATTTAGCATAATCTTATCTTTAATAAGAAGAATAAAAAAAAATGGATTAATATTTGTCTAGATAAAGAGAATAATAGCTACTTTAAGAATAATTGTAAAGAAGTCAAAAAGAAGAAGAGTAAAGATTATTAGTAATCATCTATTATTATAAATTAGCATCTTAGTACAATCAAATATGGATATCATTAGAATGAAAATGTACTTCAGAAATACAATGATCTTTATTTGTAAAAAGAATATAAAGATAAAGAACTACAAAGAAAATTTATTGAAGAAGCTGCAACTTATAAGTAAAGATAAGAAGAAGAAAAATATATAATGGAAAGAGTAAACAAGGAAAAATTACAAAAGGATACTGTTGATACAATCTTAAATTAAATACATTCAAAACAATAGAGTTAGAGAGAATAATAGAATAGCAAATATAAAGATCAAGAAGTATTACTTGGACTTCATTAAAAATTTTAAATGCAAGAGAGAGAATAAAGTGAAAGAAAGAATCAATTATAATAATAATACAGATAAGATTTAATTATGTAAATTGAAGAAGACAAAAATAGAAAATAATAAGAAGCATCAATGAGTATGGTTGAATTAAATATGAATAAGAAAATATTTGAAGTATTAAAATATTCATATTTATATAGGCAGAAGATGATCCTCAATTAGCAGGTATTGGAGTAGTTCCTGGATTATCAAATCATGTTGATTATGAAAAACTTAAATAAAAGTAAAATTTATAACTATTTTTAAGAGCATATGTAGATGGTACATTCAAAAAATCAGCAGAATAATAAATGTAATTTAAAAGATTAAGAAATGTAAGTGCCTACATTGCAGGTAATAATGTTACTTAAAATTATGGTTATTGATATATATATAAATATCTTTAATATTACCATCATTTATTTTGAGGTATTCCTCCAACTATATCTAAAATTACTTTTTTATCCAAAATTGTGGATGATTTTTATATATTTTCAAATAGTAATTAAATAGTCTAATAGATTAATTAAATAAAATACTTTTATTAAAAAGAATCTTTATAATGTAGTCATTAAATTATCGAGGAGGAAATCTTCAAGATTATTTTCAAATTATTACTCTAAATATATCGATTAAAGATTCTAAATATATTCTTCAATGCTCTAGAATAATATATCTTGTTACTTAAGAAGATGCATCCAATAGAGAGCATATCTCAACATCTTTCTTATTTTAAATCATAGGTTTAAGTACTTCCTATATCTATTTTTACTTTTCATTTACACCATAAGTATTAATTGCAGTATCAATTAAATTCTTCAATTAATCATTCCAAAATTTTGGTTCTGTATATAGAAAATGTTCCTACATCTAAAATGCTATTATTAATTTTAAGATTTTTAATTCTGACTCACCAATATTTTTATTTTACATTATTTTACATATAATACCTAATAAAATTAAATGTTTTAAGTTTATGGCTAGAGTATAAAAAAAGGATTATTAATTAGTTAGCTTAGCTAATTTCATATATTTATGTAATGCTTATAATGCTTCTATAAAATTATTATTATTGTATTATTCAAACAGGTAGGCTATAATACATTATAATTTTAATGCTTGTTTATATTCTTCTATTGAATTTGAGTGCTCTTAATTTGAAGGGAAATGTTATGGTTTATTGTTTCCTAATTTATTCATTTCTTCTAAGATTTAAGTTTTAACTATTTCGTTAATTCCTGGTTGACCAAATAATCCATTAGATTATGGCATAATTTTAATTATTGCATTATCTAATATTGTCCATTTGAATAATCTTTCATCAGGTTTCAATTTCAAATACATAGCATAATTTTCTAAATAAGGTGGTTTGACTGGAAAAGGTGGATATTATTTTTATTAATATTTTCTTTATTTTTCATTTGCAATTTCTAAATATTAATTATATTTAGTAATAATCATTTCTATTTAGCTAAATAATTTTTATTATTCAACTTCTTATTTTAATTTTTCATTATTTTAATTTAGAAATTCTCTCTATTATTAAGATAATAATAATCCATATCCATCTGTTAAATATCTTTTTTGATCTTCACTTGTACTAAATACTTTTAATTTTACCATTGAATTTTATGCAAATTTCGCATTATCTTCTTTTACATATTATAATAAATAAGCACTTTTAGAATTTGATTAATCTCCATAAGCATTTTTTAATACATTTTATTCTATTTCTTCATGAACATGAATATCATTAAAATAATACCATTTTTAATCATCAAGATTATAAATATATGCAAAATAATGACCAGCATCAGGATTACCTTCATGCATCAAAATTGATTATAAGATATATTTCTATTTTTTTAATGAATTATAACTTTCAGAAATTTTTAATTCTATTTCTTTTCTTTCTTTTTATAAACAATCTCTTTTTTTAATATAATGTTAATAATATTCAGAAATTGATTTAATTGTTGTTTTATTATCATTACTATCTACATAAAATGGATGTTATTTTTCATTTTAATTTTATAATCTCAAAAATTATAAGGTTGTTTCTAAATTTTAAATAATATCAATATTTCCATTAAATTATGTTAACATACTTAATTCTTAATCAATTTTCTTTAATCTATCTCTCATTTATTAATTTTATATTTATATATCTTTTGCCATCTTCTAATTTGATAAAAGATAACGATCTAAATATATTTCTTTATCAAATTAAAAAAATGAATTAATTTTAGTAAATGAACCTAATTATTAATTAAATAAATTACCAAATTCTTTATTATATTCTACTCTTTATATTTAAAATGTAAGGACTTATGGAGCCTATTATATCCAAAATTATTTGATTGCTTATTGATATTCATCTTTATCATTTTTATATTCTACAGCTTAATTCATATATTTATCAAATCCTTCAATTAATGATTTACTATTAACATCTATTTATATTATATTGAATAATTCTTATTAACAATCTTTACTTAATGTTTAACCTTTTATTAATATTTAAGGAGCGAATTTACCATAAAATAATTTATATACAATAGAATTTTCTACAATAACTGATGATTATCTAATTAATAATGATTTTTATGAAATCAAACTTTTTTAATTCTATTCATTAAAATTAATTGTTGGAAATTAAACTAGAGATTAACCTGGTAATTATTATTTTATTTATTACTAACTCTATGAATTGTTTGTCTTTTATAAAGATTAACTTAAATATGTTATACCTTCATCAATTCTTGATAGAAAATAATTATTAAATTCACTAACATCCTTTTAATCTCCAATAGGCAATGCTTTACCAAAATCATCACATATTGATAGAATCACTTTCTTTGGATCAACAAATTATCTATCACTTCCAATCATAAGAACAAAAAGATTTTATAGATTTTTAACTAATTCAATAGAATTAATTAGTCTTTTATCAACTATATTTTATAGATTAATATGATCAAATTTGCATTTCACTATCGAAGATACAAAATCATAAATAAAATAATAAGTCTATAAAAGACAATTAAAATAACAGGTATTTCCTACATTCAACAAACCACATGGAATATAATTTTATCTAACTTTTCCAAATGGAATATATTATTAATGTAATGTTAATGATGCTGCCATAGCTACTTAAATATCATCATTAAATTATTGATTAATTGGATTTATTATAAATGATTGATTTTTTATTCCTTATAAGAACTATTTAAATTAAGCCATATTTCCATTTGTAGCCTGCCATGCATTTCTTATATCATATTCATTATATCCATTTCTAATCTCTTATTAAAGTATTTAATTATCTATAGGTTTGTTCAATTATGATGATTATTATTGCATAAAAAATATATTTTATATATATTTAATATCAACTGTTTTTGAATTCAAAAATGTAATAAATAGAAGAACTTATATGTCCAGAATGTTAAATGATGTTTAATGAGAATGAAAATCTGCCATTGATGCTTCCAGATTGTGGACATACAATATGTTAAAATTGTATTTAACAAATGTTAATCAATAAAAAATACATTGTTTGTCCAGAAGATGGGTAAAATTATTATTTATTATAGTATCATGGCCAAAAATAAAAATGATATCTCATAATTTCCAAAAAATTGTTAATTATTAAAAATGGTGGTCAAAAATAAAACCTAATACCAGTAAAGTAGATAATCAGCAAGAAATGATGATAATGATATAAATTATCAGTTGTAATTAAACAACTTAATTTCTAATGATATTCCTAATGATTTATGTTAGGAACATCTAGAAAAATTAGAAATAGTATGTCTCACAGATTAAGTTAGAATTTGTACAAGATGTGCATTATTTGGATAACATCGACATCATGAGGTTCGTTCATTTGATGATGTTGTAAAAGAAATCACTTAAAAAGCTGAAAATATTATGTAGATATATTAAAAGATCCTATAAAAGTAAAGTGAAATGACAGAATAAAAATATTTCGAACCATTATAAGAAAGATTTTCAAGTGTTCTTACAGAGAGTCATAATACAGTAAAAGAGAAATTTAAAGAACTTCATTAATTATTAGATCTAAAAGAATAGAGACTTATAGAATAATTGACTACATTAACATAATCACTAGAATAATAAACAAAAAAATAAGTTAAAGAATTGTTATAAAATTGCTTATCTTAGGCTGAATTATGGAAGATAACAGCTAAAGATAGATTAGTATATTTCTCAACTAAAACAGAAAATGGAGAATTACCTTTAGATTTATTAAATAATTAAGATTATGCTTGTGTAGATAAGGGAAAGGGAATATATGATGAATTAGAGAAGATCTAAAAATAATTGGATATTAAATTATAAAATATTAAAATAAAGAAATTAAGAGTAGATCTCAAAAAGACAGAAATAGATAAGAGTTTTGATAATCTCTTTACTATTACTTTATAATTAAGTAATGTCAATAATACCAGTATTATGACTAAGAGTAGTTAAATATTAAAAAATATCAATACTTTAACAGATTCAACATTATTATAGGATATAAAGAGAAATGAAAGTTTTAGTAAATTATGTGGTTAAGATGTTTTTTCAAGTTTTTGTTAAGATGAGCCAATGTTACTTAAAGATATATCTATGGCAGATTGGAGTGAGAGTCTTATGGATGATACTACAAATATTACTTAAGTAAAAAGTCCAAATAGAAGTAGTATAGAATAAGAAGAATTTATAAAAAATAAGAATGGATCTGGATTAAAAGAACTTAAAGAAATTTAACCTGTAGTAAGTTCATAAACAATTCAATCAACTACTCCTACAAAACCAGAGAGAATTTAAATTAGAGCATTAGAAAAACTTAAAGGATCCTTTTAATAACCAAGTCCTGGTAGAAGAGATATAGAATAAGTTAATTCTATAAGATAAGGAGTTAGTCCTAATACTAAAATATAAGANCATCGACATCATGAGGTTCGTTCATTTGATGATGTTGTAAAAGAAATCACTTAAAAAGCTGAAAATATTATGTAGATATATTAAAAGATCCTATAAAAGTAAAGTGAAATGACAGAATAAAAATATTTCGAACCATTATAAGAAAGATTTTCAAGTGTTCTTACAGAGAGTCATAATACAGTAAAAGAGAAATTTAAAGAACTTCATTAATTATTAGATCTAAAAGAATAGAGACTTATAGAATAATTGACTACATTAACATAATCACTAGAATAATAAACAAAAAAATAAGTTAAAGAATTGTTATAAAATTGCTTATCTTAGGCTGAATTATGGAAGATAACAGCTAAAGATAGATTAGTATATTTCTCAACTAAAACAGAAAATGGAGAATTACCTTTAGATTTATTAAATAATTAAGATTATGCTTGTGTAGATAAGGGAAAGGGAATATATGATGAATTAGAGAAGATCTAAAAATAATTGGATATTAAATTATAAAATATTAAAATAAAGAAATTAAGAGTAGATCTCAAAAAGACAGAAATAGATAAGAGTTTTGATAATCTCTTTACTATTACTTTATAATTAAGTAATGTCAATAATACCAGTATTATGACTAAGAGTAGTTAAATATTAAAAAATATCAATACTTTAACAGATTCAACATTATTATAGGATATAAAGAGAAATGAAAGTTTTAGTAAATTATGTGGTTAAGATGTTTTTTCAAGTTTTTGTTAAGATGAGCCAATGTTACTTAAAGATATATCTATGGCAGATTGGAGTGAGAGTCTTATGGATGATACTACAAATATTACTTAAGTAAAAAGTCCAAATAGAAGTAGTATAGAATAAGAAGAATTTATAAAAAATAAGAATGGATCTGGATTAAAAGAACTTAAAGAAATTTAACCTGTAGTAAGTTCATAAACAATTCAATCAACTACTCCTACAAAACCAGAGAGAATTTAAATTAGAGCATTAGAAAAACTTAAAGGATCCTTTTAATAACCAAGTCCTGGTAGAAGAGATATAGAATAAGTTAATTCTATAAGATAAGGAGTTAGTCCTAATACTAAAATATAAGATTGTAAGAAAAAGAAAATGTTTAAGATTAATGAGAAATTTGAAAATGTTTGGTAAGCATTTAAGAGTGATAATTTAGAAATAGCAGATTTTTCAAGTGCAGGTATATATATATATAATGATTATATTAGAATTAGGAGATGAAGGATTATAATTTATAGGGGATATTCTTAAAATATCTAAGAGAGTTAAATAACTTAAATTAGTTAGAAATAAAATAACTGATGAGGGTGCTTGTAAACTATTAGATTGTTTAGTATATAATACAAATTAAGCTTTTTAAAGTCTACATTTATCATCAAATATGATAACTGAAAGGACTCTAGATTATTTTATTTCTTTAGTTAGAAATTCCCCCTAAAGTTGTTCATTGCCAAAATCTTTATATTTGAACCAAACTTTAATAAATGCAACCAAAGCCAAAAAGAAAATTGAAGATTTAAAGCGCGTTGGATATTTAGTGAATATTTGATAATAAAAATTAATAATGGATAATTAAAAGAAATGCTTGTTTGAAAAATTTGGAGGAGACTAATAAGTATCTGAACTTATTGATCAATTCTATTATAAAGTACTCTTTGATAAACTTCTTCGTGATAAATTTTTGAAGGCAGACATGAGTAGAGTAAGATATCAATAAAAGCGATTCTTCTCTTAAATGATGGGTGATAAAAATACTTAATATACTGGCAGGTATTATCAATAAATTAATATATATATAGAGATTTAATAGAAGTCCACAAAAATCTGAATATCACAAATTAATAATTTGATAAATTTAAGACTCATCTTAAAAATATTGCTTAAGACATGGAAGTCCCAATATAAGATATTGATGAATTACTTTAATATGTTGAAAATCATAGAGATGTAATTGTGTTTTCAAAATGATAATCATGTTTATGTATTTGGTTATTCTTATTTGTACCTGTATATATCCAAACAAAAATAATTTAATTATTATTATTTTAATAATTCTTTTGAAATAGAATTGGAATTATAATTAATGTTATGATAATCAAAATTGTCTACATATATATATATATATAATCACATTCAATAAGAATTAATAATAAAACAATCATTATGCTTTTTTATTTAATTTTGGCAACTAATTTTAAAGAGAAGAAAGTGAAGTTTATAACTTTAATGGCCTTATTAAAAATTATCTATTCAAGTTTATTATATAAGGATTTTAATTCCTTATATTAGTACTTAATAATTTGGTATGTTTATTCTGATACTTTCTTTTGGGGGAAAACGTACTTACAGGACTTTTAAGTTATATTGAATTCTTTTGATTCTATAAGGATGATTATGTAGCAATATTTAAATAATTCTAAGAATTAATAGATTATAAATCAGATTATGAATATAATCCAATACTATCTTTTCTTTTTGATCTTTCTTAACCATCTGTTATCATTTTCAATAATGTATTTTATTTATTATAAGCTCTTTTAAATCCATGAATATTTAAAGATAACTGAGTATTAATGGTATTATTATCTTTAGGTATTAAGATTTACAAATTCTTAAATGAAGATTTCTTATAATAGGTATTCATTTTAGCTAAGAATATTTATAATCTTTAAATACAATCAGAGTTTGTAACTATTAATTCAGGTGTAAAATATTCCTATTCTTTTAATATTTCTCTTTTCTTTAATGGAATATTCATTGTTTTGAATTATAATTAACTTTGTTATCCACATTAACCACAATGACAGCTTTTTCTTCTAGTAGTTTATTCTGAGTCTAACTGCTTAATCTAAATAGTATTCTAGCTGTGAATATATTTGTTCAGCCTAGTTTTCTCATTAAGTATTAATAAGTAATTTTCTAAAGGTAATAGTGCTTTCAAGTTAAAAGAGTAAAGAGATTAATTCATAAAAATCAATTATTAAATATATCAAATCCCAAGTATGATAATGTGTTAATTTGGCTTACACATAAATAATACTAATTTAATAGTGAAATATTAATGGTTATAATTTATTATTATTCTTTAGATCAATAATTGTATTCATTCAAGCATAATCAGTATATAAATACAAAACATTTATATAATTAAATGAGTAAATTTTAAGAATTCATTTCCAACAAGTAAATAACAGAACTATAAGAATAGTTAGAATAAGCTCGTAATAAAATTCAAAAATTAGAAGCATAATAATAGCATGCTGGTTAAATTGATGATATTTACATTTTAAGAGATAGATTAATCAAAGTTTAAAATGAAAATATTAAACTAAAAAATACACTTAAATATATTGAATAGAATCAATAATATAACAAATTGAATGCTTTTTATGACTATTTCAATATTCCAAATGTCTAAAATATGGATATCAAATTGTAATTGATCATAGATTAATTTATTAATTTAAAACAGGAAATTGAATTAAAGAATTAAACCTTGCTTGAATACTCTTAGATTTAAATTTAGAATAAAGAATTATTAACAAAAGTGACAGTACTTGAATAGTAATTAAAATTGAAAGAAAGTTAGATAGAAAAAACAGATAAATAAATTGTTAATCTAACAAAACTTATAGAATAGTTGTAAGTATAAGCTACAGAATCCTTTTGGGATTTAAGAATTAAATGTGATAATTTAAAATCATTAATTTCAAATGGATGGGAATGTGATTAAAAAATTAATTAAAATAGTGATCATCCTTAAAAAATAGCAACAATTATATCAGAATAACATTCTTTATTAAGTAAAAGATTTTCTTAGCCAATTTTTGATCATCATTTATATTTTAAATTAAAAGAATAAACACTTTATATTGTAAAGTAAATATAATGTACATCATAACCTATTTAATAAATAAAAAAATAAATAGAAGCTTTAGATGAATTTTGGCTCATGTTTATTTTAGTTAAAAATTATCCTATTATTATATTAAATGACAACAATTAAAGTATCAACAATTCAGAATTATTTAAAAAAGTATAATTTATGAAGTAATTATTAAATTCAGAATCCCCAATTTATTATAATTAAGAAGTTGCATATGAAATGAATATAGATTTCTAGAATATTTAATTTGAAATTGCATAATTTGCTTAATAGTCATTTAGTTGGTTTTTTGAATAATCTAATGATTTAGTTATAGTGAGTGAATATAATAAACGAATTAAATTAAGTGGAACCAGTAAGGTTAAATAAGCCAGAGAATGCACTCTCTTGCATTATATAACAGATTACTATTAAATAACATAAGATAACAGAGTAATGTTATGCATTTAGAGCAATTCTAAAGATGCACCTAAAGTGTAAAAGCAGTAAGTGAATACAGGAATAGTTGCTAAGATAAAAAACAAAGAGAATTATAATAAAGTTTGTTAAATTATTAATTCCTAAATTACACAGGATACAACAATTTAATATGATGAAAATTATGTGTATATTTATTTATGAGAAATAAAACATATTTTTATCATTTCCTACTTTTCTATCCATATTGAGTAAGGTAGAAGAAGAAGAATACAATTAGGACTGCAATAGGTCCAGACCAATACATACTATTATTGAATCTCATTCCTTTATCCAAATCTAACAAACCCATAGTCATTGCGATTTGGTTCATAGTGAATGTACAATATGTAAATGCAATAATACTTCTTAGTGGTGTTGGAATCCTATATAAGTAATTATAATAATTGATTACCATTAAAATTTATGTCTACTTCTGTAAACATATTTACAATTCTGATTAATTAATGCCCACCAAAAAAAGGTTTAATAATATCCTAGATAGAAACCATGCCATAATGCACTTATACCATATGTCATATAATAAGCAGTTGTAACATCGAAAACTATTGCTAGTTTATCAAAGAAACAATATTTGAGCCATATTTATACAGTAGTGTTCCATTTAGCAGTTTTATGAATTGCACTCACATCTTTTTCATAAGAATAATCACAAGTTATAAATTTATCAAATTACTCTAATTATTATTAAATATATATTTTTTACATGTATCTTCATTATAAGTAATACCAGCAGCATCCATTGCAGCTTAAGTAAATTTAAATCCTGCAAAATATCTCATTCTAGCAACCAAACCTATTATTGCTTATAATAAATTTTTTTCTAAAAGATTTAGTTCATACCATTAAGGTGAATCATACCAATCGTAATCAACATATGGTCTAATCCATATTTCTCCAGCACAAAATAATAATGCTTTTATTAAGTTAGTAATAACTGATTTATATTAATTAAATTTAATATTAGAATATCCTTCTTTCAAGTTAAGCAGGTTTAAATAATTATGATATGGTACAGGTCCAATCATTATGCTAAAAAATGAAAATATGTATGAGTAATATGTCCAAAATCTAGTATCATATGCCTTACCAGACTATAAATCTACAGCATAGTATATTAATCTGCATGTAATCGTCATCTGAATTACTGAAAAATCTATCTTCCATGACAAGTAATCAAACTAATGATATTTCTTTATTTTACCCATTGTCGAAAGAGATGGACATAAGATAGAGCTACAAATGCTGTTATTGATATTGGTATAACCACGTTCTTAGTTGGTATTGTTGATATAAAGTACACAAATATGGTTATGATATTTATAAACAAAAACCACTCTCTACCCAAGAACAAAGTGAAGAAAACTCCCCAGAAAATGTTGTATAAAAGTCTTATTCTAGGTTATTTGATCTTACTAAATATAATGGCTATAGGAATACAAAATAACTAGTAATGAATGCAATTTATACAAAATATGAAACAAGTCTAACTTTGTCCTCTGAAATGTTCAAGACTTTGATACTGTTCATCACCCATTAGTCAAACTAATCGAATGGTTTCAAAAGTTAATCCAATGATAACATATTTTTAATAAAGAGAATAACTATTTTCCTAAATATTCTATAGTTATATATTATATATCATTTATATGGTTATAAATTCTTAAATCCTGAAGCCAAACCTATCACTCCACAAGCCAATCTAGCACCACTATTTCCTGTTGTTTTTGAATCCTTTTAGTTACCTCTTCCTAAATCATCTTAACCTGCATGGACAACTACTGATCTTCCCAAAATACTTAATTATTAAAATACTCTTTACCTATACTCTCCATATAATTAAATCAAGTTATCTTCATAGGCCAAATATCCATTTCCTCTTTCATCTGTTTTAATATTTCCCAAATCTCCCACATGCCTTTTCTCATCTAATGGACTTCCATGTTCTTATTCAAAAGGATTGAAATGAGGTCCTGCTGTTGTACATCCATTACTTAAATCACCAAATTCATGAATATGAATCCCGTGAAGACTATTGGGCTTTAATCCTCTTACTACTGCAGCAATCTTTGTTTTTGCATTAATATGTTCCTAAGAGAAGGAAACAACACCATTCACCCCTGAATTTGAATCTGGAAATAGGATGCATAAAGCATGTCTTGAAGTATTAAAATTTTCTGTTAAAGAATTAACCTTCCCTTGACTAATTAAAAGAAAACCAGAAATAATTCCAAAGGATTTTAACATTTGTATTAATTTAATTATATTAAAATAAAATAACAATTTATTTTTTTTATCCTCCCATCTTTCTAGAGACATCCAAATGTTTAAAAATTTCTTATAATTCTATTATTCTTAGTAATTGTACTTTAGAATTTGAATAATGTAATCCCTTAATTTATTTATATTCTAAATGAACATAAAATCAGATTAAAGAATTCAGTATCATTAAAAACAATTTAAAAAATTCTATCTACATTATTATAAAATATATAGTCATTTTAATTATTCTTCTTCCTTTAATCTAAAGTATTAAACTACATTGGTCAAATTGAATAGGTTCTTTAACTGTTTTTATTGTTAAGCCTATTTAATGACTTACAAAAATGTCATTCCAGTGGTTTTCTTATTTTATTAAACCTTATTATTTAATTAGATCAATTACCACTGTAATTTAAGGGGGAACTACAATAGTTTTTAATTATTCTTCAAGTATCTTCTCTTCTTATTATGATGTCAGTTTTTCTACTTCTTCCTCTTCATCAGGATTTGGTTATTTGATAACTTATCCATATTATTTTTACATGCACTTATCGAAATCCGAAAGATCTTCTGAATCTTTAAAATAAGACTTTATAAATTCTCCTAATCTAACATATATAAGGTAAGTGAGAGCATCTAATTTTTTGAATAATGGTTATTGTCTTCTCTCATCAATACCTAATTAATCTTAAGTTCTAATTAATGATAACTTCTCAGCACATCTGGCGAGTGCTTCTAAGAATTCATAGAATTCCATCTGAAAATGTTTAAGCAAGAACAATTCATCAACTGAAGTTTACATTGATAATAAGAATACTAAATAAGCATCTCTTTCAACAAATATATCACAATATAAATCGCATTTATTAATCAAATCTCTAAAGTCTTTAAATTGAAGCCATAAATGTTTGTAATATTTTTATTTAGGATTTAATTTTGAAGTAAATTTGAATAACATTTTTAACATAGGTAATCTATCCTCTAAATATATTGAATAATTAAATTACTTAAAAGAGTATCACATTATTCATTCCAGTATCGCATATCTCTCCAATCTTGGCTACGATCTATCTCTAATAATTTTAATTTAACTCCATCCTCTTCAAATAGTTTTCTCAAACTCTCTTTAACTGATTTACAAATTTAGGTTCTTATATATTTATCAACTGCTATTCTAACCAATAATTCCATCAATTAATATCTAACTAATGCTTTCTCATATACATTAGGATAATTGATATCTTTTACATTTGAAGTGGAAATGAAATTTAAATCAACATCNTTAATTCTATTATTCTTAGTAATTGTACTTTAGAATTTGAATAATGTAATCCCTTAATTTATTTATATTCTAAATGAACATAAAATCAGATTAAAGAATTCAGTATCATTAAAAACAATTTAAAAAATTCTATCTACATTATTATAAAATATATAGTCATTTTAATTATTCTTCTTCCTTTAATCTAAAGTATTAAACTACATTGGTCAAATTGAATAGGTTCTTTAACTGTTTTTATTGTTAAGCCTATTTAATGACTTACAAAAATGTCATTCCAGTGGTTTTCTTATTTTATTAAACCTTATTATTTAATTAGATCAATTACCACTGTAATTTAAGGGGGAACTACAATAGTTTTTAATTATTCTTCAAGTATCTTCTCTTCTTATTATGATGTCAGTTTTTCTACTTCTTCCTCTTCATCAGGATTTGGTTATTTGATAACTTATCCATATTATTTTTACATGCACTTATCGAAATCCGAAAGATCTTCTGAATCTTTAAAATAAGACTTTATAAATTCTCCTAATCTAACATATATAAGGTAAGTGAGAGCATCTAATTTTTTGAATAATGGTTATTGTCTTCTCTCATCAATACCTAATTAATCTTAAGTTCTAATTAATGATAACTTCTCAGCACATCTGGCGAGTGCTTCTAAGAATTCATAGAATTCCATCTGAAAATGTTTAAGCAAGAACAATTCATCAACTGAAGTTTACATTGATAATAAGAATACTAAATAAGCATCTCTTTCAACAAATATATCACAATATAAATCGCATTTATTAATCAAATCTCTAAAGTCTTTAAATTGAAGCCATAAATGTTTGTAATATTTTTATTTAGGATTTAATTTTGAAGTAAATTTGAATAACATTTTTAACATAGGTAATCTATCCTCTAAATATATTGAATAATTAAATTACTTAAAAGAGTATCACATTATTCATTCCAGTATCGCATATCTCTCCAATCTTGGCTACGATCTATCTCTAATAATTTTAATTTAACTCCATCCTCTTCAAATAGTTTTCTCAAACTCTCTTTAACTGATTTACAAATTTAGGTTCTTATATATTTATCAACTGCTATTCTAACCAATAATTCCATCAATTAATATCTAACTAATGCTTTCTCATATACATTAGGATAATTGATATCTTTTACATTTGAAGTGGAAATGAAATTTAAATCAACATCACCAGTTCTAAATTTATCTGATATTACACTAGTTGAATTAATTAAATCAAAAAAAGCATTTGATGAAATACAAGGAATTGTAGCACCTATAAGTGTGGATGCATAAAATTTATAGGATGCAAAAATATATGGATAATATTCTCTCATTACTTCTTTTACTTCATTATATTCTAAAGGATCTTTAATTATTTTATTGATTTTTGAGCTTCCATAATCATATTCAAAACATTCATCTATTATTTCTTCATTGTCAGGTTGATAATTCTTAAAGATTGAAAGTTCATAACTCCAAAATTATTTTTCTCTTTTTGTAAGAAACTTAGTTAAATCAAAGGTTTTTTCCTCTTCTCTTGGTTTACTAAAGATTTTAGCAAAATATCTATCCATAATTGATTACTTATCTTCAGTAAACATTTCATTCACAAAACCCATCCTATTACCTTCAATTAATATATCTCCATTATATAAAAATGATTATTTAGTTTGATATAATGGATCATCTGAGGGAGTTTAAGTGATCATTTAATTTTTTGCAGTTGTTTGAATTCCTAAAACAGGATTACTAAAAAAATAAGTAACTTTATAATTTGGAGGACACATTCGATATGCAGAATATTCTCCATTATGTAATGTCATGAGAATAGGTTTATAACTTTCAAAGTTTAAATGTACAAATATTGGATCATTGTTCATTCCTCCTGACTTTCCTGGAGTCCATGTAAATTTAACTTCTTACCAACCATCACAAATCCAACAAGAATCTAATTCACTATCCTTATCATAATTTTATCTAATTGGTTTCATACCTTAAATTCTTCTAAATCTGAAGTTTCTATGTAATTCAGCATCACTTTATAAATTGCTTATTTTTTATTGGTGATAATTATGATGATTATGAGGGTCTTCTATTTCTAAAGATTAAATTTCATTATCATCAACTAATTTAAGAGTTGTTTAAGGATTTTTTTTACATTCTTCAATTTTTCTTTAAATATCAATTGCTTCTTAGATTCTGTCTCTTAAATGACCAGTAGAATCAACAGAGTATTTTGGGCAATTTCCTTGATAATGAAATCCATAAATATTCTGATTTTAATCCAATGCCTTCTTTATTTCAATAGATTGTTCTTCATTAAAATTATTATAAGAAATATCAATATGCATAAGTTCAGGATATTATTTAATTATTACTTTTGCCATCCATTAAGCACATTCTAATGAAGCAGTTCTATTATAAGAAATATCAAAAACTTTCACACTAGAATTCTTGTAAAAGGCCTTCCAAATATTTACTCCTCCTGCACTATTTATTGAGTTAAAATGAAGATACAATTCAAATAATACCTAAGTTTTCTTTATATAATTAGAAAGTTCAATAGTACAATGTTCAGTAAGGTTGTTTTTTGATAAATTTAAATAAAGTAAATAATCGTGATCTTATATTGCTAAACATAATGCATTGCTACCCAAATCACCTATTCGATTATTTTCAAGATTCACCTTCTTTATTGCTGATTTTTATATATATTTTGATAACAATTGACAGGCTTTAGAATCCAATCCATTGTTCATTAAATCTAATTCTTAAAGATGTTAAGGAAAAGATTTTGTTAGTTATTAAATCCTAAATTAAATTTGGTCTAATACTTCAATGAATTGAGTTTATTGTGGCTCAATTTTAAATGAGTTAAAGTCTTACATTGTGAAGTCTTTAAAGCCTCAGAAAAAACCTTCACTTATTAATTTGTTCTAATCTAGCCAGATGCATTAGCTATTTAGATGTGGTTGCACTACTGGACCAATCCCAATCCACTTTAAAAAATAGATTATTGATGTGAACTCTTATTTAGTTGCATATATAAATTTGGTGGTTATTTATAGAATTGTGCAAAGTCTTCCAGCTTATTTTATGATTTTACAACTTTTCTAAAATCCTCTTAACAAACCTTGTTCAAATTTTTGCTATTATATATACAATTAATTTACTTAGCTAATCTAAACCTTTTTAGATATCTTCCTCTATCCGTATTTTACTCTTAATAAATGTCTCCCTTGAATTCCAATTATTACAAATATAATTAACGTTATTAATCATATTTATTATTATTGTTATTACGAGTTGAATTTGATTTATGATGATGATGTTGATGCTTTTTTATCATATTCATTCTTTGAGGACTGTAATCTTAATAAGAGAATTGTTTCATTGAATTTGCGTGTGCGTCTTCATTAAACCTCTCTATTTCTTGAATATCATTTTCCATCATATCATCGAATAATTCTGGCTTGTAATTATCAAGCAACTCCCTAATCATCTTTTCTTCTTCCAACTCGTTCAAATGGTCTATTATGCTTTTTTGAGGAGGTTAAGGAGTCGCCAAACTACTTATAAACTCAAATATAAAACTGTTGTCTAACTGGGATTTCTGTCACCCTAGTTAGATGACCGTCCCTTTCTTAACTAAATGGCATCTTTATCTTCTCAATATCTAAACTACATTAAATCTTAGGGGACACTGAAATTCTATTATTACAATTGAAGGCTGTTCGTTAAGTTTAACAAGTTGATACTAAAATTATTGAGTAATTATCAATACTAGTTCTTTTGATTTTTTCTCTTATCGGACTGTTTCTTCTTAACTCCTCCTCCCTCTTATACTGAATTATTCTCTCAATTAGCTTTTCCTTTGTGTTATAGATCCTAAGTTTCTCAAAAAACATTTTTATTTATATTATAAAATACAATATTGCTTTACTGAAAATTTTATCCACAATATTATTTAATAATGTAAATAATTACTTAATTATAACTTAATTGTATATTTATGCTTATAAACTTCGTGGCTCAAGCAACAGTTGAGTCACTATTATGATAATATTTTATATTTATATTAATTATTAACTTAAAAAAAGTTAGATCATTTGAATTAACAACTAGAGCAGGCCTAAAGTAACTTTTAATTAATTATACAGCTCAAAAGATCATTAAATTTCCTAAATATTCAAAACAAAAATAATTTTTAGTTGAAAATAAATATGATAATAATATCTTCAAATGAAAATTAAAGTATTTTAATAAATGAAATTAATTTTTAAGTTTAAACTTAAATCCTAAAAGTTTAATATTAGTTTTAAGCAAATAAATTCAAGTAAAAAAAATGATTTCAAATTATAGATATTTTAGATTCTTAAACAATATTGTAATACATATTAAAAATACAGTATTCGTTATTATCATACAAATAAAAAATTATCTAGCACTAGTATTGAATTATTAGTAAATATCAGCTTTTCATTTTCCATATTATATATTTTACAGATTTATCTTTTCATTTTTTCAATTCAATTGATTTATTTTAATATATTTTTTGTAATTAATTGCCCTTTTTTTGTTTTTTTTAACTTTGCAATATTGATATCCAAACTTTGATAATGGCTAAATAAGAATAATCTCAAGCAGTTCGAAGTAAATTTATTTGCTAACAGCATTCAGATAGATGTTGTTAGATTGTTTCGATTATTAGTTAAGTTGCAAAAGCATTTGATATTGATGGAGTGTTATCCTTTTAAACTAAAATTTTAGTTTATCCATAGAAGATATAAAAAGGGGAAAGTTAAATATAAAAGTGTTTTTAAATCATTTATTAAAAAAATTAATAGTAACAAACTAATGGGTTTGTTTCTAAAAGCTAATACTTATATATATGCATTTTGTGTTATTTTTCTGTAATATCAAAAATGTAAGCATTTTAGATTAAGTAATTGGAAAAAAAAATTTCATAATAAAAGAGTTATGAATGTATTTAGGATATAAATATTATGATTAAATAGATACTATTTATAACAAAAGATCTATATATATAAAATAATTAAATAAAAATTCTTGATTATAGTTTAAAAATTTCGAATATAGTGAGATTATAAAATATCAAAATTTAAAACAATAAGTATGTGAATATAATTATCGTAAAAAGACTATTTATTAATTATCTTACTTTCAAAAAATTGGAATTAATCAAACCAAAAATTAAAATTGTGAATAAGGAAAGAAGTCTTTAAAACCTAAAATAAAAATAGATTTTTCAAAACATTCCAATTATTCTTCAATATTTTAGAAGGGAATGTACAATAAATATTTGAGACTATATAAATGAATTATAATAAATATCTATCATCCAAGATAATATATAATTTTTCTTATTTTATTTTTCCTATGTAAAAGTGCATTAAAGAATTATGAGTTATAAAGATAATACTTGTAATAATAATAAAATACAATTACTGAAGTTGGGAGAAAATTATCCTAATTAAATAGATGAATATTGACAACCTTTAAACTAATTCTACTCTAAAAGTTGGCTGTTTTGTAAAATTTAAAGCTAGTAAATAGTATAAAAATTTAATTTTTATTCCATCATTTCTTTTCTAGGAGGTGCATAATTGTATAAATACAATAATTATATATTTAATTAAGAAAATTTAAATAAATGTAAAATAAAAGCAAGGCGGAAACTAAATAAAATACGATTGGATTGAATCCTGACGGTATTTTTGATCTTTGTGACGAATTCCCAGTTAATGATAACGATGTTTGTTTTGAAGAATATTTTTGGATAGAAAATTATATTTTATCTCCTAATTAAAGATATATTGCTATTTTTGTGAGAAGAAATGAAGTTAAAATTGGAAGCCATTCATTAAAAGAATATATCATTTTTATTCTATCTTTAATAGATAATGAATATATCTATTATGGAGAATATATTGAAGAAGAATTAGAAATCCAAGATTATTTTTTTTCAGCTAACTCTAAATATCTAATACAACATAAGCCTACAAAATTATTATATATTAAAGTTTTAAGTAAGCAAAATACAAGAGAAAAACAGATATCATCTGAAAGTTTTCTATCTAGTGAATCTTGCGGTAATATAAATTTATTAATTAATAATACAACAATTTTAACTATTTAATTAGAAAATGATTTTTAATAAATAAAATAATTTCAATATGAAATCAAATTTTATTAGAAGTTATTTTCTAATTTTGCAATCGTAGAATCAAATGATTAAACATATATCATTTACATATAAAATTAAAAAATACTGCTCAGATGGAATTAATAAAGTCCTAACAACAGATATTTTTGGAAATCTTTCATTGTTTAAGGTCAAGATTATGCTAATAAGCTTAGAAATTTGCAAACTGGCAAATTAATAAGGAATATACATCCAAAATTAGGATTTCGATAATTTTCTTAAGATTAGTAATCAATATATTTGTTTTAAATTGTTGAAAGACATCCAAAAATAAAGAAATAAAAGGAAAAAGTCTAAAATATTTTCTCTAGATTTGATATTTTGAAGGGAGTTAATAAATAACTAAATATCAACATCATTCCTTTTGAAAATTTATAAACTTTAAATAATGAATATTATATAGATTATGAAGATGTCGAAGAAGTCGAAAATGGTGCAGATAAAATTAAGAGATTGAGATACTTTCATATCTCTAAGTTAACTAAATGAAGTAATATACAATATTATTATAATGAATATTAATTTATCTAATAAAAATTAAAAATGATTAAATTTCTTTAGCTAAGATTTAAATTTATAAGTTATTTATACCTTGATAATTGATTAATTTAATACTTAAAACATTAAATAAATTCTTAATTTTGTTGTAAATGAAATGATATTGGTACTAATGTACAATAACTGAATTAAATAATTAATCATTTCTAATTAACAACAAAGTTAAAAGGAATTTTAAGAGATTTAACTTCTATCATAATAAAAGAGTATAAATATTAAATAAATTAATTGAAGCATAAAATTGAACTTTGATTATCACAAAGAATCAGTTGGTTTATAAACAGATAATCACCTAAAATTTATATTTAATATTGATAAATTTTACCATGCATTAAAATAATGCCTTAATTTAATAAATATATTTAATCAAGATATTTAATTATTCTTAATAAATAAATTATAAAAAATATCGTGTGTTATTTTGTTCAATGTGAAAATTCTTTTGAAAATGACTAGCAAATAACTAAGAAAGTTTATGTTATCAAAATTCTTTCATCTCTATATTATTTTTATATAAAATTTTAAAAGGATTTATCAATATTCTGCTCTTTAAGAATAAATTTAAATTAATATACTTGAATGAAATCATTTTTCAGCACTTCTTGTTATAATAAGAAATCTAATCTCTCACCAAATCTAACAAACAATAAATAGGTTGATTAATCTGAATCATTTACCAATTTTAACAATATATAGACAACTTTTAAAAAACCAGAACTTTATGATCAAAAATGTTTTATATATAATCTAATTTAGGTTTGTAATACTAATACAATGTAGAAGTTGAAGGGGTTATTTTTGATGTACTAGCTCCTTGCATTTTATTAGATGAATTTTTATCAGAAAATATTGAAATAGAAGAATGATCATTTTATTTGATAATACTAAATTTCTATATAATAATTAACATCTTATTTTCAACTTTCCCATAGGACAGTACGGAATAATTCCTTTTTTAAATGATCATGTTTAAAAAATAAATTTAGAATATTCTATATGTTATTAATCCTTTTTTAATAAGATTTTTATTTGACAAAGAAATATATAAAAACACCTATTCATTAACTTAGTTAGTTGTTGTTTTAGAGTAAATTTTAAGAATTCTGAAATTATTATATATTACAAAATTTACTTTACCAACTCATAATAATCAAAATTCTCCTTATTTATCAAATTTTTTTACTCAGTAGCTCTCCTGTTAGTCATAAGTCATTAATTTATACATTAAAAATGATATCGATTAGTTGATTCAAGAGTCTCAGTTATTTCATCTAAAAATTATTCTATTTACTTCATAATTTCTTTATTTTAATAGATATATATGAAGTACTTTTCTTTATATTCCCAACTATTTTTGATCCTCATATTGGATAATTAAATTTCTAACCCTTATTTTCAATAATATTTTAATAATTATTTAAAAAAATCTATTGCTACTTCCAAATAATTTCAATTAAAGAAAAAGGACTTGAAAATGTTATTCGGATTAAATTACAAAAAGAACTGTAAATATTTCCTTAAATTAAAAACATGTTAATGAAAATATAAATTCTTTAACAAATATTTACAAGCTTTCAAACAAAATGAGTAGGTTTATTAATGAAATTGGAAACAAAACATCTTGAATTATTCTTTTTAATTCAATTAAAATTACTTTGTTAACAAATTTATTAAAACATATTATTAATATTATAGATCAAAATCAAATATAACTAGTAGGTATATAGAATGATGAAATGTATTAAACTTTTAGATAACTAAGAAAATTTGAAAAGAAAAATAAAATAATAAAAAGATGGGGAGAATGTTAAAGTATTTGAAGAATGATGATGAGAGTTTGTCTTTAAGAAGAAAATACAATTATTATATTATATAAAAAAAAAGAGTTATTTGACATAATAATATTTAATAAGAAAACATAAATTAATGAATTAAATCAAACAACAGACATAAATAAATGAAAATAGAAATATATTTTTGATGATCAAGAGTTGCATAAATATTATATATATTAAATAGTATGAATAATTTATTATGAAAAATTAAAGTGAATGAAAAGAGATAATTATTTTTAGAAAAATTATGCAATTTTTTTGTAATTTATGGGATTCCTAATTACATAAAATTTATTGTAGATTAAAATTAATTATTTTTAAAAGCAATAATTTTTTTTGAAAAATAGCATAGGTAATGAGCATTTTTTGAAAATTAAATATTTTTTTCCAAAATCAAAGAAAAAAATTAGAGAAAGATATAGAAATCAACTGGCTTAAGTTGTAAAAGAGAATAGCTAACAATCCTTTGCTAAATTTATCTTAAAAATAAATTTAACTTTCTTCTTAAAATTTTTAACCCTAAACTATGATATTTAAGTTATTTGTAAAAAAATCATAGAATAATATCTTCTTTATTTCTCGTTAATCAAATTATTTATTTAGAGATTCCTAGTATTTCAAATAATGTTTATTCAAAGTATGAGGGTGAAATTTCTTGGAATTTTGGGTTGTGGGAATTTAAAGCTTCATTTATTTTTCTGCTCCTAAATTTACAACACAAGAATTAAATACCTTTATTCCACCTTATAATCTTCCGTAAATTGTAAAATAACAGTCAATAATCATAAAATATATATTTCTTGTTTAAATATTATTTTGGATTGATAATTCTTTGATGTATAAATTAAATTTTTAAATAATCGATTTGTAAGAGTTAAGCTCTATCAATTATCTAATTATTATTCAAATTTAAGCAAATAATATACAACAATTATATAATTGATTGAATTAATTCTAGCAATAAAATAAGTTTAATTGTATTCACTTTATAATTAAATGAAAGAACTTATTTANAAGAAGAAAATACAATTATTATATTATATAAAAAAAAAGAGTTATTTGACATAATAATATTTAATAAGAAAACATAAATTAATGAATTAAATCAAACAACAGACATAAATAAATGAAAATAGAAATATATTTTTGATGATCAAGAGTTGCATAAATATTATATATATTAAATAGTATGAATAATTTATTATGAAAAATTAAAGTGAATGAAAAGAGATAATTATTTTTAGAAAAATTATGCAATTTTTTTGTAATTTATGGGATTCCTAATTACATAAAATTTATTGTAGATTAAAATTAATTATTTTTAAAAGCAATAATTTTTTTTGAAAAATAGCATAGGTAATGAGCATTTTTTGAAAATTAAATATTTTTTTCCAAAATCAAAGAAAAAAATTAGAGAAAGATATAGAAATCAACTGGCTTAAGTTGTAAAAGAGAATAGCTAACAATCCTTTGCTAAATTTATCTTAAAAATAAATTTAACTTTCTTCTTAAAATTTTTAACCCTAAACTATGATATTTAAGTTATTTGTAAAAAAATCATAGAATAATATCTTCTTTATTTCTCGTTAATCAAATTATTTATTTAGAGATTCCTAGTATTTCAAATAATGTTTATTCAAAGTATGAGGGTGAAATTTCTTGGAATTTTGGGTTGTGGGAATTTAAAGCTTCATTTATTTTTCTGCTCCTAAATTTACAACACAAGAATTAAATACCTTTATTCCACCTTATAATCTTCCGTAAATTGTAAAATAACAGTCAATAATCATAAAATATATATTTCTTGTTTAAATATTATTTTGGATTGATAATTCTTTGATGTATAAATTAAATTTTTAAATAATCGATTTGTAAGAGTTAAGCTCTATCAATTATCTAATTATTATTCAAATTTAAGCAAATAATATACAACAATTATATAATTGATTGAATTAATTCTAGCAATAAAATAAGTTTAATTGTATTCACTTTATAATTAAATGAAAGAACTTATTTATTTTAATTAATTTCTTAAATTGCTGAAATTTTTTTGAAACTATTTATTCTCTAATATTTTGCTTCTAACAATTGAGTAGATGACATATGATTATAGAAACATCATTACTATTCGAAGTAAATGATAGATTAAAATTATGATATTCAAATTTCTTATGATATGAAATTTTTAGTCTTGAAAATAGATTTTCTTTATTATTTTTTGTTGTTATTATTAGTGAATTACAATTCATATTGAAATAAATGGAATCTGAAGCTTAAAATGCATTGATTTTCTTGGAGTCAATATAGGAAAAAGGCATCTAAGAGATTGAAATTGATAAATGGGATTAACTCTAAGAGAAACTTGTAAAGTCTAAAATTCAAATCAAAATTACCTAAGATAATTATATCCTATACACTTAAGATGGAGTAATATTGAAAAGGTAACAATAATTTGTAAATTTTGATAGTGAACTAATTTTAGATAATTCTAAGAAACTAGAAATCGTGACAAATATAGACTAGATCAAATATTTTCAATGGACTGGTGAATATGGATAGAATAACAGAAAACTTGGTAAATGGATAGTTACTTGGAATATGGAAGTCCTTAAAGATGTTGGTGGGTATTATGATAATGGATTAAAGCAAGGTTTATGGAAAGAACCAATTAAAAATTATTGGAGGTAGATATTCATAACATAATCGAAAAAATAGTAAAGCTCAAATCTATGAAAGAGGAGTATACTATAATAATTAAAGATTTGGGACTTGGAATTTTATTTAGGACAATAAAAGAATGTATATTTGATAAATTACTTAGTGGGGGTGGATAGTATAATAATTAAGGTAAGAAAAATGGTAAATGGATTGAGTTGAATGATAGGTATTATAACCTATCATAAATCACTCATTAGGGTGAATATAAAAATGATAATAAAGTTGGTGAATGGAAATGTTATTTGAATTATGAAAAATATAAATTGATGTAAAATTATTATTTTAATAAACACCCATTAGCGGAGGTGGAATATATCACCAAGTATAAGAAGGATCTATTAAAATTGGGAGGTGGATTGAATTAAGTGATGGATTTAGCGTTGGGTCCAAAATTACTTTATAAGGCGATTATAATAATGGTAAAAAAGTAGGTAGTTGGAATTATTATTGGAATGATAACAATATAAATAAATTGATGTAAAATTATTGAATATCAAAAAAATAAATCTAGGGGTGGAGGATTATATGATGATTCAATAAAGATAGGAAGATGGAATGAATTAATTAATAATTTTGGAGGTGGACAAGGATAATCATAAATAGCTTATGCTGGTGAATATTATAATGACAAAAAAATTGGTAGATGGAATATTTTGTATTAGGAATATTGGGAAAAGAACTTTTAAATAGTGTAAGATTAAAAAATCAAATTTTTTAGTGGTGGTGGATTGTATAACGATTTAGGTTCAATTAAAATTGGGAATTGGATTGAAGTGAGTGAAAATTTTGGGAGTAGACGAGGATAATCATTTGTCACTTATCATGGTGAATATAAAAATAATAAAAAGGTTGGTAAATGGTATATTTGGTATAAATAATTTAACAACAGATGGGATTCAGAATAAATGTATATTTTAATAAAAAAATTATTTAGTGGTGGGGGATTATATGATCAAGAAGGCTTTTTTAAGATAGGTATGTGGATTGAGGTAGGTGATGGCTTTGAAATGAATATGTAAATAATTTATAGAGGTTATTATTAAAACGATGAAAAAGTTGGTAGATGGGATATTTTGTATAGAGAATGGGGAAGAGAAAAGTTTGAGTAGATGTAAAATTAAAAAACCATTATTTTAGTGGTGGTGGATCATACAGTGAAGTGGGTTCATTGAAGATTGGAAAGTGGATTGAGTTAGTTGATGGTTCCCTTGTCTCTTATATATGTGAATATAAAGATGGTAAAGTAATTAGTATATAAAAATGAATATGAGGAAAATAAGAATATAGTGATATTTGATAATATAATTTAATAAATATTCGAATAAAATACATGAGTTGAGAAAGAATTATATAGGAGTTAAAATCACTTATATATTCATTAAATTGTATTGAATGCTATTTGATTTTTGTTGATTTCTAATTATTAAATTTTGGATTTTAGATAAAAGGATTTATACATTGTTTTATGAAATCCATAAGGCAGTCTAATAAATAGCATCATATGAATAAAATAAAGTTTTATTAGAAATTACGTTTTAAGTACATTGTTGTTTAATTATTCATTTATCACTATTGGATTTAAAAATCAACTATGAACAAATATTCTATATGAAGTAAGTCGATTTTCAAAAATAACTTACATTAGATAATCAAAATGTGTTTAATTGTACTATGAAATAGTTTAATGAATAATAATTATGATGATTATTAGATTATTGCTAGTTTAAAAATAAGATTCGTGTTAAAATTAGAAAATTTTATTTTCCTACTTAATTAAATATTATTAATTTATATTTTAGGTTTATCTCAAATTTGTGTAAATAAATCTAAATAATTTATTCCACTATGTTGAAGCTGATAAAGGAATGTTTTAAATATTTAATTTAAGATGAAAGTTATCTATTTATTAAATATTATATATCAGAACCTTATGTTAATTTTATAAAAGGATCCTTATACAGAAGTAAATCTAATATCAATGTGATTTTGAAATCTAATAAGTTTATAAAGAATAGCTTAAAATTAAATGGGCTATTTTAGTATCTTTACAATGATAAAATAGTTATTCCTGGGTATTTCTTTTCATAGAATCATTGATAATATAAATAATATCACACTTTTTTCAGTATTTTTGATTTTTAAATAGTTCTCTTAAAATAGAAATATTTGAAGTGCAATTATCATTCATTACTCTAGCTTCATAGTGTAAAAAATGATACTTTATTTGTAAGGTCTATAATTAAAATAAGAAGAATTAAGGTAGCCTTATATCTATTTTTAATTAGATTATTGGGTTTAGTTGAATAATTGATATGATAATGAAAATAGGTAGTTAATAATAAATATTTTAATATATTTGGGAAATTTCAGATTTTTTATAATTTATATCGACCAAAATAATTTGATATAATAAATATAGATACAACAATTACAGTTATTTCTTTGCAGCAATTATAATTATACTATTATAAACACAAAACTAAATAAAGAATAGAATGAAATATTTTTAATTAATAATAGAAAAAAATTAAAATAATTTTAATAAAATTCATTAAAATCAAAACGTTCTATTTATTCATTTTTTTAATTATAAATCAATATTATTTTACCAAACAAACCTTTATAATGGATTATCATAATATTACAGTATTTTAATTTTTTCTTAAGTTTATATTTTCTTTAAACGGAGATAATAAGCTTTTTAAATTTAATCTAAAATATCGGTAATTAAGGTATAGAATAATAAGAAACAAAATAGTGATATGTGTAACCATCCATAAAATAAAAATTAATCATGATTTAATTCTAGACTGTATATTAAAAATGACCCTAAAATGATTAATAAGGTAATTTCTCTGCAAATTAATTTGGATATTTCAAAATTTGATTTTATAGGTTTAAAGATTATAATGTATATTAAATAAAAAAATGACAGCATTGAAAGTAAAACTGATTAAGCTTCGGGATATTATATAAATTCAGTTATAATTGTAATATAGAAAGCAGTTTTATAAATTTAGAATGGCTTAAAATTGGCTGCCCAAAATTCAGTTTTAGAATCTTAAAAAAAATACTTCCATTTTTGTTTATTCTTAATTTAAGATGTTGTTATTGATAGTAATCTAAAAAACATTTAAATTAAGAATATTAAGCTACTTAATGCTACAATACTATTAATTATTTCAAAAATGGTATTAAAAGTGTAATCAGGGAATTACAATAGTGCACTAAATAATAATTATTAAAGTGTTGAATAAAATAGTTAAAAAAATCCAAAAGAAAAATAATAGTTCTTCACTTTTGTACATTATAATTAGATCTTCTTCTAAAAGTATGAGATTAGGCGGAGAGTTTTAATATTTTCTTCATGTTTTATAAAGTATTGTCCTAACCAATCTGATACTTTACTTGAAGATATTAGACAACATACAGAATATGTTAATAATGATAAAAAGTAGGAAAAGTAACATCCTTTGGCATTCATTAAATACATCTAATTTAAAATATTTTTTTGTTAGGATTTTTACTATTTGTTTACTAAATATGGAATAGTACCTCCATTAAGTTTAGTTATAAGTTCATCAACTCTTAATTTATCTAATATAGGTTATAATGAAATTTTAGTATAAGTTTCTAGAAACTGACTTAAATGAGGAGGAAATTTATATTGCATATATCTGATGTAAGATATAGACTATAATAAATCTAATAAATTGAAAAATACAATATAATTGCCAGTTAAGAATAGAAATGCAGAAATACTAACTGTAGAATATACTATAGCATCATTCATTTTAATAACTTAATTGACTTTTTGTTAAGTATTTTGTGATAACACAAAAGGAGTTCCAAGTCTTATTTATTTTGAATTAGTATTTAATTCCAAGTCATATTAATTATATATAGAGAATTTCTGTATATTAATTTGTAAAATTGGTTCAGTAACAGGTTCTAAAAATTAAACTAAAATTTAATATTTAGGAAAATTTAATTAATTAGAAATATTAGTTAATGGATTAAAAGATAAAACATATTAAGCTTATGGAATGATAATAAATTCTATAATATTTTCAAAGAGTTGTTCAGATTATAAATAAACTTGTTAAGAGAAACCTAATTCAAGTATTTTTGTTTGATTTTAGATATCGGAGAGTAAAGTTAATTCAAAATTAGGTGATTAAACAAAAGTACAAATACTTAATACTTCATCCTAATTGATGCACAGATATGAATCTTCTTCAAAACATAATGCTGAACATCCATCTCCGCCATTATTATTTCCATCATCACACTATTCAAAACGACTATTAAGTATTCCATTACCACATAAATTAATACATTCATTATTGATAAATTCTTAATTCTGATTACATTATACAATTAGTAATTCAGTATTATTAATTTCCTATTTTGATTCTGAATTAGTAATATCTTATTGTTATTTACACTGAAAAGTTTGAATATCTAAAATGTAATATTATTATTCATCACATAATATACAGTGATTGTTCTTTTCACATTTGATACATCCAAAAGAACATTAGTATTAGCATTAATAACAACCATCATATGGAATATCATTCCCATCATCACATTACTCAAAAAGTGGAATAATTATATAGTCTCCACAAATTGGTATACATTTTCCATCATTAATCTAAAAAGAAGGTTAACATATTTCACAATTTTAGAAATTATCACAAACCAAACAATCATGATCACATTAATAATTACAATCAGTACAATTGGAATCTTCAATATTATCACATTATTCTTAAGATAAGATTGCTAATTAACCATCTCCACAAATTTATTTACATTAATAATCCTAAAGTTACCAACCATCTTAACAATTATAACATTTATTATCAGAACAAAATAAACATTCTATTTAACAACTTTTTTAACATTTATAACATCCATCAAATTGGATACTATTTCCATCATCACATATTTCTTGTGATAATATAATACCATCCTAACATTTAGGAATACAATGTTTTTTATTAAAATTTAATTCATATCCATCATAGCATTCTAAACATTTTCCAAACTATTCCACTTTACAATTACCATCTTATTATTTCAATTATCCATAAACTACACAATCAAAATGATAAAAGGGATTGATATTATTATAATAAATATGTTGTAATTAATATTAACTACATTATCTCTCAATTATTAAAAAATTATAGTCAACTTTTATTTCTCCAAAATTAGTGTTTTCGAATTCATCCCTGATATACAAACACATACCTTCTATTATTTGATATTAAGTTTCACACTTCAAACATTTTCCAAATTAACAATTAAGACAGTTCTTTGGACAAGAGAATTAACAATTATGGCATCCATCATTAGCAACTAAATTACCATCATCACATTCTTCATAATGATTAATGATAGAATTTCCACAAGAAGGTATACATGATTTTGTTGATTCTTTATATTCCCATCCAATTAAACAATCATAACAAATACCTTTAATACAATTTGCACAACCTTATATGCAATCATAATTATTTGAAAAGCATCCATCAAATGGAATAATGTTGTAATCACAGCATTTATAATCAAAATCTTTATTAACAAATAATAAAAAATCTCTTATTCCAATATATGTAGACAAATTATTTGAATTATCCTTTTTTATTAATTCAACTTGAATTGCTATTTTTAATCTTTTACTATAATGTTGTATTTAAAATAGATTGATTTCTTTAAAAGAAATATAATCACAAAAATAACCAGGTAATTTTAATTATTAATAAATAAAATTAGTTGTTAATACTAAATTATCATCTATATAAATATGAATGTTAGTTGATTCTGAATTAAAAATTAAAAGCTTTACTTAAAAACTTATCAAATTATGTTATTCTAAATCAAAAATTTTATGCAAATTATCTCCTGGAGAAACAATATAATTGAATCCTAAATAAACATTTTAATGTACCATAGCATTCTTTAATTTAATTAACTGTTTCAACTCCACTTTACCATCCTTCTTCATTATTTACAACAGTAAATACTTTTTAATTAAATAATCTCAAATATAATTATTGATTGAAAAATTCTTATGAATTACAGAAGTTATATCCATTCAAACATTCATTTATTGATAATTAAAATTCTGTTATTCCCCAATATGTATTTTCAGCAATCATTGAGATTATGACAATAGGACTTGAATGCTAAATTGTGATAGAAATAGGAAATATAAGATATTCATGATTATTATCGCAAGTACCAATTGAGCCACTAAAATCATTATAAAACTTTTAGTATTCGATTTTACCATCTATATAAATAATAAATTCACGTGAAAAATAATTTTTAACTCTAATAAAATAAAATAAAGACTGTATAATTACCTCAAAAATATTATTTCTAATTTTAATTCATAATGAGGCTAAAGCTCTAAAGTTTTGAAAACCAAAAAATTATATTGAGATTAATAAATCAATAACATTTTTTTAGCACTGCAATATTAATTTTAGATTTTATTCTGATTATCACTTACTATTTGATAGCTATTCCAAGCTTAAATAATACGATATTATTTTACTATCTGAAAAACTATTAAATAGATCTTGATAAACTATTGTTGATTGTGAGCTCTATAATATTAGACTTAGGATCAAGAAAATAGATGTGACTTTTTAATATTTGGATTATGATGCTAATAAATGGGTATTTAGATTAGCTTTCATGACTATTTATTTAAAAGTGATTTATCAATATAATAAAAATAAAGTTAAATTATTTTCACATAATTTCAGATAAATATGACTAAAAAATCTTTATAAACATTATCATTTATTTAGCATTTTCAATATATTATCATGATAATCAAATCAATATTATCATTAATAGAAATTCATTTTATTAATTAAATAAATAACTGAAAGTTATTCAACCATTGATATTATATTTTAAACATATAATTCATTTTCATATATTCATTTATAATTAATAATAAGCTTCAACCTTTATAAAATGTAAGTAAGGATTGTATGTATTTCCAGCAACACTTAGTATCCTAAAACCTTTAACCATTTAATCAGAAAATTTAATTGTAAATACACTTTATGCAAAATTATCATAAATCTAAGTTTCTGAATTTTCAAATATTATGTAAATTTTAATTCTGTAAAATCTATTATCTCCATCCCAAAACCATATTTTTAAAGTATTTAATTCATACTTTTGTAATAAATCTAATGTTATTGAATATCCAGTTGGACTCCAAGTATATGAAGATAATGTGTAAATACTATCTCTAAGACAGCTTCCATTATTACCTCCTAAAAAACCATTTGTTATTTTTGATGAGATTAGAGCACCTTTGTATTAGTGTAGTACATTTTGATAATGACCTCTAATAATTGATTTTATTTTTGTTTATCTTGCCAAACATTTTTATTTGGAGATTACAGGCATATTAAATATAAGAAGCATAGTTAAAAGTTTTAAGAGTTTTGATGACATATTCAAAAATTAAATGCAATTATTAATATATTTATTAGACAATGTTTATCTTATTTATTATTCTCTATTTGTTGAAGTCCTCCTCATTTTAATTAAGAAATTTCATAATTGTTCTATATTAATCCATTGAATCAAAAATTGATTTAGAAAATTATTTATTTAAAAATTACAAAATAATTTGAATTTAATATTATCAATTACACACTATATTATAATGAAGCTTCAATAAATTGAAAAGTTAAAAGAACTTATAAATGACAAGCTAACTCATTTATTTTTCAACCTTCCATAATCAAATAATTCAAAAATTGTCAAAGTAGGCTTTGAAAAATGAAAGTATTTTATGAGATTTAGTTCAAAACCACTAATTCATCGAATTTGAGAAGATGTATCTTTTCTAAATTCTCAATAAAGTAAATTATAAAGAATTTGTCAATCGATGATTAATAGTTTCCTAAATAATATTTAATTATTTTAATAATCTATATAGCTTATTAAATAAAAGCTTAATTATCACCTTTTTGCTGTCTTATTGTATAAGGGAACTTAACTTCTCTTTTCTTTTCTTTTCATTTAAAATTAAGATTCCAACTTAACTAAATCATTGTATTATTTGAATATAGCAAGGCCTGGCAACTCTCTCTTTTTACGATTTCCATTTAGTAAATATATATTGATTCAAATTGTTGTGGGTTGATTTTCTTCTATCTTTAAGACTTTCTTAAAAGAAAAGCTAAAGATATAAGAATAAGTTTTAATTAGTTTTATTTTATATAATAAGCAATTCTATATATTTCATTTTATCTATAATTACATCCATTTGAGTCCATCTTCTAAACCTTCTCCTGTAATTGCACAACAAGGTTAAATATAACAATTTTTAGAAATTTTCTCCATCATTATTTCAGATGCTAGTTCTTCAGAGTTCAATTTCATTAAGTCTTATTTATTTGCATATATTAATAAAGGTAAACCATTTAATATAGGATCTAGCATCAATTTATATAACTCTCCTATTACTTCTGCCATTCTTTCTCTATCTGAACAATCTATAACATAAATTAATCCTTTGCCATTCTAATAGTAAGGTTTCCAAATTATTCTTATTTTATCTGCACCACCAACATCCCAAGATANGTTCTATATTAATCCATTGAATCAAAAATTGATTTAGAAAATTATTTATTTAAAAATTACAAAATAATTTGAATTTAATATTATCAATTACACACTATATTATAATGAAGCTTCAATAAATTGAAAAGTTAAAAGAACTTATAAATGACAAGCTAACTCATTTATTTTTCAACCTTCCATAATCAAATAATTCAAAAATTGTCAAAGTAGGCTTTGAAAAATGAAAGTATTTTATGAGATTTAGTTCAAAACCACTAATTCATCGAATTTGAGAAGATGTATCTTTTCTAAATTCTCAATAAAGTAAATTATAAAGAATTTGTCAATCGATGATTAATAGTTTCCTAAATAATATTTAATTATTTTAATAATCTATATAGCTTATTAAATAAAAGCTTAATTATCACCTTTTTGCTGTCTTATTGTATAAGGGAACTTAACTTCTCTTTTCTTTTCTTTTCATTTAAAATTAAGATTCCAACTTAACTAAATCATTGTATTATTTGAATATAGCAAGGCCTGGCAACTCTCTCTTTTTACGATTTCCATTTAGTAAATATATATTGATTCAAATTGTTGTGGGTTGATTTTCTTCTATCTTTAAGACTTTCTTAAAAGAAAAGCTAAAGATATAAGAATAAGTTTTAATTAGTTTTATTTTATATAATAAGCAATTCTATATATTTCATTTTATCTATAATTACATCCATTTGAGTCCATCTTCTAAACCTTCTCCTGTAATTGCACAACAAGGTTAAATATAACAATTTTTAGAAATTTTCTCCATCATTATTTCAGATGCTAGTTCTTCAGAGTTCAATTTCATTAAGTCTTATTTATTTGCATATATTAATAAAGGTAAACCATTTAATATAGGATCTAGCATCAATTTATATAACTCTCCTATTACTTCTGCCATTCTTTCTCTATCTGAACAATCTATAACATAAATTAATCCTTTGCCATTCTAATAGTAAGGTTTCCAAATTATTCTTATTTTATCTGCACCACCAACATCCCAAGATATTATTTCAAATTGTTAAGTTCTAAGTTTTTCTATATTAAATCCAATATTTGGAACTAGATATTCTATATTTCCTAATTTTAATTTATGTAAAATTGTTGTTTTTCCTGAGTAGTCGAATCCAAGCATAATTATTTAAGACTTTTTGCCTATTGTTAAATTTGAAAAAGGATTCCCCATAAAATAATGTTAGGTTTCAATTTTAAATTTCTATATATATACATTAATTTTCCTACAAGGAATTTATGCAATAATATTAAATTGATAAATTCTGATGAAATATTATTATTTTTAAATGATAAAAATATTTTATTAAAAATTAATGAACTTACTATTCAATTCCATATTCATATGGAAAATAGAGTATTCAATAATTGGAAGTTTTAAATAATAGAAATATTTTTTAATAAAATTTCTACAATAGATATTAATTTAAACAAAAATGCTTTTATTCAAAAATACTAGGATGACTTAGATTAATGAATAATTTTTAATTATACTTATATAACAAAAAATTAATTAATTGAAGAAGCTTAAATGAAGTTTCAAGCCCTCTTTTTAATTATAATGTAAAAACCCGATATTCTTCTCTTTAAAATGTAAGGTTTTTCACAAATTTTACTGAATTAATATACCGTTTCAGGCCATAATTAAGTCCAAATATATTTTCTTTTACCTTATTAGTATTGATTTCTGGATTCGACCTTTCATTTTTAGGTTTAATTACCTTTTATGGAGTAGATTTATGATTCCAGAATTTATTAAATTCCTAATAATTCCTTAATGCTCTGAGTATATATTCTATAATTCTTATTTTTAGGTATTTTTTATGCAGTATAATTCATATACTTTTTGATAGATAAGAATATATCTCTTCCAATTATTAAAGAACAACATTAAAATATGCTCAAAGCAACATAATATAATAGTTTTTATCCTATAGTTAAGTGAATATTGATCACCAAAAATGTTATACTTTTTAAAACAACTTAAACTACCCATTCAATTTATTAAAGAAAACATAGAAATCTAATTTTTAAACTTTAATTTAACTAATTTTGCTAATAACATCAGCAAAGATAATCTTTTTTTAATAAAAAGAATAATGATTTTATATTTGATTCAAAATTTGCTTATAAAAGTCATAGTTAAAAACATTGTAATTTATATTTATTAATATTATTCAATGATCATAATTAATTTGATTAACCTTTTCTTTGTTATCAACGTTCAATTCCTCCCAAATACCAATTTTTTTACCATTTTTATAATTACCATTGTAGATTATGTCAGAAAGATAGAGAAATCCATCACTTATTTCAATCCAATTTCCAACTTTTTCACCTTAATTATATTATCCACCACCACTAATAAAATGGATAAATTTTATAATTTTACATGTTTTCAATATTTTGATTATCAAAATTATTCCTTGCCCAAATTTCCCATTTTCCAATTTTGATACCGTTTTGATATTCGCCCCTATATGTTACTTATGTTTCACTTTTAAATCCATCACTAATTTCAATCCAATTTCCAACTTTAAGTGCTTAATCATCTTCATCATATGATCCACCTCCTCTAATAATTGAGATAATATTTCATGCTTACATCAATTTTTATTCTTACATATTACAATTCCTAAACCAAATATTCCACCTACCAAATTTTTGACCATTTTTATATTTTCCTTCAAAAGTTACTTGAGACCAATCAGAAAATTCACTACTAATCTCAATCCAATTTCCAATCTTAGCTTCTTGATTCCCTTCATCATATAATCCACCACCACTATAATAGTGTAAAATTCTTATGTTACATCAAAATATTGTTATAATAAATATTCCATCTACCAACTTTCTTACCATGTTTATATTCCCCATTAAAAGTTACTTATGAAAATTGATAAAATCCTTCACTTATATCAATCCAATTTCCAATTTTTACACCATATAATTCATCATATTCTCCACCACCACTAAACATAAATGTTTATTTATGAATAATAATTTACATCTATTTATTGTTTCCATCCAAATTAAACAATGTAGCCCATTTTCCAACTTTTAAACCATTATTATATTCACCATCAAAAGTTATTACTGATCTATTAGAAAATCCATCACTGACATCTATCCAATTTCCAATTTTAAATTCTTTACCTCCTTCATCATACAAACCGCCACCACTAAAAAAAAATATATGGTGCTATATATTTTACATTTATGATCCTTCATTCCAAAAACTCTTCCAAAAACCTATTTTTTTTCCCTTTTTATATTCACCATTAAAAGTAAAGCATGAATAAAACCAAAATCTATTATTTATCTCAATCCAGTTTCCTACTTTAAGTTCTTGTCCTTTTTCATCATACAATCCACCACCACTAAAATTAAGTTGATGTTATTATAAATATAATAATTTTACATCCAATTATTAATTCCATACTCATCGAACCATATATCCCATATACCAATTTTTTTACCATTGTAGTATTCTCCAAAATGTATTACTTATGATTGATCCCAAAAACTATCATTTGGTTACATCCATTTTCCATGTTTTTAACCTGCCTAATTATATGT